TATGTACTATTAATAGAATGAATTTCATACTTGAAGTATTGGATTCGACCCCCCATGCCTGCAGCAGGTTCATGCGAGTCTCGTGGGAGCTACACGAGGTCACATGATGCAATGATTAGGGCTGATCGTCCGAGTATTGCATAAACCTATCAATTCAAAAGAGGTGGTCTTCTACTGCCTTCTCGCTTATGCCATCGTAGCGAACGCCAATGCAGCGCTCATTCGTGGTCATAGATGCTGGTTCAAGTCGATCTGCTGTCTGTACTAGTACGAGGTGTCACCTACACTTGGTGGACAAAATTGCTCCTGTGCTATCAGCTTGTCGAATGTAGTGCAAACTGTACTTGCAAGTGTAACTACCTCTAACGTTACAACCAAACTGGTGTGGCTGTACTTTGCGCAACATAGCATGGCGAAATCGTCGAATAACCAGGATCTGACAACACAGGTCCATCACATTTGAAGAGTTGCTATCGACGTAGGGTAGATACATGTATGACGCACATGCAGCCGACAAATTCGAAAACTCTATCACTTGTCAAGCAAGACGTGTAGGTAGGTATCCTTGGAGTAATCTACCTTTTGACATTTCCCTTTACGTGATCGTCCTCTAGCGCAGTGACTGGTAGAATAGTGACGTCCGAATCACACTCGGCAACTTGTGAGCGTAGGACTTAGGTTGGAACTTGAAACAATTCATTACTCAATTACTCATCATAGTAACTATTGCATCTGTATGCAAAACATCGTTTTTGTGCGTCACAATAGCACAGCCGGCGCAGGTTGTGTTTCTATCAAACAAACCCCGACGTGATACAACTTACGGAGATGCACCATTCGACAGTGGGCTGTCCTAGGGACCATCAACAGTGGAGCCATCGTTCGACGGTTCCTGGGGCTCTACAGGTTGGACCGGCTCCACAGGTGCGATGGGCTCCACAGGTTCAATGGGCTCCACAGGTTCGATGGGCTCCACAGGTTCAATTGGTTCCACAGGTGCGATGGGCTCCACAGGCTCGATGGGCTGCACAGGTGCGATGGGCTCTACAGGTTCAATTGGCTCCACAGGTGCGATGGGCTCCACATGTGCGATGGGCTCCACAGGTGCGATGGGCTCGACAGGTTCGACCGGCTCGGCAGCAGCGAAGCCACCACCGGGACGGGGGATGTTTTCATCGCCACCAATGATTTGACTTTGCCCTTGCGCTGGAAGCAAAGCTGCTTGTTCAGCACGCAAGTTGCGTTTGTGACTACCTGCGACCATCGCTTGGTTGTTGTCGCCGTGCAGTCCAGCGACAAGAGTGGCGCACAGTGTAGTGATGAGAACGGTCGTCTTCATGTTGTATTTGCTGGTGTGTGTGGGAGGTGCCCAATTCAAAAGTGAGTTCCTTCTGTGCTGCCTTCCGTAGAAGGTTGTGAAACTACCTCCACGAAACCGATGCTGTTCCTTCTATTTATAGCGTCATGTAGCCACAGTCTATTCATCACGATGAGCCGAAAATAGGTGGAATGTCCACGTGGCAAGCCTGCACGCTACTAGGATATGCGAAACTGCGCGCTATCAACTTCGCCCACAAGGTATTGCTTTAAATATGCTACGCTCCATCTTAATCCAACTTGCACCGTCGAGGACTTAACGAACGGTCACATGATGCAATGATTAGGGCTGATCGTCCGAGTATTGCATAAACCTATCAATTCAAAAGAGGTGGTCTTCTACTGCCTTCTCGCTTATGCCATCGTAGCGAACGCCAATGCAGCGCTCATTCGTGGTCATAGATGCTGGTTCAAGTCGATCTGCTGTCTGTACTAGTACGAGGTGTCACCTACACTTGGTGGACAAAATTGCTCCTGTGCTATCAGCTTGTCGAATGTAGTGCAAACTGTACTTGCAAGTGTACCTACCTCTAACGTTACAACCAAACCGGTGTGGCTGTACTTTGCGCAACATAGCATGGCGAAATCGTCGAATAACCAGGATCTGACAACACAGGTCCATCACATTTGAAGAGTTGCTATCGACGTAGGGTAGATACATGTATGACGCACATGCAGCCGACAAATTCGAAAACTCTATCACTTGTCAAGCAAGACGTGTAGGTAGGTATCCTTGGAGTAATCTACCTTTTGACATTTCCCTTTACGTGATCGTCCTCTAGCGCAGTGACTGGTAGAATAGTGACGTCCGAATCACACTCGGCAACTTGTGAGCGTAGGACTTAGGTTGGAACTTGAAACAATTCATTACTCAATTACTCATCATAGTAACTATTGCATCTGTATGCAAAACATCGTTTTTGTGCGTCACAATAGCACAGCCGGCGCAGGTTGTGTTTCTATCAAACAAACCCCGACGTGATACAACTTACGGAGATGCACCATTCGACAGTGGGCTGTCCTAGGGACCATCAACAGTGGAGCCATCGTTCGACGGTTCCGCATATCCTAGTAGCGTGCAGGCTTGCCACGTGGACATTCCACCTATTTTCGGCTCATCGTGATGAATAGACTGTGGCTACATGACGCTATAAATAGAAGGAACAGCATCGGTTTCGTGGAGGTAGTTTCACAACCTTCTACGGAAGGCAGCACAGAAGGAACTCACTTTTGAATTGGGCACCTCCCACACACACCAGCAAATACAACATGAAGACGACCGTTCTCATCACTACACTGTGCGCCACTCTTGTCGCTGGACTGCACGGCGACAACAACCAAGCGATGGTCGCAGGTAGTCACAAACGCAACTTGCGTGCTGAACAAGCAGCTTTGCTTCCAGCGCAAGGGCAAAGTCAAATCATTGGTGGCGATGAAAACATCCCCCGTCCCGGTGGTGGCTTCGCTGCTGCCGAGCCGGTCGAACCTGTCGAGCCCATCGCACCTGTGGAGCCCATCGCACATGTGGAGCCCATCGCACCTGTGGAGCCAATTGAACCTGTAGAGCCCATCGCACCTGTGCAGCCCATCGAGCCTGTGGAGCCCATCGCACCTGTGGAACCAATTGAACCTGTGGAGCCCATCGAACCTGTGGAGCCCATTGAACCTGTGGAGCCCATCGCACCTGTGGAGCCAATTGAACCTGTGGAGCCCATTGAACCTGTGGAGCCCATCGCACCTGTGGAGCCGGTCCAACCTGTAGAGCCCCAGGAACCGTCGAACGATGGCTCCACTGTTGATGGTCCCTAGGACAGCCCACTGTCGAATGGTGCATCTCCGTAAGTTGTATCACGTCGGGGTTTGTTTGATAGAAACACAACCTGCGCCGGCTGTGCTATTGTGACGCACAAAAACGATGTTTTGCATACAGATGCAATAGTTACTATGATGAGTAATTGAGTAATGAATTGTTTCAAGTTCCAACCTAAGTCCTACGCTCACAAGTTGCCGAGTGTGATTCGGACGTCACTATTCTACCAGTCACTGCGCTAGAGAACGATCACGTAAAGGGAAATGTCAAAAGGTAGATTACTCCAAGGATACCTACCTACACGTCTTGCTTGACAAGTGATAGAGTTTTCGAATTTGTCGGCTGCATGTGCGTCATACATGTATCTACCCTACGTCGATAGCAACTCTTCAAATGTGATGGACCTGTGTTGTCAGATCCTGGTTATTCGACGATTTCGCCATGCTATGTTGCGCAAAGTACAGCCACACCAGTTTGGTTGTAACGTTAGAGGTAGTTACACTTGCAAGTACAGTTTGCACTACATTCGACAAGCTGATAGCACAGGAGCAATTTTGTCCACCAAGTGTAGGTGACACCTCGTACTAGTACAGACAGCAGATCGACTTGAACCAGCATCTATGACCACGAATGAGCGCTGCATTGGCGTTCGCTACGATGGCATAAGCGAGAAGGCAGTAGAAGACCACCTCTTTTGAATTGATAGGTTTATGCAATACTCGGACGATCAGCCCTAATCATTGCATCATGTGACCTCGTGTAGCTCCCACGAGACTCGCATGAACCTGCTGCAGGCATGGGGGGTCGAATCCAATACTTCAAGTATGAAATTCATTCTATTAATAGTACATATAATAATCTATTCCAAATGACAGGATGATTCTCAATACTTACTGTTAGTTCAAACTCAAAATGTATTCGGATCTAGTAACCATAATAACGTTAGACTGAGAAACAGCGAAACTTGTTTGACGAAAAATTCCTTGCATCCAGCCTCCTACAGTGTATTGTGGTTCACTTCGACCTCGAAATTGTGGTGTGCAAATTTTGAGCCAATCAGCGAACGTCATGAGTACTGTACTGGTCATTTTTAGTGTGATCGCCATTTGGTTTGGCCAAATGCGCAAGAAGCAACTGATAGCCCTGAATATAATGCTTTCTTTGCGAAATGTACTTGCAACACGTTAATTGCGCGAATGTCCCGATTCAATAGTACGAATTTCATGATCTTTGAGATATTTAAGGTAACTATCAATACTACGTCGTACGTAGCCAGCTTAAATATGCTGGTGCTGATTTTGTTTTGGTGATTTCATCGTTCTAGTGATTCGATTGGCTATTCTAAAACTCAAGCAATTCCATTGGCCAATTTGAGTGCTCCTTAAACTAACAGTAAACTGTCCCGTGTGTACCATAAACTGGCCACCTACAGTTGCCCGGTATTAACAATAATATTTGGAAAAGTTATTCTTTCTCACAGTCAAGTGCGTAATAACTGTAAATAATATATTTTCTTGCGCCAAGGGGAAAAATAAGTTATCTTTTTCATCCTCCAGAAACGATAAGTAATCTATCAACCCACTGGTTTAGAATAGGTAAAAGATAGATAACGTTATTTGAGAACCCCTGATGCGCCATTGAAGTATTGTGAATTCGCTATAAACTTCCAAAATTCGCTTGGTTTGTCTGATCAATATTGAATCATGCTGGAGTTCTGATTGGTTGAATGTACTTGTTCTCTCAGTAAGAGCCAATCAAATCCACTCAAAATTGGATTAGCCAATAGCGTCGATTCGTGATGGCGAGATTCGATTCGACGGGGTCTGGAAATTTGTACCGAATCCACAATAACGTAGATTTCCAATTTACAGTGGGCGGAGCCATCGAGGGGTCCTGGACTTGTAACGTCCGATATACTTGTCCAAATTGATCCGGGAAAAGTGTGTTGAAATCGTACTCTCAGAACGCATAAACTGTGAAACCGCATTTACTATCTCAAAACTGTCGCTCAGTAAGCAAAGAAAAACTATGCCATATGGAAGTTGAAAAAACTTGTTGTATTTATAACCTGCTATTATTTATAAATACAAGTAAATAGTGATACAAATTTCAACTACAAAGAAATTGCAAAACATTATCAGTTCCGGATAATATCCGGTAGGACCCCTCGATAGCTCCGCCCACTGTTAAGAGACATGGGACAATTTAAGGGACATCGGATTCCGCCAATCACCCACCTTGAAATTTGTGTAGAAATACCTCTTTAAATAAATGTTCTTCATGATCCCATGTGTTTTATATAAATCAATTAACCAATTGGCTCTATAAATACATAACCTGTTGACGTTGCATATGTACCTGACAGAATATTATACCCTAACCACGAAAAATATATGCATGGATCAATACTACAATCAAGCTTAAAATATGTCTCTTAAATTGTTGCCTACTTTTGAGGTGTTTCTGCTTAGAAAATGGGACATTAGGACATGATAGATACTATGAAAATAGATGTTTCAGTGCTTGTTGGAAATACCTGCGTTTCCTGTTCAATTATCAGTTTTCAGAAGTCGAAACTCATTCCTCAGTGCCGAGCTGCTTCCATTTCCCGGCATTGACTCCAAAATATGTCTCTTAAATTGGAAATCCACAATATTTACTTTTGGGCTACAACGGCGTCAATGTTGATATGTACAGGCAGGCACACTTCTTATTAGACCTCTTGTTCAGTGACGAAGTTTCAAGTCAGAACGTGGTTAGTGATCATCCATCAAGGCATTGACTAAGTTGTGTATAAGTGCTTATTTATTTCATTATTATTTATGTTATTGAATCAATTCGTTGTCGATTGCCGAACTTATCATTTGAACGATCACAAAAACATATGATTTTGAAAGCCACGAAACAGTACAATAACTCCGACGCTATGGTGGCCAAACGGCTATGGCCATCCGCATCTGTACGCGATCAACATGTCCCTCGTTTCGACGGCACGGGGGGAAATTCCCCTCGTCGTGCACACTCGACTGGGCCGTGTAGGAATTCGCCACCTCCAACTCCATCAAGACCCCATCAACAGCACCACGGTGCATAACGTTACAGAAAATTGATCATTCGTCAAGGGGTCTAGGAGCGGGTTAATAGTACTTGAAGTATTATGTAGTATACTTGTAGAAATTCAAAATGCAAGAAATGTATTGGTACTATTACTGTTATTAATAATACTAACGTTAAGTAGTATTAATAAATACAGTAAATAGGGTGATTTATTAAAGTGGATAATTTGTTTTTTGGTTAGGACTTGTGGCATACCTTCAAAATTAAATACTATGGCAATCCAAAGGTTTCAAATAGTGGTGGCGGCCGCAGTCAGTTTGCTGAAGATATGTGGTCTCGGGTTGCTGCGATCGGAGCCCGCCGCTTCGCCTCTCATGCGCATAAGCACGTGCCGGAGCAGTTCGTCCGCGACCAAATCGTGTCCGTGACGCTGTTAGACTGGGAAGGCAGCCGCCATGTCGTGCAAGGACGTGTGGGCCAGTCCCTCTTTGAAGCGTCGCGCCTGTCGGGTCTTGATATCATCCAAGACGACACCCTTGGCGGCGGTGGCGCCGCGTACAGCGCCATTCGAACGCCAGAGTTCACGGAGAACTTGTTCGGTGAAGGCCCGGCGTCGTTCTTGTCCCATGTAGTCGTGTCCAACGAATGGGTGGACAAGCTTCCGTTGCCCACGGACCGCGAAGTACGCATCTTGGAAGATGTGCCCGAGGACGACTGGACCAAGAACTCCCGCTTGGCGACTGAAATCATCCTGACCAAGGACTTGGAAGGCCTTGTGGTCGCCGTGCCAGAAGCCCAGCCGATTGAAACGTTCACGTACACCAACTCGTACGAAGACGAAGGCCCGCCGCAGTACACCATGTTCCCTCCGTCGCTTCGCGGCGATTAGAATGAAACACGATTTAAGAGTCGAGTATATGTATAACAAGGTGGACTGGTCCTCGACTATCAACCTCGCCGCCCCAATATGCCATTTCATTGTCTTAACAGCTTGGCGATATGCCGTCGACTACTGTGTGCACACTTCCATCCTTCTAGTCTACGAGGCCTGCATATATGTATCTGAAACGCCGCCTCTATGACCGTTACATGTGAATCGGTTTCTCACAGTTGAGCACGTACTTCCGAGACGGCGGCACTCGTAGATCGATGGCCTACTTTCCGACATTGGTCGACTACTTTGTCGAAGTGTCCATCGTTGGTAGGACCCACCCAATGTACTGTTGTGCACGATCCACCATACCTCAACAGACACGGAGCATACATCGGTGCGCGCCATCCGCCACCGGACTCCCGCCACCGACCGCGATCACTTCGCACTCCCGGATGGTGTTCGATATGTACGCTCAACCGTTCCTCCCATGTGTCCTTGACGTCGCAACGTAGTTCTGCCTCCCCGACAAACTCAACCTGCGGCCCCGCGCCGCCTACGAGCGCGTGCCATCCTTCCACTCGTTCACACTCACCGGGGGCGACGGGTCTCGTGCGTTTGGGTTTGCTCTGACCACGTACGACCAAGACGACGACGCCTGTCTCGGCGGTAGAGTGCGATGCCTTCATCTTGAACGCTTCGTATGCAATGCCATATCCTGACCGATCGCTTAGGGCACAGTGGCATTGCCGTGCCGCACGTCTACTGCTTCATTTCCCATTTTCCGTTCTTTTCATTGTTCAAGCAAATCCTCGGGTATGCCCCGCCATGTGTTATGCAACTAACTACATATGACTAACTACATATGACTAACTAATCTCTCGTGGGTCAGATGGATCCACCACCATCGACAGGACGACGACGACTTCTCCACTGGAGGCGACAGCCTTCGCCGCTGCATCTTGCCTTCCCGTGACAACAACCAAGAGGTCCGTATATATATAAATATGTAAATATATATATATAAATGTATCGCTCCATTCACGTAGCCGCACCATGTATCTCTTCTGTAGGACGCGACGGCGGCAGTGCCATGGCTGAACATGATTGATGACTTTGTGAGGAATAGCCCTGCCCCCCACGGCGGATCCGTCCTCGACATCCACTTTGGCCGCGACTTTGTGTACGCGCACACGCTGCTCAAGAGCGCGCTGCCGCACGTGGACGACATGTGCTTTCAGCTGCTGTTCCAGCACTTGAGTGTGAAGAACATCATGCTCGTGCTCAACTGCATGCTGCTCGAGCAGCGCATTCTCATCCATTCGTCGGTACGAATACAGTACCCCCCTTCCCCACCCTATTTCCACCCCCCACGAAGTGTCCCAACCTGCTGCATGTATGTCGTAGCACCATGGGCTGCTCACCCCCGTGTGCGAAGCCCTCTGTGCGCTGTTGTATCCGTTCGTATGGGAACACGTGTATATCCCCATGCTTCCCATGAAACTCATCGACTACTTGCAAGTACGTACTAGTTAGTTGGTGGTTCGTCATTAGTCGATGGTTAGTTATAGGTAATACGGTTGATGATGCTGTTAGGCGCCTGTGCCGTTCTTTATGGGGGTGCACACGAGCTACTTGACGACCAAAATCGGCGCCGACACGTTCGCGTCGTGTGTAGTGATCCATCTGGACAAGGACAAGGTCGTACGGCCCATCCATGCGACGCTGCCAGATTGGACAGGTCAAGATCAGCCCCAGATCGAAGACCACCACTTGCCCAAGTTCCCCCTCTCGCCCCTCGCCACGCTGGTGACCACCGTGAAGAACGTCCTCGACCAGTATCAGCCCCCCACGAACCCCCACACTGGTAACACACAGCTACGAACCATCAACGTGAATATGTTGGGCGTTGATATCTCACTCGTGTGCTGGTGTTGGGGCAGCTGCCACGAACCGCATTCGACTCCGCCGCAAAGCGCGGACGTCCGACGCCCTCACCATCTTGCGCGGCACTTGCTCTCCTTCTTCGCTCGAGCTCGATCAGGGCACACCCACCCCCCCTCCATACACCGCCCCCGAAGTCGAAATCACATTTGGCCATGGACCGGTCGGTACTAACTACATGACCAAACTACCAGCGTATGTGATCCCCGTACGTAATCCTTGTTTGGTAACTCTAGCTTGGCATCACATTCGAATCGTCTCGCGTGTGGCTGCTGGCGACTGGTCTCGCCGACGACCCGACGACGCCGTCCTGCGCCGCGTCGGCGGTCGTCAAGGCGTTCCCGCAGCTTCAAAACGGCCTCCCCGGGCCCGCCGCGCTCTCCGGACTCATCGCCCCCGGCAGCTACCTCCTGAGCGTCAATGACCACTCGACATTGCACTTGTCATTTGAAGCCACGTGTGAGTTGCTCCGCCACGAGTCGCGTCCGTTGGTGCTTCGGTTTCAGAACGCCACCCAGTTGCCGTACCATAACGCGATGCAATTTGCCGCGCGGGTGCGCGCGTCCAGCCTCGTGGCGCTTCCCCCCAACGTCCCCCGTCCGGTCCAGTGCCTCGACCACGTCGAATGGGTCGATGCCATCCGCACCGCATTCGCCACGTTCTTCGCGTCGCAGTTTCCCGACATTCTGCCGTTCGTGACGCTCCAGCCGGCGCTCGCGGCGTCCCAGAAGGGTCAGATCGCACGGCGTCACAGCATCCAGCGGTTCGTCTCGTTTGACCGCGAGGCGTTCCTCCGGACGCGGCGGCGGCTGTCGCTGGCGTACTTTGCGGCGGTGGTCGACACGCAGGCGTTCGCGGCGTTAGTGAACGACACGGCCGTGGGGCAAAGCCCCCACTTGGGCTTCGAGTCCCCCTTTGTCGACTTGTTTCACGAGTGTGTTCAACTTATGGACGTGCCGGGGGCGATCCATGCGCGGTTGGCGCGGGGGGGCGACGGGACCAAGCGCGTGCTACTGCAGTTCCAAGGCATTCCCACCACCAAGCTGCACCCTGTTGGTTACCAACGCGATGAAGTGAAATGCCAAGGAAACAGGTCGAGTCCCAGAGCACCAGAGGTGACGACAACAACGACAACGTCTGCTATGTCCAAGCTGTTTCACGAATTGGAGCTTGAAATCAACTCGCCCGACGTGGCAGAGGACGAGCCCGTAATCCTCGTAGAGACGCCTCAAAAACGAAAGTCCATCACGCGACAGCTGGAAATGATGATCTGTGGCGCCGCCATCGAAGTACGTCCTTATTACGTAGTAGCACACACGCACCTTGTCGATGGATTTTTGTGTTTCATATGTGAGTAGCTGCCGACCGACGAGTGGGGCAATGGACGGCGACGGCGGTCGCTCAGCGATTCATCCATGCTGCAGCTTGAGGAAGAGCTGCTTCGGCCGCTGGACATCGACAGCGCGGCAGCTCACGGCCGCCGTTCCCCCGTCAAGACGGATCAGCACCCTCTCGCCCTGGATACCAAGGCGCCTAGCCAGCCGCAGGACGATGGGGCTGTCAAGCGCAAACTGAAAAAAGTACCTCGGTATGTTGTTGGTTTACTCATATTGTATCGTTATAACCCAACCCGACCCGTCAGGCCAAAGCTATCGTCCGACAAACTCTGGGCTGCGTGGCGGCGCAAGACTAAAGCCTAACCACCGAATGTTGCTCAAGATGATATCTGCGTGGATTTCACAACTCCAAAAGTCAATCCGATATATATATATATATGTTTGTGCTGTTTGCTTTGTTAAAATACACTAGTCGCGTCGAAACCCTTGCTTTAGTTTATCGAAAAACGACACCTTTTTCGGAGGGTCTGCCGCGATGGGAGGTGGGGGAGGTACCGGCAGTGGTGTGGCGGAGCCCCCGTGTGTGTGCCGCCGCGGCTTCTTAGTCGGCGACCCCACCCCCCGCTGTAACTTGCGGCTCGTCGCGTTCAAATCGTCGGCGGCATGGCCTTCCGCCGCCATGAACGCCTTGACCTCGTTGTGCGAGAAACCCAGTGACAAGAGATTGATAAACTTGGCCGCCAACTCGTCGTGTTCGTCGGGGCGAGCCGCGGCACCCTTGCGCGTGTACGTGGATGGTGGTGCCGGAGCAGCTGGCGGTCCCCCAAAGAGATCGTCGTCGTCGTCCAGTGCGGCCATCGTGGATTGGCGCTTCTTCTTCTTCTTCTTCTTGGCCACTTCCAACGGCTTGGTTTCGTCTAACGCGGCCGTGAGCCGCGTCTCAAGCTTGGCGGCTTGAAGGTGCTGTCGATACTTGGGGAAATTGCGCGCGTCTAGCCGAGTGCGGCGGGGGTCGGTGAGGTACGAAATGGGTGGCTGTGAGGAGACGTCCGTGGTGCTGCTGGCGGATGGCAACGCGCTGTGGGCTTTGGCACGGGCCTCGTACTCGTCCTGCTTTTGCCGTTCACGCTCACGTTCGCGCACTTGCTTGCGCTTGGCCTTGGCGAGCTTTTGGCCTTCATGGCTCTCGGGGTCCGTGATGGCTTTGATAGACTTGACCCACAGCGTGACTTCGTTCCGGTTGTGCCCCGTGGCCGAGTACTCTTTGCCCTTGTCTGTCACAAACTTGAACGAGTTGTCGAGCGTCGAGAACATGGTCTTCCCATTCCACTCCTGGAACCAAGCGAGGTTGATCGCCATAGATACATACACGCAAAGGAAATGTCGCATCATGTACGTGTACCTTTGTCCCTCCCAGACGAGCTTGATGTACGAACGTTGTCGGCTGCGCAATCGCCGCGTCCTCGGACGCGTAGATGGTAAACACGCCAGTATCTGTGAGGACGCAATAGTACTCTTGGCTATACATGGACAACAGAGTCGTGAGCAAGCGAAGCTGAAGACTATTCTGGTGTCCCCGTACAAGGATAAGGCCATGCCATAACGAAGATTCAGGAGTCCCTTGTACAAGAGCTCGCCGTCTGCCGCCATGCCACTTTTCACACAGGAATGTGTAAGTTTCCATCAAAGTCCCTTTTCCGGCTATATGGCACTTGAAGTAATACTTTATTGAATGGTAGTGTATAATACTATTAATACTATTACTACGTATTAATAGTATTATAATAATAGTAGAGTACTACGTAGTACTAGTAGCACAGTACTACTAGTACGTAGTATAATCTACTCTGAGTAGGGAAATAAATCAATCACTTTATTGCCAATTTCATTTCCTGCATGCGTGCGTGACGCCGTCGGACGTTCCTGCGATCCTCGGGCTTCCTTGGGATCTGGTTTGGGTACCGCATTATATCTGGACAGATCAAGTCTGGGCGAAGAGGAGCTCAGGGATGGTGCTGTGCGGGAAGAAGTAAGTACGCACGTCCCCGTGGGCCTGTCGTGCGTAGTTTCGTAGGTGCATCTGAGATCTTCTGAGATGAACTCAGGTGAAAGTTTCGACTCAGGGTGACTGTCCACGACCGAGAAAGAGACGCTAACTGGCCGCGGCAGAACAGACACTTCACACCAACATGTTAACTTAGTCTAGATGGCATCCTTCGACATTGCTCGCTCGTTCCATGGCGTCTTCTATCGGCACACACAGGTTGAGGCAACGGGTTCCTAAATGTGACCCTGCTTGGGCTTGAAATGATGCTTCATGCCCAGCGAAAAGCAGTCTCGCTGGACCATTTGATGCGGCGGAACAAACTACAAATATACACGTCTTAGCCGTCATATTCGTCCGAGGTTGTCCATCGTACCTCGTAGTTACCGCGGTGATCGTCGAGTTCGTACTGGTTCAAGTTGCGCTGGTACCGTTCCGACGACTCGAGTCGCCGCCAGTCCAGGTGCTGGACATTCGATAGACTTTGCGACAGCTGCTGTGCAGGGATGCCGATCGGCTCGGATGACATTTTGCGAGTTCGGACACTGCGAACCGAAGGGCTCAAGGCGCTACTAGCTTTGGAATGGCGTGGAATGTTGTTCAGCACGGACGGCGACGGCAGGGCGGCAGTCTTCTCGTCGACAGCTACTGTCACCGCCGTCGACGGGAGTTTCAATGCGCTCAGGTACTTGGCACGCCACTTTTGCTCGTTGGACGACATAAAGTTGGCCGTGTTGGGCATCGAACGGCTACGCATGAGCGCCGGCGCTGCCCTGCACATTTGAACTCAACGTCCATGCAGCAGCATATTCGATAGAGAGAGAAACTTACGTGTGAACTGCTGGACCGGTGGGAATCGCGAGCCCAGCCATCGGTTTCACGGTGGGGCGCGACGGCAACTGTTGCATGATGTCGTCGTCCAAGTCGGAGCCACTGGCGGTCCCATCTTCGTCAGCCGTTCGGTCGTCGTCGTTAGAGTGCGAGTCCTCGTTGTTACCAAACAAGAGGTCCGACTCGTCCATGTCGAAGTCGCTGTCCATGGCGCCAAGTAGCCTGTGACAAGAAGTTCTCCAAACACACACTGGTGCAAAGTATGATTCGCATCGTAAACCATGTTGAACTTGCTCCAGTTTGGTTTCGACGCCTCAAAAAAGTTGCCGCGGAATAAAAATACCTTGGCAATTGTATACTTGAGTTTTACAAATGCAACCATGTGGACCCAATAACGTTGTTGTGTGGTGGTTTTGCCTTCTCTATTTTAATATATACGATATGCCGATATGCAACGGTAATATCGTTTTCATTCGCGGACAGTTTAAAAATCCAACGGATTTTGGCCAATCCAATCGACGATTCACGTTGGTTAAGGTATAAATCCCTAGCGAAGCGACCATTCTTATCACGCGTCAACGAGTATATCAGTGTCGGACGCTGTATTACATTCCCGCGACGTGCGTACTGAATTTGCAAATTAATAGGCATGCATATCTACAAATTTGTAGCAAATCTTTCCAAAATATATTGTTTCATATCATTTCAAGGCGTTTTGATGTTGGCGCCCTGGTGCTTTTCCCCCACAAGCCTTGGATATTGATACTTGTCAAAACCACCAAAAGAAAATACATGTAGCACTCGCCTCTGCGGATGAGCCAGCGCGAGTAGCTTGCATGTGACAGACAATCTTGAGGAAGAGTGTCGAGAACAAGCGGATTCTGGAATAGCGACGCCAGCCAGAATGGTTGGCCGGCGTGTGTCGGGTTGTCATTTCATCGCGGTTTCAAATATTACCACATGGACGTCACCTACATATCGCACCACAACGTCGTGCCGCTCAATTCCACCATGTACAGTGTTCCAGCTGATGTAGGATCACAGGATGATGGAGATGGTGACTAATCAACAGATATAGTAGCTCTGCGATAAAATGTCAGAGTAAGCTTAGGTTATTGTCACAATTGGAGTTGAAAACGATTCCAACGAATCCCGCAACTGTCTCGCGAAAGTATGGCCACCCCCTTGCTTGTTGGACTGGGGGCTGGCCCATACGAAGCAGCCGAATATAACGTGAATATGATGCCATTCAAAGCAGTTTTAATTTGGAATATCAGGATTCGTCTTGGGCCTAACAATAATAAAATGGCCGAGTTGACGGAATACAGTACAGTACAGCTGTAGCAAAACTCGTTCGAGTTTCGATATTTGTGCCAACATATTACAGTATATAACGATACCCTTGATCTTACAATGTTGTGCGACGTTGGGGGGTACAATGATGTTTGGTTGTTTCGTCGGCAAGTAGCAATTTCAACACGGTGTGGTGGAACTCGAGCATAATCAAGTCATGGTGGACGTTCAGTAGGTCGGTGCGCGGCGTCGGGTCTGACTCTGCCACGACCCCCACACCACTTCCTTGTCGGCAGCAAGTGCCACGAGGGGAAGCCAATAGAAAAACCGACCCGGGGCGTCTGCAAACCGATCGTCCGCTCGTGCATATTCAAGACCACAAACACACACGGCTGCTCGTCGAGGGCTTGTACTTCGGCCAACGCCACCACTTGCTGCACAAAAATGTCGTGCGGGGGGCTTCGACTTGGCCGTCCGCGTCAATCAACGTCGCCGCAGCACACTCGCAGCCCATGTGCTGAGCCGTCATCCTACACGCGACGTCGAAAAGTGTTTCATGGCGAGTAAATTGGCACTGCGATAGGCGCCGCAATGCCACGATCGCTCCACGACGTGTCTGATTGCGGCAAGGGAAGGCGACGGACGGTGGACTTGGGGATCAGGGGAGGGAGGGGGTGGCCATGGTAGTTGGAGGACACAGGCGGCGATGGGGGAAGCGCGAATGATGCCGGGCTCGACAGTGCTTTGACAAGCGCCGGCGGTAGCAAAACGGCTGCTGCGGCGGGGGTGCATTCAATAGACGAGGCCTTTGGGTTGTCCTGGTTGATCGAGTCCGCGCACGCCACACACACCCGAACGTCCACGATCGGTGGTCGAACAAGAGGAACACACGTCTTGGCCGCAGAGGCAGCCCCCGCGGAAGGTTGAGGGGGGTTGCCGTCGCGAAGCGGCCCTCGACAAGACTGGCAGCCAAGCGCTGTTGAAAGTGCCACTTGGAAATCATTTCCACAGCGTCGGCGAATTTCGTGAGCAGTTGCTTCGTGTCGTCCACGAGGCCGCCCTCGTAGCAGTATTGACTCACAAAACTAACGCGCACGCGGCTACAGTAGGGACGTTTGTGGTGGCGGTCGTGGCGGGGTTGATGGCTTGGACGAGGTAGCTGCCCCGGCGAAGGGTCGGGCATACCGAGGCTTCGTCAATGGATTTGAGGGTGCGAACGAAGTCCGAGTCGGACTTCTGTTCCAGGTAGTCGACGTATAAAAGATTCCTTGGTTTGGACGCGAATTGCTTGAAGTGGCCCTCTGGACTCTACAAGTACAGCTTTTTTCATCGCAATCGAACGGATGTCGTGGGACGTTGTCGTGGTGGTGGCGGTAGTGGACGTTGGTGACGACAACGACGACTTGGTGTCTTCGTCCGAGTGACTGCTTCGACTATGGCGTCGATGGGCGGAGGAAGCTGACCTTGGCTTCACTTTGCTCCGACTTGTCGTTTCTGTCATGGTGGTTCACTTGATCCGGCGAACGGGAGTATTCGACACCATCGATGTGCCAAAGGTCCCCGCCATGAACGCATCGGTGTTCTTACTCAAACTGATTGTGCCGGGCCTTCCTACATTTGTTTCTCATAGGCGTCATGTCAGACATTTTCGATTAACTAAACACAATCCAACGGCAGTTACTATGTCGACCTTTTATTATCTGAAACTAGGCCCTAGCGGGTGGTCGGCGTTATTATTGAGCCAATGCACGACCACGGCTCATGTCGGCTTTGTCCTTAGCAATCATGCGACGGTGTCGATCCCCTTGGGTTTGAAATGGTTCTCCATTACAGTAACGTGAAATTAGCTGGAAAGATGTACTCCGGAGTACTACGTAAGTCGTCACCTCCAGCGCTATTTTTGCAAAGGCCTCTGAATCAAAAATGAATAGTACTGTACATGTGCCAAGTATACTGTTATACCAAGAGCGCTTGCTTTCTTTCCCACTAAAAGGTACGAAGTACACCACCAGCCTTACTTAAAGCAGGCAACATTTGAGTGTAAAATACGCTACTATTCAGAGTGAATAAACCTATCCTAGCTAATCTATCCCAGCACCAGTGCAAACGACCGACAGCCCCAGCGCGTTGAATGACGGAGGGCACATCCAATCCATCGCAGACTTTGCCGCTCCTCCGTGCGCTAAAAGTTATGCCGGCTGTACAGTTGGGACCCTAGCCCCGTAGGGTTGGTAGTCGCGGTGGGTTTGGGGACCAACGGGACGTTGGGGTTGTAACTGGACTGAAATGGCCTCTTGCCGCCCGACAGTAAATCGGGTGCTGCGCCATTTTCGTGGTTTTCCGAGTTGCCCATGCCAGGGCCATAGCGCGCTTGACGGACGTACCGATTCCCTTGCGCGGTGGTGTCCAGTACGCCCGACTGCGGCCCGAGGGGGTCGCCAGGGCCGGACCCGAACAATGTGTTGCCCGCAGCTGCGATGGCGTTCCGAGGGGCGATTTTCGCGGCGGTGGGGAGCGCGTTCGACGAGTTTGTGCGGAAGTTTGTGCTTGCGGCATTGAACGTTTCAATCGCGGGTTGTTGATAACTGGGAGGCGGGACGGGGCCGTAATTTGATGTCGGCGACTTGGAACTAAGTGGCGTCGTGGAAGGCGACTTCTCGACGGGGGTCGTCGTGCCAGCCAATGATGTGGGTTGGGGCGGGGCATTTGGAGTAGACAACGACGAGGGGATGTTGACGCTGACTTGAAAAAACGGGTATTGTAATGCTTGGCTGGACGTCGGTCGTTGGTTCGGGTCGTATTTCATGAAGTCTTGCATGAGCTGGATGGCTTCGGGGCTAGCGTGGGGTATGATGGACTGCAGCGACGTAGGAACGAACTGGGGAAACCGGTAGTTCATCTGCGCCGCCAACTTCATGCCCTCGGGCCAACTTGCGTGCGTGGGGTTGCCAAGCACGGAGCAAATCTTGTATATTTGGTCCCCTTCGCTGCTCCCTGGGAACAGTGGCCTCAACGTAAACATTTCTGCCATGATGCACCCCATCGCCCACGCGTCGATGGGTGAGTTGTACGTCGTTGATCGCAGGAGAACTTCTGGGGCTCGGTACCATCGCGTAGACACGTAGTCGGTGAACGGCGGGCGTGATCGGATTTCGCGCGCCAGGCCGAAATCGGCTACTTTGACCACGTCGCCTTTGACGAGCATGTTTTCCGGCTTGATGTCACGGTGGAAGAAGCTGTGTTTGTGCATGAAGGCCAGGCCTTGGAGCATTTGGTACCTAAGGAACGAACGATACATCAGACCTCGTCCCGAACGTGTGTAGTGACGCAGCAGCACGTACATCAAGTTGCGGATCTTGGACTCGGGGAAATGCCTGTCCCGCTTTTTCATGGTCTCGTACAGGTTGTTCTCCATGAACTCGAACACGAAGAACAGCTCATCGTTCTCGCGTATGACTTCCTTTAACTTAATAATATTCGGGTGGTTGAGTTTTTTCAACGACTACATGGAGGTCGTGAATACGAGAAAGTACATGGACATCGAAATCCCTACCTTGACCTCTCGAAGCTGCATGCACTCTTCCCACGTGTAAAACTTCTTCTTCATCTTCTTCACAGCGACCTACATAAGCGCATCACATGAGATCGTTCTCAAGCATACACGCATATGGGGTCGCTCACCACTTCTCCCGACGTCCGATTCACAGCCTTGAGCACCGACCCGTACGTGCCATCGCCCAATTGCTTGGTAACTTTGTAGCGATTCATTTCACAGACAGAGCAGACTGTTCCCACGCCGTCTCCGTTGAGGATGTCCCGTGTGTGTTGCCGCTGCCTTCGCTCTCGTCGATGTTGCCCTCTCCTTCGTAGGGGTCTCTTTTTTAGTCGGCCGTTTCTTGCGTGAAACTCCCCGGTGAAATCTAAAATAGGCTGCACTTGCTGTGCCCCGGGGCAAATTTCAACGCATATCCGGACCTTCTTGAATCCGGTTAAGGGCAATTAATTTGAAAATGCCCAACCAATTCAGGTTTGCGAAATATTTATAGCCAATAATCATCCCAACTCCCAATCCACAATAACGACACATGATACAGAATTCGTAAGGTGAAACAGTAGGTTTTAGTAGGCTCGCAAGGTGAGCTGCCTTACGAATTCCATAAATCGATCTGAAATAGTTCAAATTTTATTGAATGAAGCTTCATCTTTGTATGGAATAATTTAGGCTGCCTTACCAAATTTCTGTCCAATTATATGATAGAAAAGTGAAAATAACTGGCCAATAGGATCGTTCTATTCTCTTTGCTTAGCTGTAGGCTGCAGCTATTGGACTACAGTACTACCGATAGAATGCGATCCATTGCTCCTATCCGCGCGCTTGAGCCTGGGCGATGGTCATGCAGTATGACTTGGTCCTCGTCTTGTCGCAGCATAGGTAGTGGTTGTTCTTGGCGTAGTGGGCGCTCTGGTGGAAGTGCTGGGCTCGGGTGCCGTCGCACATGCCCCCGTCCTTGGTCGTCTTACTAGTTTTGCATCTTGGCATACACCAAGTAATCATATGGGCCAAGCTCGTCAACTACTGGTACTGTAAATAGGTTGTTTACAGCAATTTACTCGTTGATCCCGAAACCCCGAAACGTCGCGGGCAAACGACTTGATTTGGTCAAACTTCTGGTGACTATGCCCCGATAATATGATTCTTACTGACGGTAGTTTTACCCATCACTTCCTCATTTTGACTTGGAAGGAACTTGGGGGTTGGTCCCAGTCCACCGAAACCATGAAGTAGTAGTGATGCTGCTGGTCCTTCCTAACGAGAAATTCGCATCGACTATTCGACATTCGATGGCGACTTCAATAAGCACTAAGGAAAAATGTTAGTGAGCGTGCTCGAGAGTGCGATGAACTTTTGACATGAGCATTAAGCTGATGGTGGCACGAGTTGTTTGAGTCGCTGGGAACGGTACTTCTGCATTTTTGAAGTCGATAAAAATGATCGCCTTAACCAATAATACGGCAAAGAAGCCATGATGCACTCTGATAGTAAGGCCAGCCACCTTACGAATTCCACAAACAAGTCAATTATATTCGGAGTACTAGTAACTGTTAGTGTACTACTTCGAAGTATAATAGTGTTAGTATACTAGGACGTCATAATGTGGTCCAACAAGTACAGTAGACAGGTTTTGATATTTTTGTTTCAGCCAAGATTTGGACTTTTGTGCTGATTTGCCGAATCCACTGATTGACTTTTTATACTGAATTTTGTATGTAAAACTATGTCTAGTGGTCGATCTCATCACACTAATTAATGTCACGTACTAATTAGTTGTTGATTGGTTGAACCAATGAATTCCTGATTGGTTCATTTGGTTGGGTAAATTCATTCTCCATGTCGCTCCAGTTTAGAATCAACACAACAAAGCACTTGCGATAGACACCTCAGCATGATTTTCCATAACTAGTTAGGTTTGGGGTCGCCGTACAATTCCCATATTCCAGGGAGCGTTACAAAAAATATCATGACCTTACAGGAAGCGTTCAAGTTGTGATGGGGGCATTCCAATATATTTCAATATTACTCCTTTTCTCTCCTACAAGTCCGCGTCAAACACTATTGCGTACACGTCCTAACGTGAACGTCGTTGCTTCAAGCTGTACATATTGGTAATTATTCGATTTCAAAATGGACTGGGGCTGCCAATCGAATCGACGAAGCAAAATCGACACGGAAAGAAGTAGCCAATGAAATTTTCGAAAAAAGTCCTTTCGACCAATCAAATTGCGATGCATTGCCATCCTTCTCGATTTCACAAAGAGTTCAACATTGTATTGGACAGGAGTCACAGTGGGTATATTTATTAATACAGGTTAGTTCAAATATAACGACGTCTCGACGATTTCAGGTAGATTTGACGTCTTTCGTCGAATCTACCGAAAATACCAAATTAGCTTGAAAGCACAATATTATACATTTCCTGTTAACGTTAATTAACGTTATTGTTACTGTAATGTGTTAAGTATTGCGGTATCTTTACGACGATGGGATTGGTGGATTGAAAAGAACATGCGCAATCTAAGAACTGATTGGCTTAATTATGTCCAATCCATGGTCGTAATTTCCCTTCATGTGGAAAGGAGAATGTATGTTTAAACTTCTATTTTGTATGTACAAGCGACCAAACGTCGACCGTTTTGTAAAAATAGTTTTCAGTTTTGGTTGCTGCGGCTGAATATACGGTCGAGCGACGGACGGCGGCACTTCCTTCCCCCGGCGACGACGATGGCAACAAGAGATCTCACACGACCCTTCGTCAACCTCAGGACAGATGTCAAGGCGAAGGTAACAAGGCGTCGTCAGATGGCATCGCACTCGCCTGACGCGCACCACGAAGCCAACTCCCTCATGCGAAACGCCGAGATGAGGTCGGACATTGACCTCGAAGCAGCCGCGGCTTTGGCTCAAGACACCCCATTGTGGGTCGACGCCGTCACAGATGTAAACATCCACGTCGCGCGCGTCAAAGAACTGAGTAAGGCAATCACCATCTCATCGTACAGTAACCATGGCATGTGTGAGTGTAGTGGAAAAGTTGACAAAGATTCGAACGAAGCGCCTGATGGTTCGCTTTGACGATTCCGAAACGGATCACGAGCGTGAAATTGAGAGCATCACGGCGGACATCACGGCCGAGTTTCGGAAGGCGGAGGGCATCTTGAAGCGGAAGATGAACGGAAAGGATGGCGTGACCGACGCCGATGCGAAAACCCGGCAGAATGTGCAGCGGGCGTTGGCGACGCAGTTGCAGACGTTGTCGGGGGAGTTTCGCAAGGCCCAAAAGGAGTATTTAGATCGCGTCAAGACGCAACGTCAAGGGCCAAAGGAGTTTGATTTCTTGTCAGAGGAAAAGAAACCCAAGCGCAGCACGGGCATCGACGTGCGTAACCATCGTGCGGGGGGTCATTCATGATGCTCAAGATGATATGGCGTAGGGAGGGTTCATGCAGGCCCAACTTGCCGAAGTCGAACTGGCGGAAGACCTGATCAACGAACGGGACCGCGAAGTGCAGCAGATTGCGACATCGATCCAAGAGTTGGCTACTATTTTCAAGGAACTGGCGGTGCTCGTAATCGACCAAGGCACGATCTTAGACCGTATCGACTACAACATGGAGCAAGTGGTTGAACGCACGCAGGCAGGCATTGTCGAGCTCACGAAGGCCGAGACGATCCAGAAGAGTGGCCGCCCCATGAAGTGTATAGGCATTTTGCTCGCGCTGATCACGGCGATGACCATCATACTGATGCTCAAACACTTGCACTAATCATCATCATGTCTTGGTTCAGTTGCAACGGGGTCTTTTTATTCATATTCACGAGACATGCAGTACACACTTCACAGACTGTTTGAAGGATTAATATATATTAATACAGTAATGGCCTACCTACTTACTATGAATACTCCATATATCGTTATTAATACTTAAGACTTACGGGACAGCATTGAATATTAATACCAACCTTGGATACTATGGTTAATATAATATAATTGTTGAATTAAAAGCGTGGATGACATGTGGATGAAATTTGGATGACATTGGATGAAATTGGATGAAGTTGTGGGATGAAACCTAAAGTAGTGACCAAGCCTTACGTTGGCCCCGAGCGCCCGGGAGGCCGTCCGGGAGCGGCACGGCCTACGGCCTACCTGCCGCTGCCCGACAAGAAGAAAAGATAGATCATTCGGTGAAGTGAGAAGCTTAGATCCGCGCTCTCGTACGGCCGCGCTTGCGCAGACGGCCTCCCGGGCGCTCGGGGCCAACGTAAGGCTTGGTCACTACTTTAGGTTTCATCCCACAACTTCATCCAATTTCATCCAATGTCATCCAAATTTCATCCACATGTCATCCACGCTTTTAATTCAACAATTATATTATATTAACCATAGTATCCAAGGTTGGTATTAATATTCAATGCTGTCCCGTACAGTAAGTCTTAAGTACTCCGGAGTAATTACTATTAATAGTACTAGTACGTAGTAGTACTAACTTACGGTTAGTATACAGTAATGGCCGTAAGATGAAAGTTAACATGGACGATAGATATAACGCTGATGATGATTGTGAGAACCATTTGACTGGAGTTTTCTATGGACGTAACCTCACATATAGGAATATGCATGCGCAAGGTAACGTTTGAATGTGCATATATTGATTTGTGAATACTGGAGTGGCTGCGTTTTGGAAGTGCAGTTCACAACACCAACTTGGACTCTAGGCCGAGCCAATCTCCACCGGTTTGCGACTCCGACAGCAGGAGCAAACAACGTTTGGCTGGGTGTGTTGGAGTCCAGGATGTACTACATAGCAATGGGGTCGCAATCCCAGTGTAGTCCATTGATTGCTGCATACTACAGTTGAATACTAGTATGAGTCTTGCGGAATATACAGTAGTACCCTCGGAAATTCCTCAATTGATGACAGCGAAATTAGAAAACACACCAAGTACCACTCTCCATGGTGGCGCAAAGTCATTTCTCCTTGGCTCTTGGGTGGTGGCGTTGGCAAACATGCAATCAAATGCACGTGCTGTGATCTCGAGCTTCTTGGTGTTGGCCGACAATGAGCAGCTTCCACCTCCATTTCTTGGACCTTTGGTCCAGCACCTCAATTGCGACCCAACGAGTGCCGCTCCTCCTCCGACATTATATCGCCTGGGTCCTCATTCGTGTAGAGAATTCAAAGGTGGCCACGCCAGCGTGGAGCACGACGTCGTGGGTATTGCCTACTCGATCAAAACAACCAGGACCAGCGTTTATTTCTGGTTTCACTCAACCGTTCGACTTGACGTGGCAAAGCAATCGTTGCTGGCGCTGTTGCAACACGTACGAGAGAGCCACGTGCAGACAGTGATCCGACTACCGGGCGTGGACAAGAGCTATTGTGAATGTATTCACGACAGCATGAGTGCAGCACACTGGAACCGAGAGAATGGGTATGAATTGCATGTTCTCGACGCCGCCGTGCCAGTCAAGGCCACCGCGTTAGGTGCTTCGTGGAATGTCGATGGGGAGACGTTCGAGATGGACAGTGCCAATTCCAGCGACGCCGCCTCCATTTTAAGCTTGGCCAGCGTTGGTTACGACCCTGCGTACATTCTCGAGCTGTTGAAGCACCCAATTTTCAGCCAACTCATGCGTGTGGTCCGACTGGCTTCGACGAAACGCGCAGTGTCGTGGTCCCTAGTTCACTCGGACTTTTCGATCGGTCTATTGGGAACCGTCCCAGCATACCGCCGCAAAGGCCTCGTGGGGTTGGCATTGAGCTCGACGGTTGAAGCGTACAGGGCAACAGGTATGACCAACGACAACGCGCGGTTTGGCGTCCAGCCGCATTGCTTTGTGCACTGGAGCAACACTGCCAGCCAGCAACTGATGGCCTCTTTGGGATTCAAACCCGTCCCAAACAAAACATTCCACTGGATGCGCCTCCATGCGTAGGTAGTACAGTACGTACAGTCTGTTACAGTAATCTGAATAAACCCTTTATGAAGATAAAACCTACTTTAACTCCGGCCAATTTACACTGTACTGTAACTGTAAAGTAGAATACGATCTGATTACGTGCTTTGCATTCCCACGCTGTCAAATCCGTGCCATGACGTCGTCGACCGTAATCTCGCGCTTCCTGTCGTTAGCTCTTGGGGAGCCACTGCCGTCGCCATTTCTCGGCCCTTTGATCAACTCACTCGTGTTCAGTCCTACGCGTGTTCCGAAGCTGTACGTCTTGAGAGAGCATTCCGCCCAAGATTACGACGACGATGCTCGGGCCGTCGACACCGCCCATGACCCTGTCGTTGGCATTGGTTTCTCGTTTATCTCTGACAACCAACACGAACGCTTCGGGCTGCATTTTTGGCTGCGCTCCACCATTGCACCATCCACCGCAACCCAAAGCTTGAGCTTGTTTTTAAGGCATGCTACTGCGGGCATGGATCCACACATGGTTGGCCTTCGCGCAGTCGAGCACAACCATTACGTGGCCATTCAAGACATTGTCAACCGAGTCCTATGGAAAGATACGAACGGATGCGGGCTGTATCTCCTTGATGCTGCTACGCCCGTGACATCCGTGGCACTTGGGGCTACGTGGCAAGTCGATGGGGACACATTTGAGATGGACTCTGCCCTTCCCAGCGATGCCCCGGCGATCTTAAGCCTGTCCAGCATCGAGTATGACGAAGATTACATTTACTCGCTGTTGAAGCACCCCGTCTTCAGCAAATTCCTGCGAGTCGTCCGCGTTGCCGCGACCAAGCAGCCCGTGTCATGGGCACTGGTGCACAACGACTTCTCCCTTGGGCTAGTGGGGACCGACCCAGCATATCGCCGCAAAGGCCTTGTCCGCTTGGCCTTTGGCTCTACCATTGAAGCATATCGTGACGCCATTCGTGTGGCGGACGTCGACTGGTTTGGCTTGCACCAGTACTGCTTTGTCTTTTCAGACAACGTTGCGAGCCAACAATTGATGGCATCCATGGGATTCCACCAAGTCCACGATAAGATATTTCATTGGATGGGAGTGCTGGTGTAGGTAGGTACATGTAGTTGTGGAATCACGTTATTGCCGTCGTGGTATCAATATCACTTGAGTTACAAAAGGCCTCGCGTAGCGTTGTGTCGTCTAGTTGAACGTGGGTACTATTGGGATATGTAGTCAACTATGATCACAGACGGCGAATTCGTGGCAAAGTAGTACAGTACTGTACAGGGCTGGTCAAGCTAAGCATGAATTGCACGTGAATTATGGCTTGAACGTATGCACAAGGCGTTCGCGTGTCTCTTTATTCTACTATGATGATGAGTTGTTGGCCTTTACTCCGAGTATTATTATGGCTACGTCTTGGCGCTAGCTTACAAGTACGACACTACGATGTGGTCCGTTCCAGTTGAAACTTGGTCGAGGCCAATACAATTTGGGCATACATCAAGTGCAGCGGCATCACGCGTCGAATGAACGCCCTTCGATTGCGGAGGGTCGAGCCAAAGAGCAGCGTGTGGCCGTTGTCCTTCACGGCGACCCACGAGTGTCCATTCCAAGCCTCTGTGTCGTCCCAGCAAAACAGGATTTCGTCTTGCTTTGACTCGATCACTCGAAACGTCGCGACGTGGTCGCCACTCGCAAACGTCATCGCGTCAATCTCGGCGTCCGTGGTCTTCGCCGCCCCCGCAAGACTCAACAGCACCCGCTCGACCTGGAACACGGGCGACTGAAAGAATGCTTTGGCAAAGTGCTCGACAGACGTTGGTTTACTTAGTGTCACTTGGTACACGTCGACATGTTGGTCGGGTGTCGACACAAAGCGGGCAATCAAGTTGGACGAGTGCAGCGACGAGAGGGGGGTCGACGCTATTTTGCGAGTCGCAAACGATACCACGGCGGCAGTGGCTGCGGCCGCAACAAGGGAAGCCTTTGCAAGCCCGTTCATGCTGACGAAAGTTCAAGAATGAACACACGGATTGAAACATGGCGCTCTTGGAATGATGTCGTTGGGTTGTGTCGTAACGTGAACTTGACGTTTGCTGTTGACGCAACAGCAGAAGGAGGATGCACGACGATTACGGCGACATGAGTGGGCTGTGATCCGATTCTACTGAGATCAGACAAGAACATACATTGAACCCAATAAGCTTACAGTTAGGAATTGACGTCTAGGCTTGCCAGGTACATTGTAAGTGGTTTGGAAAGTGCCAAGAAGCCGCTTTGATAGACAAACAAATTTCTGCAAAAAGGTTGCGCCGTCGGGGAATTGAACCCCGACCTTCTCCTTGGAAGGGAGAAATCCTAACCATTAGACTAACGGCGCTGTTTTATTTAATTTATTATTTACCGAACTCTATTGTCCTTATCCAATTCGATTGGTGGATTAAATTCCACATGCACCAATCAGCGTGCACAATCTTCGATTCCTCACAAAAGATGATGGCTCGCGGGCACAAGCTTCTGGACGTCTCGACGCCATGCTACATTCCCGCGGCAAGCTCCTCTGAATGCATTATTGCGATGCGTATTCTGACCACGGTGTGCTTGTTATCTCTGTAGACCATTGCTGGCAACATGCCGCATCTGACGAAAGGTACGAATAAACTGCAGTGCGCCGATGATTCCATTCTTGGAGTCTGTGTGTAGACAACTGTGAAAAGCTGTCTGATCTGAAACTCGTGGGGGTCAACTACGCCGACCTGTAAGTCGCGTGTTGTCCTACCAACCTATGTAGCTTTGCTCCACTCAGCGCTGTCGTTTCCTCAGGTTCTCGTCGCTGGCGGCTCTGGAGAAGACCGGGACGACGTTTGCTGAGTTTTTGCACTTGCCGAACGACAGTCAAGTCGTGTTTTCCGTCACAGACGTCTTAGCGAATCCCGTACCAAGAGCTCTTTCTGCGATGTGGTGTCATGGTTGCGGTAGATTGCGCGCAACACGGCGACCCATCGCAGCTTGGAATCCACGAACGGCCGCAAGAAGATCACGCCTCGCGAGTACATGGCGGCAGTCAACACGTACAAGCCGTCCAGCTTCGTCGCACTAGCCGACGAAGTGGACGGAACGTTTGGCGCCAAGCGTCAGCAGAATGCCATGGAGAACTCCATTGTGTGGCTCGACGAGTGCTTGTCGTTGCGGGATCCGTCATCGTCGCCCAGTCGCATCTTTGGCGTTCTCTGCGGCGGCGACATCCCTCGGCTCCGCGAAACCAGCGCCGTGGAAACATGCAAGCGGACCATCGACGGTGTCGTCATTTCCGGATTGGGCGGCGGCGAAACGCTCGAGTTTCGGCATCAAGTGCTCGAGTTGTATGCGAAAGTGGTGCCAACGGCACTGCCCCGCCTCCTCCTCAACGTCGGCAACCCGCTCGAGGTGCTAGCGGCCGTCGCGTCCGGCGTCGATGCCTTCATGTCGTCGTACCCGTACATCGTGTCCAAGTTTGCGTACGCGCTCGTGTTTTGGATTGGCTCGCCGTCAACATCGAACGAGCCAGGGGTACGTTGGTTACCGTTGTTTACCGTTATTCACCGTTGTTCACATGATTGTAGTCGTCGGACGAGAGCGCAACCAAGATCAACCTCCGGGACAAGAAGTACGACCGCGACATGCGGCCGTTGTTGCCAGGCTGCCCATGCTTTGCATGCACACACCACACCCGCGCGTATATCAACCACTTGCTCAATGTGCACGAAATGCTGGCCAATATTCTCTTGTACGTGGGTATTATTAGTATGATACCTTTGTGTTGTTCATCATCCCATGATTGTCGATATATATATATATATATATAGTGTCCATTTACCCCACATTTGGTTGACTTTAGTCTGCTGATTCGCCAACCTATCGATCGATTCTTTGACTTGTGTATGTAAAACTCGAAATCCGATGCCACACTAATTTAAGTCACACACTAATTCGGTGTTGAATTGATCGACGAGTGAATTGGATTGGCCACTTGATTCGTGTTCTGGGTTTGGATTGGTCGATCTTTGCTTGTCTGGCGATTTGATCATTCGATTCAGCGCACCCTATATATATATCTAGGTACATGCACAACTTGCATCACTACTTTGCGTTCTTCAAAGCCATGCGTCGTCATATTGGCAACGGAACGTTCCCAGCGTTCCACGACGAGTTTGCGGCCAAGTATAATTAACAAAATCGTCATACGCTTGGGTCATTTCCGTTTGGATCGGGTGGTGGTGCTGTCGGGGGGTGGCGTCCCTTCGGGTTTCGACGACTTGAGTTTCCACGATCCTTTGTCCTTTTTGATCGCAACCTCATCACAGCTGTTGTTGTTGTTGTTGCCGTTTGCCTTTTTCAGCAAAAAGTCGATGGAAATACCGCGCAACTTTAACGCATTGTCAATCAAGTGCAGCTGTTCTTCCATCACCGCCCCTTCTTCCTTGTACTTGCGCGCGTGGGATTCGCAGGCGTCGGCTGCGTCTTCTGCTGTCGTGCACATGTCGCGGGCTTGTTGGGCATCGACCAGCGCTTGTTGCTTGGCCAGTTCGGCTACATAATGCAGCCATTGCAACCACGCTGGTGGGACGTGAACTACTTACCTTCGCGGGCCACGTCCTGCAACACAACCAGTTTGTCTTGAAGCGACTTGACAGTTTGCAGCAAGTCGACGTTTTCCTCCTTTTCAAGATGCAATTCTTCGTGCAAGCGACCGATGACTGCTGCATGCGTTGCGTCGGCCGCGGCTTTCGCATCCCTTGATGCTGCCGCCACGTCACAAACTGAGGCGGCCACCACGGCGTCGAGCTTGGTCTGCCACGATTGGTTGATGCCTTTCACAGTGGCGTCGTGGGTGGCTTCGCGTTCCAGTAGTCGCTCTTCGTACTCGTGAGCGATGGATGTCAAGCGGTCCCGTGCTTGAGCCAACTGTTTCTTCAACTGCGCGCTTTGGCCCGCGGCCGACTGGAGCTCATCTTGCCGTTGGGTCAGTTGCGCGTTCTCGGCCACGAGCGCATGTCGTTCATCCTTCCAGTCTTTTGCCGCCTTTTGATGCTTTCGCTTGAGTTCGTCCAAGCTCGACTTGGCTTGACGAAGGTCCGTCAACGTCTTCTTCGCTGTCTCCACTGCGACTGCGTTTTCGTCGCTCTAATACACTGTAGAAGCAGGAGCGACAGGAACAGGTGCACGTACCAGCCGTTGAACGTCCTGGCTTGCTTGTTCCAGTCGCTGGGACATTGTCTGCATGGTCCCCTGCAGGGCATTGTTCTCAACATCTTTCTGCGCCAGGGCTTCTCTGAGCGCTTCAATTTCTTTGTCCCGCTTGGCTAGTTTTTTCACCGAGTCGTCGGACAACGCTCGCTTTGTGTCGGGCTTGGACACGACAGGCGCGGTCGTTGCACGCTCGCTGTCTTCCTTTTCTTTGCGCAATATCATGAGCTCTTTCTTCAACTGCGCAGATGTTAGAGTCAGGGGCTTCGTGAATACGACGTTTGTTCTCGTCCATGTACAGTACCTCGGTCGCTTCTTTCATCGCACGCTTCATCGTGCTTTCGGCTGCCTTCCTCGCTTCTACCTCGGAGCGCGTGCGGCATTTTACCAGTCGCTACATATATGCCATGAGAAATGTGATGTCCTCCTAGCCTCCATCTACCTCCACGTCATCTTCTTGTACAGCCCGTGGCGTCGCCATGAGTGTCACACACGGCCAAGGTTTTCAAAATGAGTTTGGTGTGTGCCAAAGCGATCTATTTTTAGCTCGACGTATGATTGGTTTAAACTCCACCAATGAAACAATTCCAAATTCGGGCCACCAATTCCGCCTTTTGACATCACGATTGTCGTGCATCAAGATGATGTTGTTGCGTCGATCCTATCGGAGTGCGGTGGCAGGGGTTGGCCGCCGGACCTTCTCGGCCCCGACACCGAAACCAACGCGTCTGTCGCAGGAAGTGGACAAGAAGTGGCAGGCCATTTGGGACGCCAAGCAGGCCGCAGCTGCTTCGCCTGCAGGAGACAAGCCCAAATTTTACTGCTTGTCCATGTTTCCGTACCCTTCTGGTGCACATATATCTCCATGGCATTCCTACATCGCATCCAACTCACTTGTCGTTCTCTTGAAAACAGGTCAACTCCACATTGGACATGTCCGCGTGTACACGATTAGCGACTGCATATCTCGATTCAAACGCATGCAAGGGTTCGACGTACGTCGGCTGTCCATATGTTCGTGTTGGCTCTCTGTGTCTTACCCAGACGTGTGTATGCAGGTGTTGCATCCCATGGGATGGGATGCTTTTGGTCTGCCGGCTGAAAATGCTGCCATCGAGCGAGGCATTTCACCAGGTACGTGACACCACCACCACTGGTCGTTGTAGCATGCTCAGCGCGATAGTATCATAGCCGACTGGACGTTGTCCAACATTGCCCAAGCCAAAGTGCAAATGAAAGCGCTGGGCATCCGCTTTGACTGGAGCCACGAAGTCACGACGTGCCAGCCAGACTACTACAAGTGGACCCAGTGGCTATTCCTCCAGTTTTTAGAGAAGGGGTTGGCGTACCGAAAGGAGGCGTTGGTGAACTGGGACCCCATCGATCAAACGGTCTTGGCCAACGAACAAGTAAGTGTCCTGTCTATTATGAGTTCGTTGCTAACGTAGTTGCTGAATGGACGGACAGGTGGATTCACAAGGTCGTTCGTGGCGGTCCGGGGCCGTAGTGGAGCAGCGCTCGTTGTCGCAGTGGTTTCTCGGCATCACGTCGTACGCTGACGCGTTGCTGGACGACATTGACTCGGTACTAACTACTCCATCCCTGTCACATTCTTCATAAACATATATATATATCGTGATGGGCAACATGCTAGTTGAAAGCGTGGCCAGACGCTGTCAAGCGCATGCAAAGTGCCTGGATTGGCCGATCCATTGGCACCCAAGTGCAGTTCAAGGTCAGTTCCAAAGACTCTTGTTTGTCGGCCATCTTTTCGTGATATTTTTGGTGAACACTGTGTCACAGACTGCCATCCTCGACACTCCACTGACTGTGTTTACCACACGCGTGGAAACGCTTTACGGTGTCTCATACATTGCGCTCGCCCCAGAGCACGAGTCTCTGCCTGCAATTCTCGCGCACGTCCCTCTGTCGCAGCGGCCGGCAGTCGAAGCATATGTGGCCCATGTCAAGTCTCTTTCCAAGGTAAGTACCAACGCTCCCGTCGATGGCACCTTGAGAAAAATATGCGTGGATGGGTAGGACGACCGCAACAATGGCAGCACCACGGCGGGGGTGCCGCTCGGCCTCTCCGCCATCCACCCGTTGACCCATCAATCCGTACGCCGCTTCCGTCGGTGCAATTCTATCGTCATGCATCCGTAGGTGCCGCTTTACCTGGCCGAGTACGTGCTGCCTGGCGTCGGTACTGGCGCTGTCATGGGGGTCCCCGCCCACGACGACCGGGACGCGTTGTTTGCTGCCCATCACAACCTCCCCGTCTCCGTCGTGCTCTCTAACGACGACACGTTGGTCGCGAGTGGTCGTTTCACCGGCCTCCCCGCGTCGGCGGCCAACGACCAACTAACTGACTATTTGGCGGAGCTAAACCAAGGCCGGCGACATGTGCAGTTCCGCCTCCGGGATTGGCTCGTGTCGCGCCAGCGGTATTGGGGAACGCCCGTGCCCGTGATCCACTGTCCCGTCTGTGGACCTGTGGGGGTGCCGCTGAAGGACCTGCCGGTGGAACTGCCGAGTCTGATGGATCCGACAATGGACCTCAAGGGCACGGGGGGGTCCCCGCTCGCCCGGATGGCGCACTGGAAGTCGTGCGCTTGTCCGAGTTGCGGCGGCCCCGCCGAGCGCGACACGGACACGCTCGACACATTTGTCGACAGGTATTGCCGTTTTACCCAAAATGTGAACTTTTGTGCTGATTTTCGCCAAATCTATCGGTCAATTTTGTGTACTGAATTTTGTACATAAAACGTTGTGCTGTGGTGATTGTTATCACACTACTTGAAGTCACACACTAATTCGACGTTGATGATGGTTTCCTGCTGCTATCTGATTGGCTAAATCCTTAATGATTCTTGTGTAATACATTTGGTTGTGTCGTTCCGAGTGTTTATTTGTGTGGCAAGGATTTGAGAAGCAATCTGTGTATGTGTGACACTGTTGGTTGTAGTTCGTGGTACTACCTTCGGTATGGCGACGCGTCCAACACGTCGGTGCCGTTTACAAAGTCGAATTTGACCAAGTGGATGACAAATGGCGGCGTGGACATGTACATCGGGGGCATCGAACATGCGATTTTGCACTTGCTGTATTCGCGATTTGTGACAAAGTTCTTGGCGGATCACCACGACGTGCCTACGTCTGAGCCGTTCAAGCAGCTGCTGGCCCAAGGGATGGTCCTAGGTCGCACGTACAAGTCGCCGTCGACGCTGCGGTTCCTTAAACCCGACGAAATCACCGTCGACAAGGCGGATGGCACCGTGCGGGAGGCCGCGACGAACGACGTGGTGGTCACTGCGTGGGAAAAAATGTCCAAGTCCAAATACAATGGTGTGGACCCCCAGGACATCTGTCGGCAATATGGCGCCGATGTTGCGCGGCTGCTCGTGCTGTTCAAGGCGCCGCCGTCGCACGAATTGGAATGGGACGAGGCCGACTTGTTAGGTCAGTCCAGATGGCTCCTCCGCATTTGGGGGTTGGTCGTCGAGCACAACCATGCATTGGCAGCAGCAGCTACAACCAGTCAACAAGGTAAACTGCAGTAGTGGCACTGTGCACTTTAGATGGATGTGGGTTGTGTATGTACGACATGTAGGACGGTACTCCCAAACGGGGGGTGAAGAAGCGCTGGCATTGCGCGTGGCCGTCCACACAGCGATCAAGAAAGTCACGGAAGCGCTGCATGAGACGCAGTCGTTCAACGTAGCCATCGCCGAACTCATGAAGCTGTCCAACCGTCTCGGTGGTTTGGCGCATTTGCACGGATCCAAGGATTTTGCCGACGCCCTGCACGCTCTCGTGGTCATGTTGGCTCCCCTGGCGCCTCACAACGCGTCGGAACTGTTTGCGGCACTGCAAGTTGACCAACCGACGTTGACAAACGCAGACGTGCATGACCAACCGTGGCCAACGCATGACGATGCCGTGCTCGCGTCGGCCCAAATCCAAGTCGTCGTGCAGATTCGCGGCAAGACCAGGGAGACGCTGGTCGTGCCCGCGGACGCAGATGCGGCTACGCTTGAGGCGCTGGCACTGCAACAGCCCAACGTTGCCAAGCACATGGAAGGCCACACCATCCGCAAAGTGATCTTTGTACCGTCCAAAAAGCCAGGCCAGCACTCGCTGCTCAACTTCGTCATCTAGTAGTATTGTCAGCATTTTTTTCACGTGCGACAATCGGCGATAAGTCCTTGTGATTGGACGGTTGTTTCCGAAACATTTCATCACTGACATACACTATTTGAAGGAACGTAATTAGTGTAATGCAGTGCCACGAAAAAATGCACCCAACGCAGCGAATAACTTTTCAACATGCCCCCGACCCCAGAACGGCGGCCTAGTAGCGAGTACGGCACTTGCGCCGCGTGCGAGAACGCCGCGGCACACGACAAGTTGATGCAGCTGTCGCAGCCATGGAATCCCTTCCGTCGACCCACATGGCAGTCTGCCATCGTGACAACTGTCGGCGCGTTCATCATCTTTCTCGCCAACCAACTCACGACGCTGCTCGTGGGATTCTATCCTCTCTATGCTCAACAGTCATTGGGGGCGTCCGAGTTTCAGGTCTCGGCGCTTTTCTCCGTCTACCCCCTGTGCATCATGGTGGCGTGTCCATCTGGCTCCTTCCTCGCCACCCGACTAGGTCGCAACGCCGTCATCTGTCTTGGACTCTTTGTCAGTGGTCTCTCAACCATTTGGTTTGCCTACTGCGATAACGTCAACCTACTTGTGGCGCTTCGCGGGATTCAAGGATTCGGTGCAGGCATGTCCATTGTCGGCAGCGTCTCCATGATCACGGAGCAAGCCACAATGACCGTCACGAATGCCATCAGCATCACGGAACTGGTCGTGGCGGTGGCATTCGTCACGGCCCCTGCCATCGGCAGCGTCCTGTACGGCTGGGGTGGCGTCTCGTTGCCTTTCTTGGCGTCTGGCGTCGCCCAGCTCGCGTGTCTCATGATCATCCCGTCGCTCTTTGTCGAGTACGGCCTCCCCGACGGCCTGCTCTTCGAAGTCGCTCGGCCGGGCGCCGAACCCACGGTGCCCCTCCGCTTCCTCGACGTCCTCACGCCCACCTCCGTCGTGTGTCTTGTGGTGACGACGGTGGCCATGGGTGGCTTCGGGCTCGTGGACCCCACGCTAGGCACGCACTTGCAGCACTCCCTCGGCGCCCAACACACTGCCATCGGCATCGGATTCAGCGTGTCCGCGCTGCTATATGTAGCCGGCGATCACGCGTTCGCGTACCTCACGATGCAGTGCGGGTGCAAACCTGTCATCCTACTGGGGCTCACGTGCCTCAGCATCAGCTTCATGTGCCTCGGTGTACCGTCCCTGGCCGGCGTCCATGACTCGACCACAGCGTTATGGAGTCTTGACGGCATTGCGCTCGTTCTCTTCGGCTCCGGCACGGCCCTGGCCATTGCACCCGGTGTGCCGCTGTCACTGACGAGTTTGGAGCAAGTCAACTTTACCGAGGCGCGGTCACTGCTAATCGGTCTATTTGGCGGCGCCGTCTACTTTGGACAGGCTGTGGGGCCGTGGCTTGCATGGAGTCTAAGCCAAGTCGTGCCGCGGACCAATGGGTCCCCCCTCCCCTGGGTGTTTACCCTCTACGGTCTAGTCCTGGGTGTAGTGTGGGCGTACGTGTTCACTTGCCTTCCAAGCGGCGATGAAATCCAAGCCAAAGCCTACAGTCGCACGTTTAGCCTGCAACGCCAAGTGTCCGAGTACGGCCAATTCGTATCGATCGACGACGAGGAAGACGAGGAAGACGAGGGGGACAGCGACACCCACTTGCTGGCTTTTGAGACCGGGAGCTATGGCTCCATGTCCCCTCCAAAGCCGTTCTGACCTTGAGCCACACATATATTAACTTACAAACAAGAGTGACCCCCCCCCTCGTGTGCAGATCCTATATGTCGTAGTGAGAGCCAGCCAACCCCTTGCTTTCACCACATTCCACGATACACCCCCATTAGCGAACCCCATGTTCTACCACGACTTTTCCCGGACATGGACTGATGCCATGCTGAGCCCCCCATCGCTACTCGTACCTGGCTATACATGCCCCCCTCATGATGACCTCGGCATTCATGTCAGCCGCATCCCCCCTCCATTTCCGCTTGAATTCCCCTTGAGCCATACGTACAGTTCGTACTAGCGGGGATTGTGTTGTAAATTATGTCAAGGTGACTTGGACGACATGTTGTCGTCCGCGTCGTCGTCAGACGAAGGTGTTGTTTGGAGGGCATCCAGCATGTCATGGTACGACCCTTCCAGCGTGGCCTCGCTGATGCGGAACATCCCGCGCTGGGACAGCCCCACGACCACGAGCAGGGGCGACGTGTCGCGGATCGGGTGCACATACAAGGGCGGGTGTGTCTGCTGCTGCCGTTGCTGTCGCTTCATGTTGGCGAGGTGGCGCTGCTTGGTGAGCTCGACGCACGGGCCACACACACGGAGCTCAAACACGTTGTGGAGGCCAGCTTCGACCTCTTCAATCGACGAGCAGACGGCGCACACGTGGCCGGCGCACAGCCGACACACGATCCCGTTCGTGAACTTGCGGCAGTGGACGCACATGTCCCCGAGCAGGGCGGCAGAGGGTGGCAGCGCTTTGGACAGTTGCGCTTTGTGCCCCAGTCGTCTGCGGAGGACGGCCAGGTCAATCGTGTGCAGCGACTCGCCAAGCTTTTGAAGAAGCCGGTGGCTCGCGTGGGTGGCTTTGGTGGCTTCGTGAGACCCGAAGAACGTCACGCGGCACACGCCGCCGTTGTGGAAGGACAGCTCTTCGATGTGGAACCCAAAGAGGATGCGGGTGTGCCGAGGAATTACCTTGCCGCGGTGCAGCTGCGGGTACGACGTCGTGTTATCGACCGACTTGAAGACGCGGACGATGGAAGAGTCGGACCGTTTCTGGATGTAGTCTAGGAGAAGCCACTCGGCTTTGGACTTGCGGAGGAAGAAGTTGGACTGGACAAACGTTGTTTGCTTGACGGCGGCACCTTCGTATGACTGCTTGATCTTCTTCATGGTGAGAAAGACATCGTCGTCACTGCCTTCATCGTCACTGCCGTCGTCGTTGTTGTCGGTGGTCGGGACAGGACACTCCTCTGGCTCGCCTATCCAGTCCTGGACGCGCCGCTTGCGCCGCCGCTCCTTGGTGCAACGAAGGTTCGTCGCCGAGTCCAACGCCGACCCAAACACGCGCCATAGAAACACGTTGAACCCGTGCCGAGATGAGGTCGGATCGATGTCCCCAGCTAGGAGTTCCAACACTTCCTTCAATCCTGCTTGGATCTCTGTGACAGCGTGCACCGAGTACGTCTTGGCCGCGGCGTCGTACTTGCAGTATACGTCCTTGGCCTTCTCTTCGCCTCGTCCGTTCGACGTCGAGTACCTCAACCGACGTGACACGTGTCGTGCTCGCCCGCACTGCGACAAAAAGTACTTCGCGAACTGCTCGCCGTGTTGCAGCAACTTGGCGGTTGGCATCGTCGCCACGTCGTCTGTGAAACAACTCAGTGGCGGCGCCACCTCGGGCGATGGACTTATCGGGGAGACCGTAGTCAATGACGGCGGAGGATTGGACATGTCCGTAGTGTTGCGATTTCTGCTGCTGCCTGTGGTGTACTTGCCGAGAAAGTCGGCGATACTCAGGCGGCGCGGATCCATCGAATACAGTAAGTAGGAAGGCGGATTCAACTCTGAATGGGACATGATGGCAAAATAATGTGAGAGTCACCAAATGACGAGTGAAACTAACCTACATTTGTTATCAATATCCTCGTGGTAGATAAATACCTTATATCAGTACGAATTGAATTGTTATCCGATGTGCGCGCAAAGTTTGTTCGCACAAACCACACCGCGTAGATATCACTTGCTGTAAATGTAACATGACCACTACATTGTACTAGGTAGTACCTTGTTTTACAGTGTGTAAAAGACTTGACGTAAAAAGATTTCAACTGAATGGACCAACGATCGCAACAAACACAGGCCTTCTCATAACAGCTTATACAAGGGAATGGATTGGATATCTTATGATGGCATCCACCTTCTTTTGTTAACAATGGTCACGTTAGTAACATTCGTATGTTTTGATTCAACTTTGAAGTCCGCTTGAAACACAAGGTACAATGGTGCTTTGAAATTGGCCAATTTAGTGCTGACATTGATCAGCCGTGAGTGCGACATTGTAGTGTTGAGTGCATGACAACCCCGAATAACGTTCAATATATCTGGATACCGTTCAGCCAAGACTGAAATCCGTTCAAACTAATACTGTAAACTCTACGGTAGTTAGATGATAAGGCCAAAGTTTGTACTCTGACCACCTCAAGTCTTAACCCCGGGGATTTAGCATTATACTTCGAAGTATGTGGGGTAGGTAGGTCGAAGTCCCGGGGTACAGGGTTACGGGAAGAAAATTTGCTTGAACGGTGTCTTGGCTGAACGGTATCTAGATTTATTGAACGTTGTCCCATAGTTTTCTTGAGTACAGAGGCGGGGTTGAAGGGGCGTTGAGGATGATACCCTATTGCATCTGAACATCACTTGGAAAGGTTGAATTGGCAACGTTTAACGACACTTCTCTCTGCAAACTCTAGATGTCAACGAAGATACAGTTACTGACAGTGAGCAAAACATACCCTCCTGGCTCGATGCCATCAACAGTGACTTCGTGCAGTACAAAGGAAGCTTAAGCTTAGAAACAAAGCTGCAAGGCTCGTAATGGCTGAAATTGCTGCAACAGTAACCGTTAAGCCACCACATTGTAAGCCCCCGATTCCAACGACAGCACATGAATAACTGGACGAGCTATTGTCGGCGAGGCGTCGGCCATTGCCATGTTCTCATGGTTATTCAGTTCCTTGGGCTTGCACACTCTGCGAGGTTCGCACAAATCGAAAGTTGATTTACAGGTAACGTTAGGTAGGTATAGACCACCATGACGAGGAATGCGAAAGGCAAAGTCAACTAAAACGTCCGGTCCATATGGCAATGATGTCGAGATGGTACGGACAAGTCATCTCTAACTCAATCAGCTGCATTCGTCGCCATCGCAGCCACCACAGTCGTCGCGCCTGATGGACTACTGGTTGGTTTCTTCTTGCCATGCCGTTTGGCTGGGCGTTTGCCCCCGGTTTGAGTTCGCACTTCCGTCACCGAGCTGGCCTTGATGTCTGCGCGTTCTCGTACAGCCTCTTCGCCGTGGCCGCTGGCGTCGCTGTCGTCGCTATCCGAGAACGAGTCGTCCCCATTCTCGTCCCCATGGCACTCCACCCCAGCAAATCGTTTCTTGGGGCTCACGGACGTGCGCACGCGGAGGTTGTATCGTTGTATGTCCTCGGCGCTCCGCTGGACGGGGGCTTGGGTTTGCGTGATGCCTTTCCGCATGCTGTTCTTCTTCCGCAAGGCCAAGTTGGACGGGGCCCCCGACCCCCCGTCCTCCCCGATCAAGCCACGCACACTATGTTCTGCCGCGTTCGCCAGCATGATCGAGTCCATTCCTTGCGAAGCTTTCACGCCCAGCATCACCGCCAAGTGCAACAACCCCAAGTGGAGGTTCTACAACAAGCAGTCCGTTGGAGGATACGTATGTGGCCATGTACCATACCTCGGACAACCCCTTGAGGCGCAGCGCGCGCTGCTTTTTTTGCTGCGACACGGCGGTCGCTTCCGCCAACCGCTGCTCCACTTGCTTGAGATTGTGCCCTTTGAAGTTGCCAGAACTACTGTGGTGGATGCCATTCCCGTCGATGGATGCCGTCGGCAAGAGACCCACGGATCTGGAAGTACCCGTCAAAGACGATGCAGGGGTTTTCCCAGCTTTGACTGTTGTTTGGCCGAGCTTGAGGTTCTGGAATTCCTGCCGCAGGGCTTCGAGTTCGTGTCGACACGCAGTCACTTGGTCTTCCCCTGCCTTTTGCTCTGCGTCCAATTGTTCCGCGTGCTCAAACTATTAACATTCACGTCGTTAGTAGTAATACTAGAATCAACGCGTCCCTAGGGGATTGCTTGAGGGTTATAACACACCTGGTCGTACCACCGAAGCAGCACTTGGTCTGCCTCGTTGATCCCCACATGGCGCAGGACCCCCAGGAGCCCGTCGTCCATGAACGCACTGCCCTTGTACACCTTGAGGTCCTGGAGGTTCTTGACGCGCAAGCTGTTGGCCTCTTGTTTATGCTCGACCTTTTCCTTGAGCCGGACGACCATCGCTTCTTCTTGGGCCGAACTCAAGTCGCCTTCGGCTTGCTTTTTCATTTCTTTCGACCGAATGCGAAATTTGGTTTCCCACTGCATCTGGCGAAAGTTTTGCAGGTGTCGCCACTTCAACCTGGCCCCAAATATCCCCCCTTAAGTGTACACCTACTATCAAAGACGACACACACCGTACCGACTCAGCGCGACTTGGTGAATCTGCAGCTTTTCTTGGATGGCGGTTGTGAGTTTGGGGATTTCAATCGCCGCTAGCCGCCGTTCGTACCCAATCACTTGGGCCTTCTGTTGCAAATCGGTGATGTCTTGCTTCATTTTTCGCACGTTCATCTCGGACGACTCGATGATCTACAAAACGTTCAATTGATGCCTTTATATATACGAGAACATACGTTGGGATCGCGCGCGGGGTTGGTCTCACATTGCCGCAAAATGGACTTGTAATAATCACTTTTCTGGCGTCCGTGGGTCGAATCCAATGTCGTGACTCGAATTTGCTCGAGAAGTTCGTCCCGAAGTCGCGAGTTCTGGTGCTGGTGCGACGTGTTCGCTTTAGCGTCGTTGACTTTTGACTCGAGCACGTGCAGCGCATCGTGGCGCTCCTTTGAGATAAACTTGAGCTTGTCATAGCGCGCGCGAAGGTCTCGAAGTTGGTCCTACAACCAAGAGGTGGGCACGAAAAACAACATTCTTATGCAGGACGTACCCGCAGCGCTGGAATGGACAGCGATATCTCACTCCCCGAGTCCCCAAACTCAAACGCCCCCGACACTTCAGGATTGAGCAGTTCCAACACGGCCTGCGAGTTCTTCTTGGGCGAGTGGCGAGCTAGGATTCGCTTGCGCGACTCGCAGATGGCCGCGCCAATCGACTTGGGCAAAATCGTGTGTGATGACTTGTGGGTGCTGCAACTGTTGCTGGGGGACGCACCAGTCGGTTTGTCTTTTGGCTTGTCCGAAGATGGCAGCGACACGGGGCAATCCCCCCCGCCATCCATCTCCCCCACGCCCGACCACGCTGCCAGCGCGTCGGACGTGAACTTTTTCAGAAACAAGTTTTCAAACGACACAGCGATGAGCGGGAATTGCGTCCACAGCCACCGCCGGACGTAGTACCCGTCGTCATGGTGGGGGCACAGATAGTCGACAATGCCTTGAATCTGCTTGGATTCGACGTCCGTCAGGTGCGACAGCGAGAAGTTGCCCTGACTATTGATGAACTCTTTGAGTTGGGGGGGGTCGGGGCGGTGCATGTGGATTTCAGGCTTCACTTTGACGTCGTTGCGCTGCCACGACCGCAGAAACTCTGTGATCTACACCATACCAAGTCACAAGGCGGTACTACTACTACATATATCGCAACGGATCGTGAAATCACGAACGGTGAGGAAAAGCGACAGCAGTTGCTCCGTGGACGGGCCTTCCACTTCAATGTACTCGTCCAACGACCGAATGTAGTCGTCCACAGGGTCGTGTGTGCTAAAATACGACCGCAACGTCTTCCAGTACGCCAAAAAGTCTTGGCGGTTGCGTTCGTGCCACCACAGTTGAAACATCTTGATGTCCACCAGACAGCTTTGGAGCTGGGACCACAACCCACAGCATTCGAGCTGGACGGGCAATTCGTCGATGCGGCGCTGGCACGTGGGCATCTTCTCGCAGTACGACGCGATCGCTTTGTGGTACCCGTGGCGAAGGCCGTCGTCCTTCAAGAAGCCATACCTAGAGAGAGATCAACCAAAGGCAACCTCGAATATCGATAAAGTACCGAGCCAGGAGGCGCAGCTGGTTGTGGGAAATGTCGTACAGCACCGCGTCGCTGTCTTTTCGGTAGATGACCATGAGGTGGGGCATGAGTAGTTGCAGCAGCAGCGTGCGAATGTGCCGAGGGGCGGCATCCTCCAAGAGATGGTGAAAGTCCTTTTCGGACAGACCGAACCGCGACACGGTGAACAGCGACAGCGCGTGGCGGGCCAAGAGCGCCCGCCGCTCCATTTGCATCTTGGTGCGATTGATCTCGTCTTCTTCGGGACTCAACTGCGATGCCACCAGCGTCATGTGCTCAGAATCGCGGCGGCTATTGCGCTTGCGGCTGTCGGGGCGGTCCAGTTGCGGCGGCAGGTCAACCGATGCGGCCGCTTTGCACGTGAGGTGGTCCAATGTGTCGACGAGGTCTGCGAGCAGAATGGCCTTCCACTGTTGCAGCACCATCTGGAACACGGACATCACAGCGTGACGGCAAGTTAAGGGACGATAGCAACGTACTTCATACAGCGATGGAAAGTCACTGGCGTGCAAAAGCAAAGACTGGAGGTACTCAGGCTGGGGGTGGTGGCTGCTCTGATCGAGCATGGTCAATACCAACCGCAGGTACAACGGACAACTGCTGCCCTTGCTGTCCAAGATACAGTGCACCGACGCGAGGTCCCGTGGTGTATTCTATAGCCAGAGTCAGAGAGAATACTAACGAGCCTACTGTGAGCGATGCATCGTTCGTCGTACGCGAGTACAATGCTCCTACGAAGCATCGTTCTTGATTAGTTGGACGGTCGTTTGACGGAAAGATTATCGTCATGTTGTTACATGAATGATCTTTGTACACATGCGCTCGTCCAGTGGCTCGACAACCAAAAAGCCTGCATTGCGTCGACGCAGCTCCTTGACACAGTGCGTGTCCGCTGCATTTGGAGGCAGCGACGCGTCGTAGAGCAAGTCGTCGCTACCACCAAAGTCGTGCAAGTCAGGTTTGTTGTTTTGGTTTTGCGATATCCCTCGCTCAAGGTCCAGCGAAACGTTGTCACATACGTACTCTGCGTCATACGTAAAGTCCTTCCGTACAATCCATCGACAACTGGCCAACTGGGTGGTTTTGGGGGGACGTGTGGCCGAGACTAGGATTCGCACCCCTACCTGCATATTTCAATCGTGTGGTCCCCCAAGAAATATGCCCAAGCGTCGTACCTGGGGGTAGTGTGTTGGGCAGCCACGACAAGCTCTCGCCCCCGTCCTCGGTGCGCAAGTTGTCGACGCCGTCCAGCACAATGATGATGCTGGGGATACCATGAGAGGTTGTTTGGACGTCAATTCTTTATATGTAATTTCTGGAGCATACTTTTTCCGCTTGCCGTTTTGAGTGGTCGTGCGGTTCGCTGCATCCAAGCACCGCGCCAGGGAAAACTTGAGCTTTTCTTCTTCGTGTTCATGGGGCAACTACCGCCCGACCACATGTGAACTACATCGTTTCGTACTACAGTGCGTTGTCGTACTTCAAAGTCTCGAAGGGAAAACGCGGCTTTGAGGTGGTCCATTAATCGAAATAGAAACACCGACAGCTACAGTTCGATGATCCACATGTCATATCCTGCGACGGTGTTTGCATAGACAGATACAACCCAACGAGCCACTTCCAGCAGCGTGCGTACCTTGACGCTTTCGTACGAGCAGCCGCAATAGTGCTGAAAAATCACTTCCGGACCCGGCTGCTGCTTCTTAAGTCGTTGGTGCACCCAGTTAACCAACAAGGCGGACTTGCCGCTGGCGGGATGGCCCAGCACCACCATCAGCGGAGACGTTCCGATCTCAAACTCGAAGCGGCAATGCCCATCCAGCACATGCATGTACGGCGGGGTCTCGACGTACACGAACCCGTCCATGCGACTGTAGCTCATGTGGGTTGTTGTGTTGGTGGTGACAATCGTGGAAAAATAGGCAGGCGCTACCTCCTAGCAAACGCTTCGTGGGCCCCGCTTTCTCGCGTCAACGTGGCGCTTTCCACACGCTGAGCATCGTCGCCGGACCGGAGTTCCTTGGGCAGCGTGATCGCATCGGAATTGACCGAGTCTGGTGTTGGTGACGCCATCGCTACGCTGACAAATCTGCACGTGACCTTTCGGGGGTTCTGTTGCGGTTCCAGATAAGACCAGTGACCTACTACTAGTAAGTTTAGTAGTACTAACGTTATGAATTTGCAGTTCGTATCTATGAATATTACAGTACTACTAGTATTAATAACTTCCTGTACTACCGGTAGTACAGTACTGTGACAGCATTCTGCAGTACATGTAAGCTTAACAGATAGTCCGAGTACTACTAGTAGGTGTCGAGGTATCATCTGTGATTAATCGCAATGTCGCATGTCGTGTACTTCAAAGTGTACTTGCTGGGCAAGTTATTGTGCATGTTCAACTGTGTATGGTATCTACAGTAAGGTGGTGCGTTCGAGCTACTCGACCACCTCTTCAAACCGGTCACTGTCCCGGTCAAATGTGAATTCTGACGGCCGTTGATGGGGCTGCTGCTGGACATACTGTTCCTGCTCCGTGTGCCCATGCCAACTCGCGCGCATGGCCGACAAGATGCTTTCCTGGATCGCAATCGACTTGCGCATTTCCTGAAACACATCGTCGTTTTCTCGGTGGGTAGTTCCAGCCGCGGACGCCGGCAGCGACCCCGCCCTCGAATGGGGATGGGGGGCTGTGTGGAAGTGGTGGGTGAGGGGGGGCGGTGTCCGCATACCCTCGGTCGAGTACGACGACACTGTGGCGTCTTTGAACGTCGCATGCGACGACGTGTGGAATCGCCCCCCCACGTTGTTCCCTTGGGCGGCTTCCCACGCATCGTCGTCGATCTCGGGCGCCTTGACTTTGATGAAATCTACCACACACATCAATCCCGTAAGCGACGCCGACGATGTGGATGCATGCACCTGAAAACGTTTCTTTGCTGCGGTGGACACAGACTAGGCAAATGACATTGTTGTGGACGGTCATGGCGGTAGCATGCAGCTGGTCCAGTGGGGTCGGGTCCAGCGATGCCTGGACAGCGTACACCACACGCAGATGGCAGTTGGAGCACATTGTCTACGAAACACAACCACCCGAACGCAATAGTGCAGTTAGATGATACACTACTACCTTCAATATTGTTTATAGCCAACGAAGACAAGGGAAGTTAGTACCATGTCGCACTGCGCGCACGTGAACCGTTTGCCGTGAAAGAGCGTGAATTTCCGCCGACAACATTGGCAGTGTGACCTCACATTGCTACGACATCACGACATAAACAACCGAGCCCTGGTCTTGTACGTCGAGCTACCACCACACATGACAGGGGAAATGAACTGCAGCACCTGGGATGACCGTTGGCCGCACGCTGAAATGACTCCAGAGTGGCCGGCAGCGATCGCGCGAGCTCTGACACGGAGTTGCGTCCGCCCAAGGCCCCCGTGGACGACAAGAGGCGGCGAATGTACGACAGCGACGTGAGCTTATCGTAGATGCACCAAAAACTGAGCGCGGACTGGTCCGTGTTGAGGAGCTTGGACCCGGGCATGTCGTGAAACGTTTTGGCCACGACTTGAATCTTGCCGTTGGGCGCAGGCATGAACAGCCACACGTCTCGGAGCACGGCGCGATGGTGATCTTTGTGGAGAGGAAGGTAGTTGTTGACAGAGTAAACGACCTTGACGAGGGTGTTGTCTTCGCGCAGGGTTAGGTACTGAAAGAGAGAGAGATAGTGTGTGTGCCGTGAGTGGAAATCTCGTGTCGTCGGAATATGTACAGAACGAATATGTACCTCCAAGTACACTGCTTCGCGAGGATGCATGCCAAATCGGCTGCGCATTTTGATGTACTTGATGCCGCAAAAGTCAGGAAGGTGGGGGTCCAGCGACGGTGGGGCCGTTTCCGTGAGCGATTGAAGCACATGCGACGTCATAAACTCCTTTTCAAGGAGAAGCGAATGCATGACTTGATCGTCGACGGACGTTGTGGCGTACAGCGCGGTGTGGAGCTCGTCGATAGTTGTGGTGAGGTAGCCCACGGTGAGAAACGTGCACGACGACGCGGAATTGCTGCTAGTCGAAGAGCTTCCGTGAGGGGATGGTTGACGGTATTGGCTGTGCATGGTAGCGGCACTCTCGGAAGGAAGTAGGGCGGGGCTACTCTTGTGCCGAAACACTTGCATGTTGCGCTTGTTCACGGTCAGTTTCCACCCCCTGTCATCGTGCCGCGCGTCGTCTATCCAGTCTTCTCGGTGGTCGATGGCATCCTGAACGATAGAAACAGCCACGTCGACGTATTCGCGGCACTTCATGAAATTGGACCCAGCTTCCACGATTGGCATCCGTCGCGACTTGCTTTTGTGTGACCCCAACAGGACGTCGTTACATACTTTCATGACTGGATCTAGACGTGCGCGAGAGAGTGTCAATGGGGCCACTCTCAGGCCAGCATACAAATGTCAAGGCTAATTTGAAATCATGCGATCCACGCACTCTCTAAAACTTCGTTTACTGGTAACGTCTTTCACACAATCATGATGATGGGCGATGACAACATGGAGTGTCCTCATCCTTCGTCCTGAGCTCTTTGAGATGCCGCCTGAGCTGTCGCGTCCTGCGGGCTTCATGCTATGACCAAGAGGTCGTTGATCCAAAGGCGGCCACTTGCTGGCACAAAGCAGTGGTGTTCCAGACATTTTGGTGTTGGGGTTTACTACGACCGCTAAAGTCTGGTTGCATAGACCGCGAGCAGCCCCACATTGCGAGACTGCAACGGCGTCGTGCCAACCAGCATCATCCTTGTATTTTGTGTGGTGGAAATTATACTTCGCGTTTTGGTGTGGGGCGCACGTGAAGTCAACTACGTACTGCACCTTCATACTACCGGTACGTAGTAGTACTAGTGTGTAGTTGTATCGCACCAAGCAAGAATTACATGAAACGGTACCGGTATTTTCGTAGCATACGGGCGACTACAGTACGAGAGTGCTGTACGGTATTTAAACAGTAGCCAACCCTAGCTACGTTGCTTCACTTGGCCAATAGTACTAGTACACTGTAGGCACGGCCCCATGATTTCCTCGCGTTACATAGGGAAATTCCTGTCGATGTACTAGTATCTACAGCACTTGGGGCCTCTTCCTAGTACCGTCGTTATTTTAACCCAAAATTCGATGAACAATAGAAATGTCGATGCTTGATCGAACTATTTGATCGTGTTGTCACTCGTGCTTTCTCGTTCCACGTGATTGGCAACAATGGGGATTTTGATGTGTTTTGACCCGTCGTGATGCACTCGTTTTCATTGGAATGGCGCTGGCTGTCGATGGTAGCATTGTATTGTACTAATTATTATACTCAGAGTACTTATTAATACTGGTACTTTGAGTACACGAGAGTGATTTTGCAAATGGGAATATTCCAATGAAATGATCCAATCATTATTGAACGAATATTCAAATCAGCAAAATGCACATAAGCCAACTCCAGTCCTAGGAACATGCACTGCCAGTGTCATTTGAGTGCTGCACGCGGTATCGTCGAGAAGGGGAGTGGCGAATACCTCCTTTATGAGATCTACATCATGTTGGATCATGAAGCGATGGGATGGCTTCGTTTGGTGCTGGCCTGCTTGCCCAGCGACGTCGAATGATTGTGAGTATGCATAGGTTTGTCCAGTTAGAATGTCTGACGGGAAATTTATTTGGCTGAAACTTCCAGTGGGTGCACCGAAATGTCTCATTGGATCATTCCATTGGAATATTCCCATTTGCAAAACCACTCACACGTTTGTTTTCATAAGTTTACCCGCTCGGAGGGGAAGCAAAGTGCAACTCAAGTACTACGTAGTATGCTACTGGTACATAAGAAATACTTCAAGTATCTCGGTTAATAACAATATTCTACAGTGTTTTTCGCTACTCCTTGGTGGAATGCGTGATGCAGAAGCCCCCTCGGCGGGCCGCATGATTGCATCCTTCGAGACTGCATCGCTTTCCGCCTCCATGGGAGTAGCACACACCCTTGCCCTGGGCTGTCTTGGCGCACCCATCGACAGAGCACTTGCGGCCTCCGCCGTGTCCCACGCAAAGACCGCTCTTGTGAGCGCACTTGCCACAGCCGTCCACCTTGCACAGGTGTCTGCCGCCGTGTTCCTTGCACACGCCCTTGCGCTTGGCGATCCGGGGGCAGTTCTCAACACGGCAACGGCTGCCACCGCCGTGGGACTTGCAGTATCCGCCACTCTGGGCTGTGGTGTCACATTCGTCGTCCAGGCACTTCTTGCCCCCACCGTGAGAAATGCAAAATCCGCCAGCGAGACCATACTTCGAGCAACCCAGGTGCTTGCATCGACGGTTGGCATACTTAGGGCGGTCAGACGCGGATGGGGAAGCAGGATGGACGGCGGCTTGGCGACGAGTGATGAATGTGGTGGTGGTGGTTGTGACGACGCGGAAGTGGCCGAGGCACAACTGGTTGACCTTTGCAAACTTGTCGCAGTTTTCAAAGACGCAAGGGGTGGCGTCTACTGTGGGCTTGGGGCTACCGAGAACAGTAAGAAAAGGATTGAAGTGCGTGTCTGAGCTAGGGGTGAGTGGCGGGAGGCGCTTGAGGGTGTGCGTCGGCGGCGTGCTGCATGTGAGAAATCGCCCAAAGCTGGGCAACGATAGCGACCCACGAGTGGATTGTTTGGCAGGGCTCATGGCGCGAGGGGGATGGTAGGAAGTCGTGGCAAAGTTGGTGGGCGTAGTCATGCTGTCTCTCGATGAAATGTGATTATGAGGGAGGGCTCAACTATCGTCGAGTCACACAACAGCTGGCACGCGGTGAACAGTTCTCGCAAGTTCTCTGCGAAATTACTCCAAGTAATTCCATTCTTGGGAAATGTATACATGGTCTGGATGGTTGTATTCGAAGGTACAGTAGCAGCGAGGCAAATCAGCAGCAACAATGCTTCGGACTGCATACAGCTGCCTCATGTGTGAGACGCGTTTGTACCGTCTGATTTCCACTGCAATTTACCGTTCAAAATATCATCCACAGCGTTCCATTCCAAGCTCGATCTCCGTGTTCAGCACCATGGGCCTGGCATTGTACATGTAGCCCTAGGTGCAAATCTTGCCTGTGTCTGGGCTCATCAAGATGCATGGGAACCTTGGAATTCAATAGACCTCTTGACGTATGATCAAGAGGTCTATCGTCAAGAGGTCTAATGTACCTGCAAATCCATGGGTCGACGACAACGCTACAGTACTGTACAGTATCGTTCGTGTCCGTACAATTCCCTCATTACATCAGGTCACAGTAGATTTTCTCAGAAAACACTGCCATTTGAGTGTTTATATGGAATTTTGAAAACTCTCACCTCTTACAAGGGGTCAAGCGCAACTCAGTGCTTACATAGCTACTCAGTATATTGCTAACCACTCGCGACGATGTATACATACATACTGTAACCCAGGGGATTTAGCATTTTACTAATATAGACGACTCACGGGGGATAGGACCGAGTCCCTACTGATGAAAAAGTGTATCCGGATAGGATAAGTCCCTCATGAATGAGGGAATTATTCGCCCGAGTCCTGGCTGTTGTGAACAGTCCCTTGTCAACGTGGTACAGACTGGAGCCGGTACGATACAACGTTGTCACGACACTACCAAACGTAAGGATGCAACGTACTCCATTTCGACATTTCGATTTGGAATCGTTTGGAAACCGTAAAGTTAGTTTCGTCTTTGTCGCACCTACTAGTATAAAACAGCCAGCAGGACATTGGGATGCACTATGTTGTCGGCCCCGTTGTCTGTAGCCCCTTCAAGATGGAGAACTGCTGACAGCAGCGCGGATCAGTGGATACATGTAGTGTACAAGATCATCCTAAGGACTTCAGAGACGCCACACGCCCTCCACTATTACATTGCAGCGAAGGTGATGGGCAGTTGAGTTCACTGGAGCTGCATTGCTTTGGTCGACATTGCACAATGCCGATTTCCACATGGTGTCATGGCGACTTCCAAGAATCCTCACGTCCGCTCAAACGTTCTAACTACTCGAGAGTGTAACTGTGAATTTGAGATTTTGGATAGGAAGGAATGTCCTGCGTGGTCCCGTCTCATCGAGCGTCCTTGGTAGCAAGCAATGGACAAGTTAACACATCTAAGTTACTGTTAGATTCAAGTACTGACTACCGGTAGTACAGTACATTGTACTATTACTTCGACGTGGTTCATGGCATTTCGTCAAGCCATCCGTCACGTTATTCCGTGTTGTAACGTTAATGATGTGCCATGTTGTCAGCCCAAACCAACCGCAAATCAGGCAGCAAATGTCATGTCCGAGTTGACGGCACGCGACTCGTAGTTGCTTCGACAGACTGGGCACAAGTGCACTTCGTAGATGTTGAATGCTTCAAAAGCGTGCAGACAATCTGCGTGCAAGACGTGGCTACAGCTGAGCAAGGCCACAAGTTTGGCTGTCGACGAGCTACCAAACAATATGTACACCTCGTCAACAGTTTACACGTTCGTGCTGTATCATGAAGCATAGTACAGGTGCACATACTCAATGGCGTTGATACAAATGGGGCACTCCTTTTCGTCTCGCAACGCAGCCTTTACAACACACTAGTGAGACATGCTTGAGGGATTCCATGTGTACCTTTTCGAGCATAGCGTTCCACTTGTCACTGGTCATCACGTGTCCCCCGTCGTCGTCGCATTGTTCGTTGTTGAACACATGTCGACTCAATGTCAAACTCTTGTCAAACGTGGCCAAGAGGGCATCGATCGAGTCTTCCCGAGCTTCGATCGCATCGACAATGCGGTCGCTGATGTTGGATATCCTGTGTTGCGCAAGACAGCATCACATTGCAGCGTTTGAAGTGATATTTTGTACTTGGAGGCATAAAACTCTTGTCGGCGCCTTGGGCTGCCATTGCCGGACTTGAAATACTGTCACCCATTGTGCCATTAGACCATGCCCTTCGAAATCGAGTATGAACCTGACGCAACAGCGCTGGAAATCGGCGGCGGGCGAAATACCCACGCACAAAAGTCTACAAATTCGTAGTTGTGGGACGATTTTCATAGTTGGTGGCACCTGTATTTTCACGGCGCATTGAATGCGGTATCCACGTTCGCCCTGGTTGGTGTGGCGCTTTTGGTAGTTTTGCTTCCGACACAGCGGACACACGCGCTGGTTTGTGCGCAGGAACCGCTCAAAACTGGCTAGGCAGTTGTGATGGAACATGTGGCTGCAGCTTAAAATGACTTTCGGCTGCACTCCGAACGATTCCCGGCAGATGGAGCATGGATGCATCGTGTCTCCCCGCTCCTCTGCTTTCGCTTCGCAGTCTTCCCATTGGTTTTGGCTTAGTTTTGGTGGCGGGGCTTGTACCTGCGCGGTACACCTTCATTTAGTATGCTTGAGAGGCTTAGGTGGTCTGTATGTACCAGGCCTTTCTTTTGGGCTAACGATAGTTTCGATCGGCGGTTGTTGGGCTTAAACGACCCACAAGCCGAGCACCGAGAACCCGATTCTTCCGCGTTTTCGAGTGTACAAGAATCGCACACCCACACATTGCGGTACCCCGTCGTCAAATCAGGAGTTTGCACTTGAGGGGGCGTGGATCTCGACGACGGTTGTGACGGGGGGAGAGCGGCTTTGGTTTTCCCCAATTTGACTCTGGCTGGCATGCTCAGATTCAAACTTCGCACGAGATGGTCCTACATGCACCATGACGTGTGACTGTCTTCTCCCTTGCGGTCCTTGACAACGTACTTGGAGGGCAGCAGCATTGACCAATGATGTGGAGAGCCCTTGGCCAGCTACGAACACAAACATGATCAGCATCAACAGAACAAACCCCCGAAGGCACCAGTAACAAGTCGTTTGGCTGGCGGCCGCGGCTTTGTTGACGGTGGCGGTGGCATGATATATTCTAGCAGTTACACAACTTTCGGTTACAACTTATGTGGCCCATATACAGTAAGTTAATGTGGATACAGTACGATGCCATGTGTAGGATGAACGGGCAATGCCATTGCGGCAATCGCTGACGTACACGCGTGACGGTAAAACCAGGCTTTTAAGGGCCAATGCACTGCAAACTGACGTGGCGTGTTAGTTCGTCGGAAGGGCACGAAACCGCCTTTACATGTGAAACGTTCAATCGACACAACGGACGGCTTGGCAACATGACGGCGCAATTGGTACGACAGAAGGTGTATGAATGCACACAATGCTTACGAGCATGACTGGTTGGTGTGTAGTGGAACGCCGATGTAACCAAAATTTTGGAATCCCTCCGCGGGAAACTCAATGCGAATGGGGCGCAGCAGTTGTCCGACTTGCGACTGCATTTTGCTCAGATGGATTGGAAAGGCGAAGGCTTCCTCGGCCGCAAAGGTAGTGTGTACATATCCCCCCCCTCTCTCTCTCTCTCGACAGTCCATGGACTGTCATTTTTTCACATGATAAAACATGTGCACAGAGGTCGAAGTGTGTTTGAACCATTTTGGACTCTTTCCAACCTCCCAAGAGCTGGGAACGCTTCTGCGGGTGTACGGTTCAGCCAGCACTGGGACAACGTCACCACAACTGGCGTGGGCGCCGTTTGTGGATGCACTCGAAGTACAATCCGACAATGATTTCATTGACTGAACTACGGATGATCGTGATTAGTCGCGGCTTTCGGCAACATGTCGAGGGGCTGTGCGTCAGGCATACGAGTCCATCGGTCGTCGCAGCAACAACCGGCTCAGCGTCGACGAGTTGGCCAGTCTTGGTCGCTTCGAGCAGCACCCCCTGGCCTTACGTGGCATCACCCCGGCCAGCGTGTTGGCCCGTGAGTTTGCTATTGGGTTAGCTAAAGCCCAAGCAACCACCACCGCGGTAACCCATTCAATATGTTACATGTACATAACTGTGGGTGGATGTAGCCTTCTGTAACGTTCGAAGCATTCGAGGTAGTGATTACCTTCGACCATTCCACCACATCATTTCATTGATGTGACAATGTGACCTACGGTCGATTTTGGCAGGCGTACTACCACACGATCTGCCATGCTATTGCAAACGAACAAGACTTTTTGAGCATGATGCAGGGCGTGTGGGATGTTGACGAGCTCAAGGTGACCCCGCAAGTCCCCTTGTTTGGAGGACACAAGACCGCCCTCGTTCGAAAGCTGGAAGCGAAAACGCACGAGTAAGATATAGTACTATGATCAGGTCTCTCGCTCATATCTCTGAGCAATGTGTCTCTTTGTTGTGGTATTGTCGCAGTACGGAACTGCCGCGCGAGGTGTTGGTGCGCGTGCTCAAGAAATTTGACAAGCAGGAAAAGGGCTCGTTGACCCAGTCCGAGTTTGCCCAAGCCATTGAAGTGTTTGGCTTTATCTTGACCCCTCAGCAGCTCAACGGTGCGCACGCACGTCGGTGCAACTTTGTGTAGCTCACAAACGCTACTCTCCGTAGATACGTTTCAACGTGGGGAAACGGACAAGGCTGGCAAATTGAATCTCGCCTGGTTTGCAGACTTCATCTGCACCTAATAATGTCCAGGTGCCGCCGCTTCAGATGCTGTCCAGTCGATAGACTGGGAAGGCAGGTTCATAATGATGACGTGGTACTTCATACTAGTAATAAATATACTTCGAAGTATTCATCTACTTCAATAATGACGTGGCACAATGTCGATTCGCGCCATATATGTGTCGAAAGCATCCCCACACAAAATAGGCAAAATCCGCATATCAAGAAAATAGATCTTGGTGTTAGCGGTTTTTTTTCTGCGAGTCGGCATCGCTTCGCAGCCAATGGGAGCGCAGCATTTTAGCCGTCGCAAGGATCGTTCTCATTTGAAGATTCGACAAGGAAGTGACAAAGAGTCGCTGCCGCCGCCATCCCACCACCGGCCTTTCCCTTGTTCAAGACCGATCTCCTTGCTTGAGCATCAGAGCTATTGAAACTCTGAAGCACAAGCCCCTTCCTTGCCTTTCCTCCACCTGAATGCCCCCTTGGGGACGTGAACTGGACGCTCTCCTTTGGAAATCAGTACGAAGAACGAAACGATTCTTGCCGAATTGGCGATACCAGTGTGCTGACCGTTGTATGTAGCGACGCTGGACTGCAAAAGACTGGGCCTATCTTCACCACATCAGCAGGAACGAACTTTGCATCCGCCGCGTGTTTGATTCGATTGATTAAAGGAATTTGACGACACCTCCAAGACCAATACTACTACTACCAACCATGAACGTTTTCCGATTTGCTTCCAAATCTGTGTCTCTGCGGTGTGCGTCCTCGCACATTGCCAAATTCTCCACAACGCGACTAACGTTCCCTACTTCGGTGACCCCCAGGTGGTCTGCGACTGCTGCCGCTATCAAGTCCGTTCCATCACCGCCACGTCCGCAATACTTTCCATCCACCGCACTCCCTGTCGACCCTCATAGTGGTGACGCCAAGCGAGTGATTTCCAACGAAGAGCGTATTGAAATAACTTGGGCGGACGGACACATCAGGTATGTCATGAGTCATCTCAATCTCGACGACTAATCTAATCCGTGGACAGTCCGTTCCACCACATTTGGCTTCGTGACAACTGCCCATGCGAGCAATGTCGCCATCCCATCGCCGAAGAGCGCATGCACGACACTCTCTCCATCCCCCTTTCAATCAAGCCGTCCAAAGTTGCCATCAACGACAAGTACCTAGAAGTCCATTGGAATGACCAGTTGAGTCACACTGGCCAACGTCAAGACGTTCACGTGTCGCGGTACCCTCTGTCCTTTTTGCACGAGCACTGCTACAAGCGCCAATCCCGCCTAGCCAAACCAAAGTACGACGAAACGCTATGGGACACGGCCGCGATCAAAACCAACATGCCTCGCACTTGCTACGACACTATCATGCACGCCGACGACCAAGGCCTCTTAGATTGGCTCGACATGCTCCATGCGTACGGGTTTGCCCTCGTGGACGACGTGCCCCCCGACGGCCTCCACGACGTGTCCGAGCGCGTGGGGCCCATCCGCAACACGTTTTGGGGACCTACGTGGAGCGTCAAGAGCGAGCCCAAGCCCATGAACTTGTCCATGACGAGCCATACGTTGCATCCCCACACCGACTTTGGGTGGTCGGAAGCGCCGCCGGGACTTCAGTTTCTGCACTGCTTGGCGTTCCAGTCCCCCGACGCGGTCGGTGGCGAGTCCACGCTCGTCGACGGGTACGCCGTGGCCGAGTGGCTGCGGAATAAACACCCCGAAGCGTTCGACTTGCTCTCGAACGTGTCGATTCCGCACGTGTTTTCGAGCCAAGACTTGTTCTTTCAGCACAAGGCGCCGATTTTGTCTGTGGACCCCACAACCAAAGCCGTGCGAGACGTCCGTTTCAACCAGGCGAATAGGTCGCCGCTCCATTTGCCCCCGCCCTTGGTGCGTCCATACTATGAGGCCCTGCAGCTATGGACCCAAGCCACGCGGGCCGAGGAGAACCTCGTGCATTTTCGACTCAAGGAAGGCCAGCTACTCGTGTTTAACAACCGCCGACTCTTGCATGGACGCCACGGGTACAATGCCCAGCGTACGTGGCGGCACCTCAAAGGCTGCTACATGGACTTGGAAGACTACAAGAGTAGGCTGACCATGCTACGGCGTCGGCACGCCAGTCGCCCCTTTTCAACCGAGCGCTACATTCGTCCAAGCGGCTACGATGCAGCGGCGTTGGACCCTGGCTACGACAACTACAACGACCAGTTTGTAACGGACGCCTTGACCAATGTCCAGCACGTGATCGCGTCGGGCGAGCGCTACGACGACGGCAGTCGCCTCAAAGATGTGGCCAAGGCCCGCACGGCTGCGTTTCGCAACCTTGACGAAGGCACGAAAGCGGATTATGTGTACCAGTGCTCCCTTTATGACCACGACATCAAGGTACTACGAGGTCGATTGGATATATAGTGATCTAAAGTGTGGGTAGGTGAACCTCGTGCCTCGCCTGCAAGGCATGCTGCGCAAACTCGAAGGCGACCACATCCGCCTTGGCACGGGGGCGAAAGTGGACTTGTTTGAGCACAGCCTGCAGTGCGCGACGCGGGCGTTTGAGGATGGTGCGGACGAAGAGATGGTCGTGTGCGCGCTCTTGCACGACGTGGGGGAGATGCTGTCCCCGTGCAACCACGGCGAGATTGCCGGCGCCATCCTGCGTCCGTACGTGAGTCCAGAGCGGTATTGGATGTTGGCCCACCATGAGATCTTCCAAGTACTTTGAACCAGGCCGATCGAGTGCATATCTGAGAGATGATATGTAGGGCTACTACTACTTTCACCATGTGGGGGGCGACCGCCACCGCCGCGACGCGTACGCGGACCACCCAACGTACCAGCTGACGGTGGATTTCTGCCACAAGTACGACCAAGCCGCGTTCGATCCATCGTACGAGTCGCGTCCGCTGCACTTTTTCGAGCCCATGATGCAGAGAGTGCTGGATCGCAAAGCGTACTGGTTCCAACCCGACCATCCCAAGACAGGGTGTGTCACTGGCTCGTCGTTGGCGGCGTAGGAGACGAAGCTGGCTGTTCATTTGATCAAGCGTATTCTTTGAGTATGTTTCGGTTCGCAGGCGAACAAGCAGGAGAGGCGTTGGTGGATGAGCCATGCATCATAGTTACTGAAGCTGTTGACTACTCCAAATGCCCAAATGCCTATGCATCCCACTGTCCGAGGAGTTCATTCGTTCGTGTTGTATGTTGGATTAAGAGAGAAGAGCGTCGTTGGCTAGTTGGAATCGATTTCAAAGTCCGAGTTTTCTGGCTCCAAGTGGGGAACCCCCGCGCAGTTGCGAGCATGTGATTTTGTACTTTTTCGGATGCTGGAGCTTCCACCGTGAGGTCGCGGTAGTACGCGGCCAAGTGGGCCGGGGCCCACAGCTCCCGTCGGAGCGCTTCGTCTCGGTCTTGGATGAATTGATTGGTGTGAAAGTACACTACGTGCATCACGTGGTTCACGAGTTGGTCGTTGTTGTCCGACCCAGGGCTTTGCAGGTCAAGAACAAGATGTCGGCGGGAGCATACGGATGTTTTCGTAGGGAGTACTTGATTTACCACCGTACATGCCATTGCAAGGACGCGGCAAGCGTGACTGGCAACAGCAATTGGACACATGGGATAAACGAAAAATGCCATTTTCAAAATGGAGGTAAAAGGCCCATTTTGTAATATGCACGTTCCTCAAGGAGTAAATCCCACTTGGAGTTATTGGATGGCCATCGTGATTGCCTTCCTACGTCGATGGCTCATCCGCCGCCGCCTGGCCAAGGAACTCTTCGCCAGACAGATGGAGTACCACTACCTCGCCTTTGTCCACAAGACACCAAAGAGGACGTCCATCCTCAGTGGTCCTCTCTGGGTGGACGAAGTCCTCTGCTCTATCCTCTGATTGGCTGTTCATTTCCGAACTTTCTTTTATTCTATGGCATCCAGATACTGTACACCACCCAAAATCATTCTTGGATCTTGAAACCCAAGAATTTCCTGCAATGTCGAAATCTGGCCCCAAAACTCCATTTTCGGGTCGAATTCAATAAATCGGATAAAATTGAAACAATTCCTCCTTGAAGAGATCCGATCATTCCAAATGGGATTTACTCCTTGAGCAGGTCCAAAACGCCATATTACAAAATGTACCTTATACCTCCATTTTGAAAATGTGAGTTTTGGCTTATCCCATTTTGTCAGAAAATGACATACTATTTTTGAGATGTTACCAGACGCACCCGAAATCTGATCAAAATTGAAACATATCTTGCCCAAATAATTCAACGCGCACTGTCAATATCGTCAAAATATTCTACTCATGAGTAGAATATTTTTCACGATATTTCTGATAAAATTATGGAATATAACTTGGTCAAGAAATGACATCCAGACACGCCAAATTGAGTCTTGAATATTCTGCAAAATTATCGCGATATTTCATATTTCTCAATAAAAGTGGTATCCAGTCGGGCCCTAATAAGCATTTGTATCCAGACTTATCAGAAATAACCAAGAGAGGTGACGGTCCCTCCATATTCGTCGAAAATACCCAAAGTTCAATTGGAGGTCTGGTTATAAAGGCAGTTTTACACAGTTGTACAAGTGGGTTATACCTGCGCAAAACACACATCGTGGATTATAAAGGGACCAAATTTAGAGGTGCGGTGGAGATGCTCTTATCATTTTAAATATTGAAAATGCATACTAGGTATTGTGCATTTCACCCAAATTTGAACTTGGGAGTCATTTCACCAAATAGCATTCGAATTCATTTGCTCCTATTTTGTCTTGTACATCTACAATATACTTGTACAACGATGAGTATATAAATGGTTTTGCCCAATGCGGAGGGGTCAAACGTTTGGATTGGGAGAAGTTTGACATGACGTGATTTGATTGGCTAATCGGATAATTATCCGGATCCGTATATTTTAATAATCCATTCAATTTCGCAGCGAACAAATTGTCAAATCGAATCGAAACCGGAGCCCTCGGGAGAATCGAATGACTATGTTGCGAAGGGTATGTAGACGTGAGAACGAGGGTGGTTCTATAAGTTGACTATTCATACTAGTGAAGGGGGTGTATGGGATCTAAAGACCGGGCGGGCGCACAGCTGCCGCCGCGGCGTGGTTGAAGGCACTGGTGGAAGGAGCGCGAAGCGCCACGACTTCCGTTTGGAGGTTCAAATTGAGCTGCTGCAGCACCCGATTCTCATGCTCCACTTGCTCGAGGCGAACTAACATATAGATGTACAACGCATCAGACACATCAATCAGTTTCAATAGGGGAGTGGTAAGGGACGTACGTAGAGCTTGGGTCAAGTGTTCTCGCAACTGCGAGTTTTCCATCTAGTCAGAGGTATATGCATGTTAGCCTCCTCATGTTGCTTGCTTTGCCTTGAGTTGTCACCTCGCCATTTCGGTTGACGGTCAGCAGCGACTCGGCCGTTTGCTTAAAGTATTGTGCGCGCTGCATCACGTCCTCCACGTCCAGGACTTGCTCGGGCTAGTCGTAGTCGTCGTCCATGGGTATATATATGAAATCTTGTTTGGAGCAGCAGTACTGTACCTGTCCTGGAAGGAGCACTTGGATGTGCGAAGGCACGTACGTGACCCCGGACGAGGACGGCGTCGATCGGGGCGGCGGCGACGCCACTCGTTCCAGATGGGTCACAGACTGAAAGGGAGTTCCTTGGCGTCCTTGGGCGGAAGGGTTGTTGCGGGCATTGGGCGGGATGTACTTGTCGTTGGACTTCACCTGTGGTTGAGATGGACTCGGTGGTGGTTGTTTCTGAGCAACTTGCTGTTGCTGCTGCTTAGGCGCCACCTTGGGCTGCTGCTTTGGCTTCGGAACCGAAGGTGGAGGCGCTTGCGTTCGAGGTGCTTCTTGGAGCGGAGGAGGAGGGGTTGATGTCGACGCTGCAGGTGCTGTTTTCTTGGCTGCAGCACTGGCGTTGGCATACGTCGCAGTTGGGACGACAGCGACAGGAGCTGGCGGCGTCTCCTCGACAGTCACTTGCTTGATCGCCTGCTCCACCTGCGTGAGTCAAACAATATGAGACAAGAGAGAGATTACGTAGCGCGGGGACAATTCAACGACGAACCTCGTCAACGGCCACGACGTCCACTGCGGCTCCATTCGACTGGCCTTTCTTCTTCTTCGACTTCTTGGAAGAAGAGGTCATAGCTAAGCTCTTGAGCGCATTCTCTTCCCTAGGAATGCACGAGTATCCATCAAGGCTTGAACCAGGGGCGTCGTCATTGAACAACATACTGCTTCTTGGCCTTTTGCTTCTGTTTCTGCTTGCTGCTCTTGGCGGACTTGTCGCCCTGGTCACGGGAAAAGATCGTGTCGTCTTCGTCCGAGTCTTCGGCGTACGCGAGGAACACACTCTTCTTCATGGACATCTCGAGCGGGCGGCAATCAGGGGGGAAATTCTATGACATGCATTGTTGCACCAATGGTTTCAATACTGCAACATTTTATACATTGACCATGAACATTCATTTGTACGGTATTTTCCACTTGATAACTTCGGCGACGCTGCTGTTGTTGGAGCACACTAGGCAGCTCAAGTTACAATCGGACTGGTAGGGATGCAAAACCACTTGGACACGCAGGCAATTGCCTGCGCAAGCAAGGACGGACTCCGCCTTTCTTCATGCAGTCCAATGCAAGTTGTGCGGCACTCTATCTGTATGCACACATCGTGTGCATATGTATAACATCCCTCCTCTCGCCTCTGACTCCGATGCAAGCTCGTGCCAAGAAGGTAGACAAGTACACACTAACGTTACATGTAGTTGTACGCACGCTTTGCTCCGCCTCCAATCACCTCATTAACATGTTTTACAGTTAATGCAATCGTCCTAACCTTTTTATTAGTCGTCCTAACCTTTTTATTAGTCGTCCTAACCTTTTTATTAGTCGTCCTAACCTTTTTATTAGTCGTCCTAGTTTTTTTTATTAACCGTCCTAACCTTTTTATTAGTCGTCCTAACCTTTTTATTAGTCGTCCTAACCTTTTTATTTCGTAACGAATGTCTTATCAATTGTATGAATGTTCGTAATCGGTCAAATAAATCATGGCCAAGTACAGGGCTTGCGGTGCATAACAACACTTTGTTTTTGAAGGTGGCAATGGATCAGTCCCTCGACGATGTGATCAAGAGCAAGCAGGCCGTCGCCAAAGCCGCCGCCGTCGCCGCCAAGAAAAGAGGAGGCCTCGCCAAGCACCATCAGAAGCGACCTCAAACTTCATTGCATGCAGGCAATGCCAAGAATCATGCCACGCGTCACCGCCATGCATCTGCTGCTCGGGACAACTCGGCGGTGGATTCTCTAGGCACGGCGGAGCAGCTCGGGATGTCACTCGGTAGGACACTTGTGCTGGATTTCCATGTGAGCTACGTTGACGTGCTTGTCAGACGCCTTGATTGCAACGAAACGGACCTCGGTCAAGGCCCGTCCAACTCCCGTTGCCAACCAGGCATGTCATACATCCCAGGCCTAAAATCCGTACTTATGCCGCTTCCTTCAGGGCGCCAAGCTTCGCGCCACCGCCGTGCACGGAGCGCAAACGAAACGGCAAGCGTATTGGAATCAAGTACGCCACCATCGTCCACAGCCTTCCTAATATGCCACTAGAAGCGCGGGCTTCCTGCTGCAGCAGCGCTACCTACGGTGACCATCCGCAACCACTCGACTAGCAACCAGCGTCACCGCCATTCCCATGCTGCTGCTGCGTCTCGTCCGACCAACGACAACATGCTCCGCCGTGTGAACCTCGGCAATCGCCGCCAGCAGCACAAGCAGCCCCACCACCCCCAACATGCTAACGACGACGACGACACGCCGCCGCGACTGCAAGCGTGGGAGCAGCACAGCCTCGACCACCCCACCAAGTTCAACCTTCCCGACGGCACCAACTTCAAAATCTCGATCGAGTACGACCGTCATGATGATGTTTGTTTACTGTGTGACTAGCGCCTTCATTTGGCTAACAATCATGTTATCTAGTCTGGACCGCGTCAGTTCCGTCGTAGGCATCAACGCGTCCTCGGCTGATGTATCGTTGCGCCAATAGTAACGTTCGTAACCTCATTAACTATATCGCATATTGTTCACTACGTCGTCACAATAGTATATTATTACATTGGTCCGTACGTTGTCACATTAGTGTATTGCAATTGTTCACTACTTGGACGTCGTCGCATTAGTATATTGCATTGTTCTGTACGTTGTCACATCCACGTCGGTTCCGTTCGATTTAGTCAAAGGATGCCGCACGGTACTGGCGGCGAAGCAGTCGGCCTTCTTGTTCGTCCAGGAGTGCACTAAAGTGGTTGGCAGAGAGGGACTGGCGCAGAGGCTCAGCCACGCACTGCTGCCAGTAAGCAGGCTTTAGCATCGATGTCAAATCAGTCGGCAACTGGTGGGTGGGGGACGGCGCTGGCGACGAGTCTGGTGACGACAGCGACGGGGTGTGACAGAGTAGGGTGTGGCGACGCAGGCAGCCAGCGCAAAACGACGCCAGGCACGTCGCACAGTTGTGGACCCCTCGAAAGTAGTGGAAGCGCACGGCGCAGACCCGGCATCTCGATGTGTCTATGGCGTCTGTGGTCGTGGCGGCAGAAGTAGTCGGGGGACGAGCATGGGGGGGGGACGATCGAAGGTTGTGCTGGCGAAGGAGGTCGGCGGCATCCCATTCCGTGTCGTCCGACGCGGGAGAGGAGGGGTACGTGGGCGGGTGGAGGAAGTGGAGGTGGTGGCGATGACTTTTGCGCCGGCGCCGTAGCATTCTGTGGACGAGTGCCACGGACTGCCCAAATGCGTCCAAGAAGGCATGGGCGCCGTCCATTTTCACGGCGAGGACAGACGGCACACACGAATCGCCGTAGAACGACAGGCGGCAGCGCGATGCTGAGAGGGATTCGACGTGTAACCCCCCAAGAACGTGCGTCATGCGAGTGGATGAGGCAGACGTAGCCGTGGCAAGGGATGGCGTCGAAGAAGAAGAACAAGGGGCGAGCTGGCGGTCGATGGACTTGAACACTCGGGTCCAAGTGGGCGTGGCAGCGGCGGACGGAGGGGCGTGGCTGCTGTCGTGCACGTGGTCAAGAAACGTAACGTTCATCGCTTGTTGGCGTTTGTACCCCCGAGGAACATGTAGATGCAGTCGCTGCACTAGGGTGGTGGTAGTGGTGGATGGGGACGGCGGCGTCGCAGCTTTGGCGGCGGTTCCTCGCCGGAGTTCTGTCGCGGCGAGCAACTGATGGCCAAACACGTGCCCAAAGAACGATCGGTGGGTCAATATAGACACGACGTCGTCGAACGAGGACGGAATGTCCATCGATGCATGCACGACGTACAGACACCGGCCGCCGTCGAACGTTTTGCGCACGATGTCGTCCTGATGCGATTTGTCAGGTAGACGCAACATCCGAGCAGCGCATTCGGCACGCACGAGGTCGACAATGGCGTCCCCTCGATGGGCCAACACGGCGTCGTCCATGATGGACGGATCGTCGTAGTCGAGGAACGCGCGCGGCCAGTGCGATCGGTTCTCCATGTGGACCGGAGGAGGGGCATCCGCGGGAGCGTACATGGACAGATCCATGACCCATCCTCCGATGATCCAGGATAAAGTCGGACGTTTCGACAGGGACAGCACCGGCACTGAACTGCCACCTCGACGTACCGCGGGAGTATCTTCGGCATCGAGTAGCGGCGGACCCACTGGTGACGCCAGCGACCGTCGGCGCCCAGGGCGCCGACTCATCGTGTCAGGTGATGAGGACGGCGAGTCCATGGCCCCATCATTCCTCGACATATCTCGGGACCTAAGGCGTCCTTCGCGCGATGCTGCCATAATGCGAAAATGTGTCGCGAAATTGTTATTACGTCCGCATTGCTGCTCATGTGAGTACACCAAAGCACACTTGCCATGTGTCTCATGTGTGCAATGCAATGGCCATTGCAAGGGCAATGGAGTTTCACAACAAGTTAAACCGAATATACGTACCGTATAGTATAGGAGATTCGGTTTGAATTTGTGCACGAATCCCTCCCATGATACAATCCAATTTGGGTTTTCTACCAGAACGGGCCAAGTGGATATTAGCCAATCAAATGTCAAGTTGGAGTAAATCGGTAGGCAATCGATCGACCAATCAAAACCCAGAATTTAATTCAAGTGGCCAATCAAATCCACCTTCGAATTAGTGTGTGACTGAAATTAGCGTGATCCTGAAGATATTTACATACAAAAGTCAGGACAAAGAATCGATACGTAGTACAGAAGTATTATAGATTTGGCGAATCAGAACAAAAGTCCAATTTTGACTTTTGTGCTGATTCGCCAAATCTATCGATCGATTATTTGTACCGACTTTTGAAGTCGTACGGTGTCACACTAATTTATGTCACACACTAATTCGAGATGGAATTGGTCAAGAGTGGATTTGATTGGCTACTTGATTAGCGAGCTGGGTTTTGATTAACGTTAGTCGATCGATTGTCTGCCGATTGGTGCTGTTCATTCAATTCAGCACCCCACTCCAATTTCAAATCGACTTGTCTTGTTAGTATAGTTGATGCATGTTTTGTGTTTTGATTGGCCGATCGATTCTCTGCATCCAGTATACCGGTAGAGCTTTTCATTCGTTTTGACTACTACGTAGTACAGTATTCACAAAATAAAACGAGGTTTTTATTTATGTCACGTAGCGTTGTAATTTTAGGGAAACGTGACCGACTATTGATGGGCCGAGTTTTGCTCGAGTTAATTTCGAATATTCCACTCGGTTTTTCGTTTTGTACAGTTAAACATAGATTTTTAGATAGGTACGATTCGCTCTTTCGACTCTTTCGGCCAATGGTCGGTCATGTAAGTGGTTTATGCAACTCCCTCACTAACACATTTGAAAAGTGCAAATCGGAGTTCTAATGTTATCTGCTATTCTTGGGAGCAAATTGCACAATTCATTGGTCGTCCTGAACACGTTTTGATCGCAAATGACACATAACGTGATCGACCATTGATCAGCCAAATTTTCAAAATTTTCAAACTAAAATATCTCAATTGGTTTTCATGGCATTTCATTGAAACGAACATTTCCGGAAAGCTGACGGAAAGCTCTTTCGCGGCATGTTCAAATGTATCGATTTAAACAATACTTGGCAGGCCAAAAAAATGTCAAAGTTCGGCACTTTACACAGTCGATCATTGATCGGCCAAAATTTACACTTGAATTAAGTATTGAAAAAAGTTGGGTCAATTTTTCGCTCCAAAAATTCAAATACTATGTCTCAAAGGTTTACTAAATTTCAACAGGTATACGTACGTATTCAGAGTAAGAGCTCCAAGTATTGTTCAACGTTAAATTGTTTACCTCCATCATATTATACAGGTAAAACTTATCACAAGGATTTATTTTGTCCAATGAAACATCGTATTAATTTCAATTGGACGAAACACCTTGGCCGATCGATGGTCATTTGGCCGATCAATGGTCGATCACGTTAGCTAGGACAAGCAACCGTACTTCGTATGGTGCACATCGTAGAAAACCACATCATCTTATCGTTTCGTCGCGTAAGCTTTGTACATGCCACCTGCATGTGCTACGTGATAGAACTAACAGCCATGGTGTCTTGGTCCCTTCAGCATCACATGTAATTATTTTTGCTTGACGTTACGGGAAGTTCCAAGTAGTTTTCAGAAATAGCATGAGCCAATCAAAATCGATTTACCCCATTGTTTTTTCACGATTTAGAAAAAGACGTCAACGACCTCTTTTTCTACTTTTGGTATAGTGCGTTGCGTAAAAATTCGCACAAAAAGAGGTAAAACAGTAGGAAAAACTGTACTTGGAACCACTTTGTCATTTTGCTAAAAATATCTACTTGGAACAGGCCCTTAACGTTAGCGTTATTTGGCATCTATAATACCACCAGGGAATTACCCCGTAACGTTAGTTAAAACACCAGGTACTTACAGTACGTATTCACAGTGTCAACCTTGTACTGTAACACAGTTAATAAGCTGTTAAGAGTTACAACAGATGTACACTCGTTTACTTAGCCACGTAAAACCGACGCCAAAACAAGTGCAAAGCCTAATACTGTTTTTGCTTATCGTTTGGTTGACATCGAAACGAAGGAAGCACGAATGTTCAATTCATAGCTGCTGGCACTCTAATTACGCTCGAATACTACTCCTTATCAAAAGACCAAATCGACGGAATAGGAATGTACAGTACTACCAGTCTAATAAGTGTCCCCCAACTAGTGATTTGGGGGCCCCAACTCACGAAGCACAAACAATGGTTTAGATTTACAGCGCGCTGTGGGAACAGATGTGTCTACAGCTTGTGCATACCGGTACATACAGTGCGACTTGGTAGCAAGGCCGCTTCAACGCGTGTGTACGGGTATGTTGACGCTCAGCGAAGTTGTTGCTAACGGAAAACTTACATTTCAACATTTTACCGTAAAAATAGGCTCAAGTTGACCTTGCCTCGAAGAAGTCTGGGCTTCCATTCTTGGTCTGTCGAGTGAGCCAGTACAGTACATGTATATGCCCCAAATGAGACCAGCCGGAGTTTCATCTTATTCTGCATCTACTACTCGTACTCCTTCCTGGTCAGATAAATTGAACGCATTCTATGGTGTCATATTCAACCACAAGGCCGTCCACCATCAACCCCTTCTCTTCCAAAACGCACTACCAAGCCTTTGCTTGCACTAGTACGGTCATCCGTAAGAATAAGCCTGCATCATGGTTGATAGCAGCGATGCCGACGAGTCGCCATATATCGTTTTCATCACCAACCCCAATCGGCTACTAGTATACATATACTTGGTAACGCTCAAAATATCGCTCTTCCCCGCACATTCTGTGGATGAAGTAGTGCAGTCTGGCTGGATACAGACAGTATGTACTGTACTCGATACACAGTACAATCAACAATCCAATTCCTGTCGTTGCGTCCTCAACTGCACCCCGCCACGTCGACACTACACTTCCACCATATCCCATACACACCATTGCCAGCAGTTCAAAGACGACGACCAGTCCGTTGTCAATATGCAACCAGGGGCGTCGTTCACGTTTAGCGACATCCAGCATATCATGCGATCGTCACGGACTTCAGCGAACAAGTCGATGCCACCAGCGCTCGGTCCAGCCGCCGCCAGCCGGCTCGCCGCACCATGGGCCTTCCTTAACTACGAACCGACCATTCCCGTAGACCTATTACTTGAACGGGGCGTTGGTCTGGTGAGATATGTACGCCAGGAGTGCCACCGAGGTCACGGAGCTTCGTCCTCCCCTGGGCGCGCCATCAAGGACGGCGCGCGGAATGTCATGCATGTGCGTGTGGCTGCCGACTTGCACGGTGTGTCGATTTCCAGAGTCCTTCGAACCCTGGCTGGGCCGACTGCCACGTCATTCGATGACTTCTTCGACCGGCTTCTCGGGGACAAGCTGGAAGGCATGACACTCCATCGCAACGCGTGCGCTGACGTCCACGGCCGGCCGTGGGTCGATCCGTCCCGCGTCCCGCCGCGCATGGCGTCTATGGGCAGCTTGTACTATGACGACTCGTCGTTGTTCAAGAAGGTCACCAGGGAGCTCGTGTACTTGGACTACATGCACATTCACTCGGACAAACGATCAATCACACGAGTGTTCAAGTCTGTCGACAGCGATGACCCCACGACCCCGCACAAGAAACACATCGAGCGACACAAGCACATTTTGTTTGGGTATTGCATCGACGACTTTCGTCACCTCGAAGATCGGAACGATCTCGATGACGACGACGATGACGACAAATCCAGCGTGCGCGTGACATTCTATGGCGAGTACGCGATGGCCCCCGAGCCGTGTCGCCTCGGTCGAGAGGCCAAGCACTTTTTGGAAAAACTCGGCACGTCCGTGCAGCTGTTGCAGCGTATGTTGGCTTGTCACCCACCCAAGTTGTCTGCTTCCCACATCACACAAGGGTGCCAGTCTTGCTTCAAGTCGTTTTCGCTGTTTCGAAGCCCCATCTCCTGCGTGACATGCACACATTGGTTTTGCGCCAACTGCGTCTCCCCCCAAGACTCGTCTTTGCCAAGTGGTCACCGACGATGCCATGCTTGCCATGACACGTCCCGCCGCCGCCACCGCCGCAGCCGCCGCAGCCGCCACAGTCGAAGCAGTCTCACCGATGGCGCGACGTCAATTTCGTCGACCCCCACAAACAACCATGACGATGGCAGCAAACTCCCCACCCCCCCAAGCCAATCCGCGACTTCCAAACTGGCATTGCAAGCCCCATGCGCGCAATGCGTCGTGCGGTCCGCTACCCTCGCCTGCCGACTCTGTCGAGACCTGTGCTGCCAACCATGTTGCCGAGTCGAACGCTTTGTAGATCCACACGAAGGCGGGTCGTTTGAAGTGTGGACATGCATCAACTGCATCGCGCAGACCACAGCTGAAATGTCTCCAATCCCCCCGCCACAGGTTAAGCTCCAGCCCACCCCCCCTCCCTCCCCGAAGAAACCCCCGCCCCATCCGTTCACCAAACTCAAGGCGGCTGCATCTATTGATCCCATCAACCCGCGTCCATCGTCCGTACTGCTCTTCAACTACCTCATGCGCATTTCCGAAGGCAGTGAGTCGTCCGATCACAACAGTCCTGCCTGTGTGGGGTCGCCATCATCGCCACCGCCAACCACGTCTGCGGCACCGCCAATAGGATCTCCTGTCCAGGCTACATCGACTTCGAGCCCCCCAGCCCCCCCCCCACTGTACCTCCCTGCCGAACTCGCCTCCGACCAGCCGGGCACCGAACCCTCCCCCGCCGCCATCGACCAAATCCGGACCACAGCTGTGCTGGACCTCGACACGAACGACGCGCTGGACGCGATCTGCCTCCAAGCCGCCACCAAAATGGAGTGCACGTTTGCGTTCGTCAACTTGATCTACAAAGGGTCGTTCATGCTCAAAGGCGCAGCGGCTATCGACACAGCCATGCCCACGTCCGTTCCCCGGGACTGCCAGCTCTCGACCCACAGCAGCACGCTGCCGCTCCTGGTTCCGGACGCGGAAATGGACCCGCGGTTTGCCACTTCCCCCCTTGTGGCCGGGAAGACGCACATCCGGTTTTACTATGGCCTCCCCCTCGTCACAACCACCGGCGTCCTCCTTGGCACGGTCGCCGTGGCCGACGTCTACCCCCGCGTCCGGGTGTCGGTGGCCCAGCGAGACGAATTGCTAGAGTTTGCCCACCAAGTGGCCACGTTGATTTCGAATCGAGCGACGCACGACTGAGATAAAAAAGCATCAACTTCCTAACGAGCGTCGACAGTAGACCCTCCATGCCTCGAGTCGTTCCATGCGGCACGCACAAGAGCAGTGCAAAGTGGTGTGATATACGGAATAATAATAATAATGGTGATGTGTGGTCCTCGTGTTTTTTTCAGCTCACAACAAACAATACTACGTACTATTATTAATAATACTTCAAGTATTAGTAATAGTGTAGTAACGTTATGGTGGATTCGGTACAAATTTCCAGTCCCTGTCGTATCAAATCTCGCCGCTGAATCGACTGACGAATCGACACTATTGGCTAATCCATTTTTAAGTGGATTTGATTGGCTCATACAGAATGGACAACCAATCAGAACTCCAGCGTGGTTTGAATGAATATTGCATAGACAAACCAAACAAATTTTGCAAGTTTATAGCGAATTCACATAGTATTTTTAATTATTCGGAGTAAGTAAAGTATCAGACAACGTTGCTTCCATCGAGGGAGAGAGGAAGCCTTGCCCAACACGCAAGTGTCCCGTCCAGCATGTCGCTGTTGTCAGCGACATGACCTCCCACCCCCCCTGTCACCCCTCGATCGAATGCATATACTGGTACTGGTACTACAGTACTGTTAGCAACCAACAACCACGACGACAATCTTGACATTCAAAACTCACTGTCACTGTACTCATTATGTTACATCAATTAATTATGGGTCTCCTTCCGTGCACAAGTGCGCCGACTTGTCGGGCAAACCGGTCCATGGCCTGCTTTTGGTTGCGGCCAATGCGCATACGGGGACTCGTGTCCATGACACACACCGTGCCAAACACTTGGCTGTCGGTCTGGAGCAGCAGTCCGTAGTAGAACCGGGCGGCTTCTTTGCCCCGCACCCGCACCGAGTCCTGGAACCGACCGTCCACGGTCGCATCGGGCACGATCAGCGGGTCCACGCTGGCCACGGTGTGGACGCAGAACGCACATGTGACAGGGATCGATGCAGGCACGTACCCCGTTCCAGCGGCGCCCTTGAGCATGAACTGGTCCTTGTACAGCAGCACCACATACGCATTGGAGCACTCCATTGCCACGAGGGCTTCCTCGCACAGCGCGTCGTACGCAGAGTTGGACGAAATGTCTAAACACGCTGCCTCGACGTCGGCAGGCGTCACGGCGTCGAGTGCGGCGGACGGCGACGGGGGTTGCGACGAGGCCGACGTAGACGGCGACTGGTCCTCGCGGGGGGGTGCGGCCGGGCTGTCTTCGTTGCTTGAACTCGGGGGAAGAAGATCGAGCTTGTCGTTGGGGGGGACAGCGGCGAGCGAGTTATCGATGGTGGGGCTTGACGGATCGACTTTGATGTCGTCGCTGAAGCGGAGGTCGGCGGGGGCGAACCGCCGCATGGGGTACATGGCCATGAGATCTTCCACGCTCGAGAAGCTTGTGTCTTGGAGCACCGCCGCCGAGCTTGGCACGGTGCTGGTGTACGTGTCTCGCAGCCGAATGTGCATTTCGTCCGAGAGGGCCGACATCCGCGGCAGGTTGGGAACGCGGCCAAACCCGTCGTTCAAGTCCTCCATTGTCCATGTGGGAGGCGGGGACGAAGACGGCGATGACAACAGCGACGACAGTGGGGACAGCTGGTGGTTGGCCGACTGGGGCAAGTCCAGAGCCGTCGATCCAGGTCTATGTTGGACGACTTGCGGTGACAACAGGAGGACAGGCGAGTGCGGGCGGCTTGAGGGCGGTTTGCACGTCCGACACACGACGCTGGCGTGGCCTGTATCGGCACACTGGCCGCAGAAAAACATGCCGCAGACGACGCATTGGGCTTCCGACTGCCGCGTCGCACACGTCTGGCACTTGGCCGGTCGCAGCGTGGACCTGCGCTGGGGCGGGAGCCCCAGACTGCTTTCGCTCCACCCTTCGTCGTCGTCGCCGTCGTCGTCCAGGACAGGTGCAAACGCCAGGGGGTTGTGGTTTGAGACGAGTGTGGTGCCCACAGAGCGCGGCACGACTGGTCTGTCGTGGTGTTGGTTGGAGGCTTTGATTTGGACAAGGCACATAAAGCACACGGGGACCTTGAACTGAAGTCCGTTGGGGCTCACCACGCTCTCCAAAGCTGAACAGTCGGCGCAAATGCCACCGCCACACACACTGCATGTGCACGCCCTCCGAAACCAATGGAACCCCTTGTCGCAGATCCGACACGCCGCGTCGACGACGACTCCCCCGGCATCGGCGTTCGTGGGTGGACACACAGCCAGGAGTCGCGTGTCGGGCGCGCCGCCGCCGCCGTGATTTCGTTGGCGACGATGACTAAGCACGACTTGTGCCCATGACGACATGCACAGGCCAAACTTTTCCAGCCGCGATCGAGTGTCCAGCGAACTGGCAAACTGCTTGGGGTACACGGCATGCTCGGCGTAATACGTCACTCGAACGCCCCCCGGTCGGAGGGTGGACCCGTTGAAGCGCTCGACGAGATACCCGCCCATGATGTGCGTGTGACGTGGCACAACGTGGTCGCGACTTGTGGTGGGGTAGTTGCCGTTGTCGATGGACTTGAACACCCTCAACACGGACGTGGGGCTGATGGGCTGGACGTGGTCCAGGAACAAAATCTCCTTGGGATGGGTCAGAAAGATGCTCTTTTCACGAAACAACACTTTTTTCAGCGTGCAAGACGTCGGCACGTGCAGTTGTTGCATGCCGTTGTCCGCGTCGTGGGTGTCATATGACGTCGCGGCACCAATCGTCGCCAACGTGTGCAATTGAATCATGTCCTGGTCACTGAAAATACGCCGGAGGAACCCGTCGTCGGGGGCTTGCAGCAACTCGACCACCTCGGCAAGCGTCGCGTCCGCCATGTGGACGTCCGAGTGGACGGTGAAGAGCTGCAGCCGCTGGCTGTACTTGGACACGAGGTGGCCGTTTGTGGTCAGCACCAGCTCGGTGGCGTCGCTGGACTTGGCGCGCTGGTCTCGTGGAATATTGGCGCGCTTGGCGCACTCGTGCCGAAAGATCGCTACGATCTCATCCATACGCTCGAGGAGATCCTCGTCTTCGCATGAGGGCAGGTCTTGCATGAAACCCCATGGCCACTCACCGCGGCTGGATGGTCCTCGGTCGAGCGGGTTTGGCTTATGTGGTGGCGGCGATGGCGCAGTAGGTTGAAGCGGGAGACGGTTGGAACCGGCTGGATTGGCTGTGCCGTGGCGGCGCGCAGACGACAGCAGCACGATGGCGTCCTCAGGTTGGTTGCGAGACCTGCTCGGCCATGCGACCAGTGAGGACTCGACGGCGGATGCCTTGGAAGGCATCGAAATAGTCCCGCGAGATGCGGCAGGCATCATAATGGCAGCTGATGCCAGTCTTTTGGTATTCAAGTAGTAATGCTATATTTCGCCCCGCAAAAGCATCCATGGATACAAACATTGGGGTGATTGTAGGCATCACACAGTGCATCCAAGCAACTAATACTGGGAAGTGTAATATCGGGGTGTAAACTATACCCATACATAGCAAACCCTTACCACGTTCGGGTGCACAAACAGGACATGACCCTCACAAATTTCTACCATCGAATGGCAAATATTAATACAGTGCCAAGTCAAAACGCGACTTCGAGTACTTCATTAGTAGACCCTTTTGGCCATAATTGCAATGGACAGTGTGCCCTTCTCTAGAATTGCAAACGACCAATACAGTACAGTACGGTATGCTGTAAACAGCACGTCATTTTCTCACCAAGTGGGACTTTTTCCAATCAATAATGTGTTTGAGTGTGAATGTAATAAATAGATTATGACAAATGGTGCATAAAACGTACAAACTTGGGATCAAGTGGTTTTTGCTCAATCAAGGTTGTGCAAATCTGGTGCCATAGTTTATTTCATATACGCTTTACCGCAAGTTCTCTAGAGGAAGGGTGAGATAGTTGGAGGAAGGAGGATTTGCCCGAAATGTTCATACAACGTACTAGTAGTAGTATTCACTACTAGTACTTGTATAGTATACTCACGTGTAGTATATTGTATGTTGCCATTTTGATTGGAACAAAAATCACATTCACTCGATCGCGGAGGAATGTCTTAAACAAATGATAATCCAAACTCAATTAACCGAAGTTTGTACGTTTTATGCACCATACGTATTTGAACTGTTTTATACTCGTATTTTTTATCACCTCATAGTTGATTGGAAATAAAGTCCAACTTGATCGGGTTCACTTCGAAGTAACAGTAAGTTAGTACTACGTACTAACGTTATTAAAAAAAATTAAAAAAAATTAATAGTAGTACATACTAGTACTACCCGGTATTACTAGTACATGTACAGTATTAGTGTCTGATTCGATAATCAGAACGTTCCAAGCAAATTCCACCCTAATAGTACTACTTCGTACTAGTATTAATAGTACTTACGAGTAGTATTAATACGTATTACTGGAGTAAGCTTACTTGGTAATAGTATTACAATGACGTTATTAATAATAGTATTCTTATTTATATTTCGGGGTTTGGGGTACAGAGCAATTCCCTTGCAATTTGTTACGAAAACATTTTGATCCTCACCCTTTTTTAAACCTGAAGTTTAAGTCGCCACGAAATTAAATGGAGTTACTATTAATATTAATAGTAACGTTAACCAAAATACATCGGTGGTCTCCAGCTAAGCGAAATATAGTGAAAAAAGGCTGAAATTAACCGAAAAAAGGTGTAGTACAGTAATGTACTACTAGTATTAATAGTATGATACCCGAATTATACGTATACAGTACTACAGGTACTAGTACGGCCTCCTGGGCGCTCGGGGCCAACGTAAGGCTTGGTCACTACTTTAGGTTTTATCCCACAACTTCATCCAACTTCATCCAACTTCATCCAATTTCATCCAATGTCATCCACGCTTTTAATTCAACAATTATATTATATTAACCATAGTATCCAAGGTTGGTATTAATATTCAATGGCGTCCCGTAAGTCTTAAGTAACGTTACTGTAAGTACTTAGTAGTATACTACTAAGTTACCAAGGTATTGGGGATATCTGAGATAACTCAGACAGCCAATCAAAACGCACAAAATTTACCACAAATGCTTCAAAGTAAGTACTGTACTACTGTAGTACAGTACTACGTAGTACTGTATGAATACTACTACCGGTACTGTATTAATAGTACAGTCATGAGGTCCCCAATTGCCTGCTACAGTGTACAGTTAAAGTGAATCATCAATAGTTAGCTATAGATAACCACTTATGATGCACTTGACCCCGGGAATTACATTATACTAAGTTTACGTCGTACTTCGAAGAATATGACCACGTGGAGTACGACGCAGTCCCAGGGTACAGGACAGTACAAGGCATTTTTTGTATATGTGTGGATGGATTGTACTACGTGGATGGATTGTATGAGCCATCAATTTTTCTAACGAATTCCACTACACACTGTACCGTACAGTAACGTTTGGGGCCTATTACCCCTGCTGTGGGGAAATTACACCTAGTCGTCAATCCTGGCTCGCGGAACACCGAATCGTTTGGTGGTCAGTTGTGGAACGTCGAAATCAATGAAAACAGTAAAGAAAGATTCATTCATTTGAATCGACGAGGTACCCGTACAGTAGTACCTTAGTTACTTGAAGCTGGTGGTCGACAGATACAGTACGGTCGATCACCAGTTCAAGTCCATTCATCCGACATTGACAACCTGAAAAACGTTCAATAAATCTGGATGCCGTTCAGCCAAGACTGAAAACCGTTCAAACTAATAAACTCTAGTTTGATTAGGCATAGTTTTTGTACTCTGACCACCTCAACTCCTACTAGGGATTTAGCTTATACTTCGAAGTAGGTGCACGCGGGGGTAGGACGAAATGCTTGGCGGAAAAACGCAGTCAGAGTAGGGCATGCATATTATTATAAAGGGCACACATGGGTGATCAAACAAACGATTTCGGTTGGATGAAATTGATTCACAAGATTACGTTTCAAAACCCACCAATCACAAGAAAGGCAAATTCAAATTCATGTTTTTGAACATGGCTTTCAAAACGAAAAATGCCTCCGACCGAAGGGAAGCTCCAGCAGCACCGATACACAAACAGTGATCGGAAAACCGTCATTGCTCAGTTTCATGCGTCTGGCTGCGCCAACGAACGGCAGTTCTGTCGGGACGTTAGGATCCCCTACGGGACATGGCAAGGCTGGCGGCGCAAGGAGTCCCAGATCACATCCGCTGTAACGTTACATTGGATATTGATTGGTCAATATAATGATTTATTTATCCAATAGGATTTGTTCGTTCTGGATTGTCCCCATTCAAGGTGTCAAATATTATTTTAATTCAAATTTTGCAAATCCCATTCTCCATACAAATTTGAAGTGACATTGACAGTAGCACTGACTGCGTTTTTCCGCCAAGCACTGGGTTAGGGGAAGAAAATTTGCTTGAACGGTTTTCAGTCTTGGCTGAACGGTATCCAGATTTCTTGAACGTTTTCCCATAGTTTCCATCCTACATTCATCCGTGAAATGAGTTCAGGTAACTTACAATTCCCTCATTAAAACAGTTCCACTGTTGTTTTGACACGAAATACTGTTTCAATGAAGTTTATCAGGAACTTTGTATGCTCAGACCACCTCACCACTTAACCCCGGAGATTTAGCATCGTATGTGCTCACCGGGGGTAGGACGGAGTCCCTGGTTACAGGGCTACTGGCGAAAAGGTGTATCCGGATGTAATAATTCCCTCATTGAAACAGTTTTTCGGGTCAAAACGACAGTAAAACTGTTTTACTAGTACATGTTAACAAAAAACATGTTAACGAGGGATTTATTCTGAGTTCAGTTCGTCTTGGGCGATATACACATCGTGGCCGTACTTTCAGCAACAGTACAGTCTGTAAGCTTGCAGTATTAATACTACAGACACTGTACTACTGTAGTACTAGTAGTACGGAGTTGTATGGTACTAGTACAGTATTACTAGTACTACGTAGTACAGGTACACTGTACCTACGATACATGATCGAATTGTCCGCGAAGTGCTGCTCTAACCGTTCGTTGTCAATACTAAGTCCTGTAGTGCCAAAACATATCACCTTACTATGATTGTCAATCCGACTGTCATGACCATAAATCATGAAGGTATAATAAGTATTTGTATTTCTCGCGCCGTTATCCATTTGATTGTTTTCAAGGCGGCTGAGGGAACTTGCACTTGAGGAATCTTGCCTTGTTTAAACAAGATACTCTTGATACGAAGTACTCCGTACTATTGTACTTTTCAGTCAAATTTGCCTATCTTGGGGGATTGATGAAATGGCCAACTGATCGAACAAAGAAGTATGATTGGCTATAAAGAATTAAGGTTGCAATTTGATTGGCTAAAAAGATTGATTGTAGTATTGCCGTCACAAAGATACCTCTTCAACTTCGTTTATATGAAATTTCGAAAGCCTGCGATTGTTCGGCGCTTCATTCAACCAGAAGTTGAGTTCTGTAGAACACACATTACAAGTATAACACAAACCCAACGTGGCGTTTTATTCATGAAGGTGAGAATACACTGGATAAAACCTGTCCATTTACGTTTAAGCGTATATTGTGTCAAAAAGGGCAATTCAACAAGTGCAAAAAATGTGTCAGCAACATGTGTTTTTTGGGATCGAATTTCGAAGCGAATTCAACCAGTAGAATGCTCCAATCAATGCACAACGAAACGAAGTTTAATGACCACCATATTGACACATGTACGGACGGGCGTGCCAAGCTTGACGCAACGACCGCCTCACAAGCATGTGACTTGCTCATTTCCAAACGTTCCTTGACATCCTAACAGTGCACTATGGACTTGTCCCACGAAGCTATGCTCATGTATGTGCGATCGATCAAGGCCTCGCCACCAGTGGCCGATGCCGCAATCGACCCCAAGAAGGGCAGGGTCAAGAAGTTTTTCAAGTCGCTGTCATTTCGCAAGCCAAAGAACGCTGAAGACGACGACGACACGCGGTGGTCCGATGTCTTTCGGTCGGATGGCCGCAAGCGCGGCGACTCGTTCTTCCGGCGGCTGTCCTTCCTGCAGCCCCGCGACTCGGAGTCGCTGTCGACGTTTGATCGACCGAGCTTTCTCGATCACATGGTGCGCGAAAAGGTATCAGTGTCGCCAACTAGCACGGACGCTACCAGTAGCAGCAGCGAAACTTTGTCCGACTTAAGTCCCGCCCATGCCGCTCGAAGGTCGCCCCCACTCCGTCGGAATTCGGCGGCTGCGGCGGTCGATTCCAACGCTCAACACACCATGACCGTTCGCCGCATTGGAATTCCTGCGCATCCTTCCCAGCTGCAAGTGCAACCTCGGCGACATTCCGACCTCGCCTCGTACCATGTGCCGACATCACGACAAGCGGACAACCAGCTCGTAGCCGTTCAAGAAGAAGCCGAGTCCGCTTCGTCTATGGACGATGCCAAGGACGCGGCGCTGCTGGGAGATGTGACAGTCATCGCGGCTGAAGGCAGCACTCTCATGGAAATCGAAGACGTCAACGTCGTTGAGGATAGCCAAGACATCATGGACAAACCTACGATGGTGGAAGCCTTGAATACCCTTGAGATGACCATCGAGGATGTCGATGTGAAGGACAACACTCAAGAAGAGACCATGGCCACCACTCGTGAGGCTGCTGCTGTCGTCGGTCACGAGGCGGTAGCGATGCCTTTGGCTGTGGTCCGGTTACCCGTGATCAAGGTCATTCGACCGCAACCGGCCCCAACACTGCTTTCATACCAAGTTGACGACCACAACTCGGCTTGGTTTGACGAAACGTTTGCCATGATGCGAGCCACAAACTTTTAACGTTGTGGTAATTCTACTATTGTATTTATTCGTTGTAGTTGATGCATTTTGTGCACTGTTGATATTTTCTCAAGCGGCACTTTGGTGAATCATGCGCTGTATCACATATTTGTGCACACGAAGCTGCTTGTCGGCATGTGAGTGACTGCTGCAACAGTCGCCCAAAGGGGATGCTTGTCGTTAAAGATGAGCAGTCGACTTCACAAAGCCTGGATTACAGTATGTTGCACCTATGTATTTCTGTCGAGGGAGCGTCTTCAGTGATTTCATGGGTTGATCTCTGGACGTTTGCACTCCATGACCACTTTCGGAGCCATCATACTGGTATAGTTGTAAGTCAAGTGCAAAGCCATTACATATCCAATACTTGGAAGTGATATTCTGCAGCCCCATCACCATCCCCGACACTGCGCACTTTGCCCTCCACCTCCCCACAGCAGCAGGTTCAAGTTGAAGCTTGACGTAACGACGTTAGATTGTACTGTACTACGCTACTACTGCAAATGGTTCGTGAACTACTAGTGTGCGCCGTTAGCCTAGATCGTTTTCGTCGGCTGTGGCCAACGTCAAGTCCATAAACGACTCGGGGATAGGGTTTCGAATCCACGGCGGTCGAAACACAAAGTACAATCCGTTGTCGCCAGGCTTGGTGTTCCAGTCTTCGACCACCTAAAGTGCATTGAACCACCACACACACGCTAGTCCTATCTTGCCACCATGACATACCTTGAGCAGTGCGTACTTTGTCGTGAGATGGTGGTTGTTGCACAGCACATTCATGTACGCAGTGACAGCATGCTCGACGCCCCCGAGCGTGTCCAAGTCAAAGCGAATCTAGCCACAACAACCAACACTAAGCCCACAGCGTACGACTAAACCGGGGCGGCGGCGGCAACACGAACCGCAATGTTGCCGTCTTCAGTGGGGGCAATCTCAATCTTGCACTCGTCCCAGTCGTTTACGATCGTTTCTGTCAACTCTTTCAAAATGTCTGGCAGCATCTTTCGAGTGGGGGGCGCGCCAATCGCTTTGGTGCGTCCCCCCGGCACGAACGGTCCGTACAAGATCTTCTTGTCCTCCATCCATTTCTCCCGAACGGCAGCGTCGATGGCGTCATGGTAGTGTACTTCCATGTGCGGGTACACATAGTCCTTGTCGTCGAACCCGTCTTCAAACTTGAGCTTGCGCGCGCCACTACTGCACACAAAGTCTTTGCCGCCAATCTCGAGCCGTTTCGCTTCGGATTCCAGGCGCTCCTACACACATAAAAACAACCGTTGGCATCATGGATAGAATTGGCGTCCCATTGCACGCACGGCACGGAGGATTTCTTCGCTGAGGCTGAACCGCGACGGCGTGTATTCAAACTGGTTGAAGAGACCATTCTTCGTCACCATCTTTGGCGGCCCCCTCGCGGCATTCCGCCGGTTTTCGTCCATTGCGTCTTGCCTTGCATGCGTCACGGCAGTTGGAGCGAGGCGGGTGGGCATTTTCAGAATCGATGTGTAATTCCCCGTGGAGAAGGCGCACTTGATGTGCTCGGCCTCCGAGTTCGCATACTCAGGAAGGATGGACGAGAAGTTGGGAAGCATGTAGTGTGGCACTGGAAGTGTCGCATCGTCATCCGTGGCGTCGCCAGCTTGGTTCATCACACCGACAATATGTAAGGCAGCTGTGCAAGGAAGTTGCCACGTTTATATTTAGCCGTCGATCGTACGTACATGTATCAGTACTCTGAAAGTGCATTCGACATACTAAATCGGAGTACCAAATGTACGGTATGGTCATTTCGAACGTACACTCGAATGACGCTCACTGATTGGTCCGTGACGGTTCAGCGAACGTTATCAATGATTACAATCAACGACGGATTTTAAGGGACACTTTTTCCTTCGATTTCACAGTACGAGGTAAATGTACCCCACCCAGCACAACACTTAATCCACGCAAAGTTGCCGCCGAGGCAACAGTTCATAGTGCAATTCACGACAACCACCTCATGACCATGTCAGGTGCCCTGAAAACGATCGGCAAATGCCTCCTCGCGCTGATCCTTGCGCCCTTTGCCATTGCTGGCTTTGCACTCTTTGTTGGCGTATGGTTCGTCATGACGATCACTTTGATTGGACCGATTATCCACTACTGCTACAACAAACGTGACCTCCAACTCCTGGACCGCTCGCGACTCTGCGCACACGTCCCCGACTTGCAATTCATCCGCATTCCCCACGGCAACCACGGTGCCGGGTACGATCTCGCAGTTCGCTTCACTCCATCCACCAACACGAGCCTTCCGCCAGTGTGCATCCCCAACGGCCTCGGCGCGTCCATGACAACCATCAGTCCATTGCACGAAGAACTGGCCAAGCGTGGCTACGCTGTCTTGTCGTACGACCGCCTTGGCGTTGGGCTGAGCGACCGCAACATCACGGGGGTGCCGCCCAGCGCCGACGACGTGGTCAAAGACATGGACTTCATCCTTTCGGCTGTGCTTCCGCAGTCCACAAAGTGGCTCGTCGTCGGGCCTTCCATGGGCAGCATCGTCGGCCAGTACTTTGCCGCCACATATCCCAGCCGTGTCGTGGCATTTTTGAACATGGACGGCTTTCCATATCCATTCTGTCGTCGTCGCACAAAGTTCATCCTCGCAGGGTACATCTACAAGGCGTATGCGTCGATCATCTGGACGGGGGTGATGCGACCGTTCATTTCCATGGGTATCCAAGCGTGGCGCAGTCGCCTCGAGAGCGCCGCGTTCTCCATCGACGTCGTGTGCGCTGAAACGAACCAGACAAACTTCTTCCGCAACTTGGCGTTTGAAATGAACACCATGATTGACTTGGCAGACAAGGTGAACGCGGCTTGGGGACGTCAGAGCTGCCTCGAGCTCGCGCCCGCCGACCTCCAAATCCTCGCCCACACCAAGCCCTCCGCCGTGGGCGACGTACGCGACGACGGCGTGTGGGTCCCCATCGACGACAGTGACGTCACGGACCAGCTGATCCCGAATTACGGCACCATCGAGCCAGCAGTCACGGCCCAAGCCGTCGCGAGTCTCCTTGCCCGCCAACCGCAGTCCGAACTCGCCAAGACGTGGCAAACCCTGCACGTTGCAGTGATGAGTGGACGCAACTTTGATTATGCCGGTGCGAGCATGTTCATTGACGACGAGATGAAGGACTGGTACGCGGCCGAGCACGCGATGCATGCGTTGTTGGCAGCCCATGGCACACGCACGGTATTTCCGAAGAAAGCTCACTCGGACATGTTTGCTATGGTCAAGTGCATTGTCGACCACGTCGACAAGCTGTCGGGAGCTATTGACATTTAGCTGTAGCTGACAGCTAAATGTCACTTTGGAGTTAAACAATCAAAGTGATATTGTGGATTCCGTACAAATTTCCAGACCCGAATGTCGCCTCCGAATCAAATCACGAATCGACGATTTGATTGGCTCTTACAATATTCAACCAATCAGAACTCCAGCGTATTTTGGAAGTTTATAGCGATTTCACAATATTTCGTGGCGTTTTGTTAAGGTCGAACGAATCAAGTGATTGGATTGGAGGATTTGGAGTATTCGATATTCAATTAATATCCAATCAAAAAGTGCCACATCCGGATACTTTCTGACGTCAACTCGAAATTTGACAACACCAACATGGGCAACGATCAATCGACTGCCGCGACACAAGTGGTGGACGACCAGGGGAACGACCATGTAGGGTTCCGCGTGTTGGGGATCCAAGAGAACTCGCCTGCGGCTGTGGTGGGGTTTGTCTCGTTCTTCGACTTCATTCTCTCCGCCAACGGTATTCGCTTGGTACAACAACATGGAGATTGCCACAGCAATTAGTCACCATTTTGCACATTCTTTAGGACACAAAGGACTCTACGTTCATGGAGTTGATTGCCCGAAGCGAAGACAAGCCCTTGCAGCTGTCGGTGTACAACATCAAGTCGCAGACTACCAGGGGTACATGGACCCTTCTCCGTCTTGACTTGACTTGTGCCGTCATTAGAACTGTCTCTCACACCTTCACGCAACTGGCCTGGCAAAGGCATGTTGGGTGTAACCATTCGATTTGACTCGTTTGATGGCGTGGAAGACCATCTTCTCCACGTTCTGGTATGGATATAACTCACGTAGCATGTTGAGGACTTGACATGGATTGCCTTAGGAAGTGGCCAAGAAGTCTCCCGCTGATGTGGCGACGCTCGAGCCCGGCGCCGACTATCTCCTTGGCACCCCCGAGCGAGTGTTTCGAGGTTGGTGACGTGATACCATCGCTATGTCCTGACGTGATCACTGCAGACCCAGAAGACTTGTATGACGAAATCGTCGAGCATTTGGACCAACCGTTTCAGTGCTACGTGTACAAGTAAGTGCTACGTCTTTCGAAAGATATGTACTTAATGTGTGAAAATTTCGTATCGTGAAGCGCCAAGACGGATCAGGTGCGCCTCGTGCGCATCACTCCGCACGACCGATGGGGCGGCGAGGGCTACTTGGGGGCGGAGATCGGACACGGGTACCTCCATCGGCTGCCAGCCAGTGTGCACGCGACCATTGGCGAGTCGGTGGGCTTTGTGAGCATCTCCAGCCAAGCGAAAGCTGCCACCGATTACTTTGGTAACGTTTCATTCAACCCACTGGGAACTCATACACACACCCCTTGGAACTGCAGCGACTTCAGCTCCGGCGGCCGATCGCCCTGCGGTCGAAGAGGTGCAGCCCACTCAAGAAGACACTTCTGCGCCGATACTTGAAGAAGAACATAATGACGTGGCACCGCTTGCCGTCGACGAGCCAACCGAAGTGGCACCGTCGGAGGATCCAGAGGCGGGGCTACCTGCCAGTGTGTTGGCTTCCGCAAGCATCAACAATGTCGAGGAGTCAGCGTCTCCCTCCGTGGGCCCCCCTACTCCCCCCAAGGGACCCACGTACCCCCCTCCGGTTGGAACGGGGATTGGCTTCCCCATGTCCACCGTTGCCACATACATTGACCCAATGTCCCCCAAAGCAGCCCATGAATAATAGTATTGCAATGTCGATGAAATTGGAGAGGGGGGTGCTCAATCGAATGAGCAGAATCACCAAATCGCAGGCAGACAATCAAAGATCGACCAATCAAAACCCAGATCACTAATCAAGTAGCCAATCAAATCCACTCTTCAATCAAATTCAACCCAGAATTAGTGTGTGGCTTCAATTAGTGTGACACTGGACCATTTTTGCGAATACAGTCCAAATTTGGGGGTAAAAAGACAATAGTATGCGGCGTTACGGAGTGTCCATCTTGCGCAACATGTCCAAGATGGACTCGGCCGTCTTTTTATTCTGGGGCACGCCCACGCCGGCGTAATACATGTCTGCGAGATTCTTCCACGCTGCCATCGAATGGCGGTCCGCGGCCGCCTGGTAGTACTGAAACGCTGGCTCGTACAATCGATTCGCATACGCCAACGCCCCCAGCGTACACAGCGCCTCTGGATGGCCCATCGCAGCCGCGCGTTCGTACAGGTCGTGGGCCGCTTGGACGTCCACGGGCACCACGGGTGGCAACCCTTCGCGGTACATGTCGGCCATACACACCAGCGCGTCGGCTTCGTCCTCGTCCACGGCCAAACGGAGATATGTCAGCGCTTTGTCCAAGTCGACAGGGACATGCATGGCTTCGGCCCCGCTCAAGTGGAGCTGCGCGAGGTAGTACAGCGCCCCACCGTGGCCTTGCGTAGCCGCTTGCTCCAGCAACATGCGGCTGCTCACGGGGTTGGCAGCCACTGACTCGTTGCCGACGTGGAGGACATGCCCCATAAAGAATTGCGCACTAGGGTCGCCCACTTCGGCCGCTTTCATGAAGCAGTCCATCGCCAGCGGCAGGTTGGCTACCGTGGGCGTGGGTACGGCTGTGGGGTGGTCCTATGTAGATGATCAATTGGTGCGATGTGGAGCATCTACAATGTGCAAATTGACTTTACGTCGTAAAGTAACATGCCAAGGTTGTACAGCGCGTCAGGATGGGGTTTTTCACAGAATGCAATGACAGAGTACCAGGCCCTGGCCGCATGAACTAGGGGCGGGTCGTGCGCCATGCACAAGTTGCCCAAGCGGACGAACGCGTCGCGGTGGCTACGTGAAGGCATGAAAACGCCGAAAATATAAGAGATATGTACCCATTGTCGGCGGCGCGGCGCAGCCACTCGACGCCTTTGGCTTGGTTGCTACCCCCGAGGACTTGCATGATGACTGTGTCGTCCACTTCACTTTCGGAGCTTAATGGAGCAAGCAGCCGAGAGCCGTCCAACCATGGCTGCGTGATGCTGCCATAGACGTCATCCAAGTCTGCCGAGGTGGTTCGAGCCACCAGAGGCGAGATTGTAGCAGATTTTTGGGTTGACTGTTTGTACTCTTTGTACAGTTTTCGAGCATGCTTCCGGATGCTCTTGATGTCCTGGAGATCGGGCGAGGAGGAACTGGCGCGTTGACGCAACGTTTCCGCGTCTAACGTCCATTCATCTTCGACCACGTTGCTGCTGCTGTCGTCATCTGCCACGTCGTCATCCAGGTACATCAACCCGAGTTCATACTGCGCCAATGCATCCTGGGCTAGAGCACGTACGTACAAGTCTTGAGTTTTATGCCACAGATCCAACGACTTTGCTCCGTGTGCATCAGAGTTGGCAGTCACAGCCGAGTGATCGCTGATCGTGCTAAAATTTGCTCGTTGCGATTGCATTGTCAGGCGAGAAGTACACACGACGCTGGCCTTCCTCAACGATGGCGATGTTGACACGTGAATGCACCGCATAGTGGCGGTAGAGGAAGTGGCGACGACGCGGCGGCTTGAGCGCGCAACATGATTGATCAGCCGGCTCATCATCATGGGTGTAGCACGAAGTCCAACTGCGCTTCCATCGTATACAATGACTTGATTGGGTGTATATTTCAGTCATGAACCAATCGTATTAGCTACCTGTAGTTTATTATGTCCAATGAAATGCAATCCTCGTTGTTTCAAATCAACTCACCACACAGAAACTCAAAACCCTTCCAGCTGCTACGCCGCCGCTGCCATCTCAACCGTCCATGGGCAACATCCTTTCACCAGTGGATACCATCAACTACAACTTTGTCGCGGGGGTCTATGGTCTGTGCACGGTTCTCTTTGTGCTGCTGCTCGTGATCCAGCGATACACGGACTCTGTCGAGGGGTTCTACATTGTGTTTGCGCCGTTCCTTCCGTGCTTGCTGTGGAGCTTGGTCGTGCGTCGCAACTGGCTGGCCAAGGAAGCCGCCCTTCTCAACGACCCGAAGAAGACAGAGTAGGCATCTCCATACATTTATATACATGTTTCCGTTAGAAGAAATTCCGCGATGTGAATCGAGGCAATTTGCGCGTCTTTTGGCGCTTTTGGTTCACGAACTGCATCGCTTGACGCCTGCGGTACGCTGCCTGAATGTGCAGGACGCATCGATACGCCACGCTCTTGTCCGCGATGACGATATTCTTGGACGCAGGGCGGGTGTACGCGAGCTTGACGCGCTGGAAGCTGTAGTAAAACCGGGTCCCCGTCGTCGCGTCCACACACTCGACCCATTCGTTGTCTTTGTCCTGGTCGACGTCCATCTGCGCGCGTCGGGCTTCCACGTCTGCGCGGAGGACGGGGTCTCCCATAAGCATCTCCATCATACACGCTTCAATCGTGCGCGGGACGACCACGTTGGCCCCATCAAACTCACTAAGCCACCTTCGATTACAATCGCATACAAACACCAAGTGTTGGTGTCAGTATACCGTACACTGGCCTATCCAACGTGAGTGTTTTCAGGTGGCGGTTAAAGTACAGTGGCACGTGGTCGTCGGTGAGCGCTGTGAACCACACGTTTTCCTTGGGGGTTCGTTTCGGTGGCGCCGTCACGGACGTCACATACCCATGCAACGGAAACGGAGGGATGCAGTGGATCTTCATGTCCAAGTACGCCACGGCCGCCGCCACCCAGTTGCGCAGACACAGGTACGCGGGCATGCGCTGCCAGGAGGGGTCGTCGTCGGCTACGGCGTACATGGCAGGCCGATGGATAGTCTGGACAGCTCGTAAATGGACGGTGCACAGCTCGTATGGTTTGGTGAACAGCCCCACAGGTTCATTCGAGGCGAGCCACTCCCACCCGCCGACGTGAGTGTCTATGTTCTTGACGATCCACGCCGCCCAGAGCCCCGACCACACGACCGCCGGAGAGGCTTTCCCGGCATCTAGGTTGAACAGAAGCAGCACGCACCGCACCGTTGCGAGAACGGCCGACGACGGCAAAAAGTCCCAGTCCAACGGCTGGACAAAGTCGGCTTTGCCCAGCTCTTGCAACGCGATCGTGCACTCGTCCAAGGCCGACACTGCCACGAGCAAGTCAAAATGGTGGGAATAATGAAACGACGAGACCGCGGTGGAGTATATATACCAATGACAAGGACGTCGACTTGGCCAAACGAAGGGTCGCAGTATGGACGCTTGGAGGCAGCTTCCTACGAACCGACGCAGGAAGGGTTGGGATGATGACGTGGACATTGGATGACCTGTTGCAAGAGAAATTGACTCTCGGCCTCAGGGATACCGTGGAGAACGTGCTGCTGCTTCACGGTGGCCAAGTACTCGGTGAGCAGTTTATCCATTGGACTCGGTGTACGTCGTGTGTGCGCTATATTTAGGCGGTGACGTATCGTATGAACGACGAGTCCGAGTCATGATGCTCCTCCATCTTGCGGCAGTCCACGCAGCGACTTCGTGCTTGCATGGTTGTACGGTTAGAACATACAGGAAGCGTGCATGCATCGCATGTCGGTCTGACGCAAATTGTTCACTTCCCGGTGTTGAAATTATTATCCGGTCGAATTATCCGGAAATACAAACTACAGGTGGGAACTTTCAACACGATCGATGGCAGCACCTCCGACACCATCGCAAGCGGAAGGTTTGAGCGCCACGGACGAGAAGAGGCACCGGTTCTATGCATGCGAGTTGATCCAAGAGGCGGGAATTCTCCTTCAGTTGCCTCAGGTCGTCTTGGCCACGGCCCAATCGCTCCTGCATCGGTTCTACGCACGGCAAAGCTTGTTCGACTTTGATGCGTTCCGGGCAGCGATGGGGTGTATCTTCTTGGCAAGCAAGGCGGAGGAGCAGCCGCGCCGGGTCAAAGACGTCGTTCAGGTGTTCTTCCGCATGCGGAATCGTCGCATGGGCCTCGGGCTTTCGCTCCTGATGCCGTCGGACCCGCGGTTTGCCACATGGACCGACTGGCTCGTCATGGTCGAGCGACAAGTGCTCATCGAAGTCGGGTTCTCCATTGACGGCACCACCGAGCACCCACACAAGTTCCTGCTGTACTACATCAAACTACTCGAGTGCTCCGACGCGTGTGCCCAACAGGCGTGGAACTACGTGAACGACAGCTTCCGCCTCGATCTCTGCTTGCGGTATGACGCCCATGTGATTGCATGCGCCGCCATCAGTCTAGCTGCTCGTGTGCTGCAGCATGTACTCCCGCTTGGATGGGAAGAACTGCTCGAAGTAGACGTACCCGACGTGATCAGCGTGGCCCGTGAGATGCTGGCGCTGTACGAGCACCCTCGCGTGCGATGGTTGGAACCATTGACGGAAGTCAATCCTTTCGAAGTCACAAGACACGACAAAGTAGAGGCTCCCACGAACCTTCCTCCAGTGGAACATCCAGCAGTGCCGCCGCAGCCACCGCCGCCGTTAGCAAAGGCCATCGACCCATCACCCACTCCATCGCCACCTGTTGAGGGCCGTGATCGCAAGGACACCGCTCGTCAACCGGATGCAAGCCCCGAGCTACGACGATCCCATCATCGTACCCGTCGAAGCGCTAGCAGAGACAGAGATCGCTGTCGCAGCGATCGACGCAGTAGGAGCAGAACACGACGAGACATCCGCCGGGACGACGACGACAGACGCTACCGTCGCCGGAGTCGAAGCCAAGAGCAGCGATACCACTCACGTCGTCGAAGTTAGGCGGAATTAACATACTAGACACGTGGTGTCCATGAGGCCATTGCCTGTATGTAGCAGTAGCAACAGCTCTCTAGTTCGACATGACAAAGTATGGGAGGTAGGCGTTTTGCTGTCTAATCAAGCACCACCACCACCATCAGCAGCTAGGGTAGGTTGGCAAGCGTTAATGGAACTTAAATATGGTGTTAAAGGATGGGCCGTAGGCTAGAATGTGCTTTGGCTCAGGGTCTTTGTCCGTTTGAAGGGGTCCAGTACCTTTCGGAAAAGAGACACCTTGCGTCGTAGCGTGCGATGGCTTGTAGTCGAGTCGGATTCGGACGACGTTCGCGATGCCACGTCACTTTGCCGTTGGTTGCAACTGGTCGAGCCCACTGCGGCCACCACGTCCTTGATTGTGACTCGGGTCGAAGGGTGGACCTGCAGCATCGCCTCCAGCGCATCGAACGCGTCGGATGGGATCAAATGGCTCACGTGCAACTCGTCGCACAACGCCGCCAGGCCATGTTGCTTGAAGCGTTCGAACCGATCGTCCAGAACACGTGCTTGGCGGAACGGCGCCACCCCCGTGAGCATGATGAAGAGCAGGATGCCCAGCGACCACACGTCCGCCTGACTTGCGTCGTACCCGCGTGACGACGTGTCGTGCACCTCTGGCGCCATGTAGAAGTACTTGCCGACCGCCGCGACCTGCTTGGTGGTTGCGTCGGCCGCGAACCCAAAGTCGCACAGTTTGCACATGTTGGCATCGTCGACGAGCACGTTTTCGAGCGACAGGTCGCAGTGCGCGTATCCGAGGGAGTGCAAGAAGACCAAGCCGTCGGCGATCTGTCCGACGTACGTCAAGCTCGTGGCAGCGTCGAAGCGTTTATCGGTCGTGGCTTTGAGCACATCGAAGAGCGAGCCGCGAGGACAATGGTCCAGGACAAGATGCTCGATGCCCTGGACTTGGAAGCTTTCGCGAAGTCGAAGCACGTTCGCATGCCCGCCCATCTTGGTCACATGCTTGTAGACACGGCGTTCCATGGCGACGTGGTCGTTGACACGACATGTTGCTTTATCCGCAATGATCTGCAGTTTCTTGATGGTCACGACCTCGGCGGTGCGGTTGTCGGTGGCGAGGACTACGTTGGGTAGTAGCAGCGGCAGGGGGGTATCACTAGCCTCTGGTGCAGTACATGACGGAGGTTCGATCATTGTGTAGCGTTCCATGTTGCAGAAGGTCGAATGAGACTTATCAGCGTGAGCCTGCCTGAAGTTGAAGTTGCGCGTGCGGAGAATTTTGTGTGTCAGCTGCGCCACAGGTGTGGGATTAGTACAACTTCAAACTCACAGTAGGACGTACTGAACAAGGAAACTTTCGAAGCTTTTGTTCGAAATTTCTTACTGTAGAAGCGACGCAAATGCTATCAGCAGCACCTTTTGAAGCCCAGAAACCTTGCAAATATGGTAAATAGAGAGTTGGTTTCTACCATTGACTAAAGATGCTCGGATCCATGGACTACATAGGAAATGGGGCATTCGTCGATTAACAAGGACTTATTTGGGTTGCCTTTTCAAAGCACAGTGGAACTCAGTGGCGGGGTGACTAACCTCGCTGATCTTAGTGGAATTCAGCTCAGACATCCAGTCGCCAATCAAAACGCGAAACGAGACATACCTTTGGGATTTCTTCTACACTGTACTATTTATAGTACTTCGTAACTAGTTTTGAAAAAGGAAGTGGTTTGGTTTGAGTTGGCGCACGCACCTCGCTTTCTTATACTAAACATTAGCAATGAAAACTGAAATCGGAACGGCAATGCGGCTTGCAATGCATTTGTTGGATCAGTGGGCACTTGACCTCTGCAAAAACACTTTAGGCATGAAGGATGTCGACGTAAGCTTAAGGTCATTGTTACTGTAGCTCAGAGATTATGAGATTGAAAAAGTAGCTAGGATTCTGCGGACTCAAAAGGAATCCACATTAACGCAACTTCAAGTCTAACGTTATGAGCTGATATGAGCGATACTAACATTAGTACAGTATATCCCTCCCTGGAATGCATATCATTTCAACCCTTCACAATACTATTAATAGTACACCTTTTTTCGGTTAATTTCAGGACCTCACACGAGGTCCCATAAACGCAGCAAGGCACTCGCCCAGCAACGTCTTGCTGTGGCTCGTCATTGTGGACCAAAGATTCTCGATGGAGTCGGGTGCGTGGCTATGACCACGTCAACTAGGTACATAAGGTATGCATTGGAACGTACTGGTGTGGCAAGCGATGCGGGAGGGCTTGTTCCATCGTCCGTCATTTTGAAGAATGAGCGAAAGCCCGCGAGATCTTCGGTTGAACGTGATTCTTTTCTATTTTCGCTCGAAATATATCGATTGCACCCCGAAATATATTGAGCCACTCGCTGAATTGAGCGCATACACAGTGAAATATAAGGAACATCGCTTGAAATATACTGCAACCTATTTGGTTACAGGCGAAATATAACGAATATACAACGAACGAAGTGGAACCGCCGCGAATTGCTTGTTCATTTCGCGAAAATGTATGGTGAGGTCCTGAAATTAACCGAAAAAAGGTGTAGTATTAATAGTAGTCACAATAGAATTTACTACATTGGTATGGCCAATGAGAATGAAGAGACAAATATATTCAGCCAATTAAAGTAGAGCCAGATGCTTGATACAAATCACCTACGGAATACTCAAACACGTTAGTATTGTATACTTTGCCAATCAAAACCAGTACACGTGGTACAATACACTGCATGTATTTCATTGGCGGAAAACTTGTATTGATTGACCTTTTCACCCAAATTTGGACCGAGCAGTTTATTCGAGAAATCGACTCGAAACACAATTGTATACCATAGATTCAAAGGTCCGACCGTCGAATGGTCATCTATGAATATTTTTCTGGTAACAAAGACATAAGCCAGAAAATACTGGATAACCAAAACTAATTCACCAATAGAATCTATGAGCCGGAAACACTTTCAAGGGTTGGAAGAGACCAGAATTGCTCGGAGCGGGATGGCTGCGCACCCCGCAGGATGTACTGGCCCTGTCACATGATGGAGTGATTAGTATCACCGTCTTGGATTCATCGCGGCACAGTCGCTGGAACAAGGGGATGGTGCGTTCACTGGGGTGTTCGGTCGTCCTGTGATGACTCTTCTGTCTTGCCATGGTGGGGTTGGGGTTGCCGACGGGATGGTCCGACCATGTCCAATCATGCCGCAGGTATGTATGTGTGTGCATGCATGTATGTTATATGTATTATTACTCATCTCGATAGTCGTGTCGTTACATCAACGTGTTGTCCGAGCCACCGCTTTCAGCCGCCGTGGCCCACTGGATTTGGTCGCTCGTGGGCCACATGTCCCACACATGTGCCGCTGCGCGGTGCAATGTTCCAATGGACTTGGTGGGGCAACATGGGGTTGCCGTGTGGACCGGCCATGTCCAATCACGTCGCCGTATGTATGTACTGTACTGTATATGTTTGTGTGGCGGCGTAGGATCCAATGTCAAGCCAGACGCACGAAGTTTGCGGTAATGCATGATCTTTGTATTGAGCACACCAGATCGATGTAACCTTTGTAGTTCCTTCTACATCACGTTCGATCCACTTGACCGTACGTCGTGATCACGTAGGAAGTTCAAGAGACCAGCTTCCGCGCTGGCACCAAGCGCGATGACATCATCTCGGTAGGTTGGACGTGCTTCATCCAAGATAAATCCGTTTGGTAAGAAAAGCTTCATGTACGCGACCAGATTCGAGCAACATATTTCTTCTCTTTTGGTGCGTTGCTAGTAGCATGTAGACGAGGTTCAAGCCCATACCATTCGAACCACGTTGTTCCTAGTGACTTCAAAGAGCTTTGACGTTGTTTCTTTGTGGCGGGGATCGTGTCGGTGATTTTGTGGCTCACGGATTATCGTTTCTTGTAGTCGCCGCGACCTTCCAACTTTGCCTCCAGGACTTGGAGCCGTTCTTCTTCGCGCCGCCCTGCCTGAATAAAGATTTCGATGAGGGCTTCCTGGTGATGAATAAGGCCTTGTTCGGCGGTCTCTGACGTTGATATCGGGTGTTGTTGCAGCCTCTCGGGCGATTGTTGGATCGTTGGTGTTGTCGTCAAGTGCGATGTCCACGTCAGCAGGTCGATCTCGCAGCAACCCGCAAGCCGCGTGCAGCTTCCAGGCGAGGTACAGCAGGTCCATGCGCATTGAGCTCCTTAAAACGGGGATAGTGGCAAAACAGGTAAGCCCTCAGCGAAACAGGTAAGCCGTCATTGTGTCCACCACACGTCGGTTGAGGTTGAGCGTAGGTCCATCAAGGCCAGAATACGTCGCGAAAAGGTGGGAATGTGATGACAGCTTCTGATCAACGCCAGAGGGTCCACCGATATGTCCAAGAATTCGATTGACATGGCTGTGAATAGTAGGTGAGCTCTTGGTCGTTGACTCTTCCTTGTCGAACTCAATAACGCCAGGATTCTGTAGAACCTCGACCAATGCAGTTGTTGGGCCAAGGCTCGAAGCTAAGGATGAATACTGAGTTGGTAAGTTGTCAATGACGTTTGCAGATGGCCCGCCTTGACAAATGGTTGACAACGCCATCGCCAGCAACGGACACGTAAGGAAGTCATTATCCGGGAATATGGACAGTCCCTGTTCCTCGCTCGTCTTAACTAGTACGAAGCGTAGGAAAAACACACCGCCAGCATCAATGGACACGTTGTTCTTCCGCACCATTGCCAAGTCGTATGCCCGTCCAAGCAGATACCACAACAAGGCCAACAGGAATGCGTCTTGATAGTCGCTGCATGAGGTCGCGCTCTTATAGATATACATAAGCATTCGCTTTAAGTAATCCTTGGTGCACGCAGCTGCCTGGTTCACTACCACCCCGCCGTCTTTCTTGGCGCAAAAGTCTGTAGTAGCTTGGAGTCGACAACAGGCTGTAGGTGGGGGAACTCGTCGAGTAGGCTTATCTTCGCTTGTCGGGAGTACTAGATGCATGAGTTCTTTGATAGCGGCACCTCGGGTGACTTTTCACGTGCAGTAAGGTACATAGCAAACTCCTCCATGACCGAGGCAAAACATTGGCATGTTGTATCCTTTCGGATGCAATCCTTCGAATAGTTCTCTTCCACGCTCTCGGACTCGAGGAACTTGAGGAAGGACTTGATAACCGAAGCTCTGGCATTCACCGTTGATCTTGGTCGCAGGCGGTCCATACTTGGTATGAATCGGGGTTGCTATATTATTGACCAATTATGAGCTCAGTCGGAGGTTGCCTGATTATGTAACAATGATGCGTTGACCTTCATTTTTGTATGCTCATATTGCATAACTTTTGAAAGGTCCGACCACTAACGCATACAGTGCGCGACAAAAAGGTAAGGACAGGCACCAAAATGAGCTATTTTTAGGACGTTTTAGCCAAAATTGGTCAGAAACGGCTGATTTTTGGATATAATGTACTCCTTGTCACGACAAATACATGGTACATTCTAGAACTTTCGAATTCGTAGTTGTCGGGAAGTTATCCTCAAACTCGTGTTTGTATGGAGCGACAAATATACGTGGACAATACAAAACTCAAGACATGAAGTCACTTTACATATTGATGGCCAAACGTAAGACGCTCATTGACCGTCAGGTCGGTGAGATCGTTGCTCGACGTGACCATGGGGAAACCTTCCGTGAAATTGCGCGCAACATCAACTGTTCAAAGTCTGCCGTTGCCAACGTCCTGCGTGACCATGTCGCCTACGGTAAGGCGACCTCAACAGGCCGTAAACCAAAGCTGTCCGACCGAGCGAAGAGCGCCGTCATCCGCGAAGTCCAGAAAGGCCAATGCAGCGCGTCTGAAATACGGCGCAACCTGAACCTCGATGTCCATGTGCGCACTGTCCAACGCCTCCTGCACAGGTCCGACCACCTCGAGCACATCTATCGCATTGCAACGCCAGCCCTGACAACCGCACATATGAAGGCAAGGTTGCTCTGGGCTCAAGAAAACGTCACGTTTGGCGACAAGTGGAAGTGTGTCGTTTTCTCCAATGAGAAAAAGTTCAACCTTGACGGGCCAGACGGATACCAAAAGTACTGGCACGACAAGCGCCAGCCAAAACAACAGCGCATGAACCGGCAACAAGGTGGCGGCAGCGTCATGATTTGGGCTGCGTTTGCGTGGCGTGGAAGGAGCGATGTCGTCTTCCTCGATGGGCGCATGACTCTGAGTGCTACATCTACACTCTGTCTGAGTACATGCTGCCGTTTGCTTATTTACATTATGGAACTGACTTTGTCTTTCAACAGGACAATGCCAGTATTCATAGTTCACATGCAACGAAAGCATTTTTGGAGGAGAATGATGTTGATGTCATGCCTTGGCCGGCATTATCACCGGACTTGAATCCGATAGAAAATGCTAGTACGCATGTCCCGCGTTCGAGCCTTGGAACAAGCCATAGTGATGTGGCCCCGTTGTGATTCCCAGCGCAGGATCTGCTTCCACACTGTAGTGCGCTTGGCTCCCGCGACACCGGGGAAGAACGTGTCGATGGCGGACTCCATGGAATGTTGTTTGCGCCAGTTGATTATATGAAGCTTTTTCTCGTAGGTATGGTAGAGGTTTTTGTGCTTCTTGGGCATTCGCTTGATTTGCTTGGTACTAGGACGCCCAGTGCGTCGGCCATCGAGCTGAGTTGGCGCCATTATTGTTGCAACTTGCCGCCTTTCTGCAAATCAATGCAGGATTTATAAAGTTTCATGGGTATAGTTTACGAACGAGGTATTGTAGAAAATAATATATTGACTGAATAAGTATTTACAGGTTTTTTCTCTTCGCAACTGACATGTCAACTAAAGTATGTGACCTCCACTTGAAGATGGTGTATCGTAAACCGATACTATTGGACAGAAATTATATGATGAATACGTATAATTGGCTAGTTCAAATAATGATTTATGATTGGCTAAAACTAGTCATACAATTTGACATTGACATTGGTTGGACCTTTCGAATTATCCTTTGGGTATACTAACCTCGACAAATCTATATTCCATCCATGCTGCACAAAATGGGGGAACAACTTCAACGCATACATACTGTATTCAATCCAAAGAGCTGTCGTCAGTCAATATGTACTTCAAAGTACAGTAATTTAGAGCATCCAGCGCTCTACTTGGCTGCGGCAAACACAATTGGTAACTACGCACAATAATCCTGCACCCCCTATCGAACCATGCGTCGAACGAATATGGGTGAAATTTCTATCCACGATCGTTCGCCACTATAATTGGGCTAACAAACGAATTAGGTTAACGTTATCCACAAAATCCCAGTTGTGTAAATCATGCGTGCTTTGAAATTCTCGAGCTATTTGAACCCTGGTAAAAACTGATTATGACCAAACTGGCATGCGACGAGCGTCGAACAGACATGACAAGACGATGGTTCGCGCGTGTAAGTTCATTCACGCAACGACTGCGCATTAACATTCAACAGGTTTAACTGGCTATCATTTCTTAGAGCACTGCATAGCCACGACGTTGGTTCTTCTTAAACACGAAGAACGCAACAATCGCGACCAACACCACCGCAAGCGATCCCACGCCGAACTCCTCGGCGGTTTTGGGACCCACGCCACTTCCCAACCGAGTCGTCAACGTCGACGACCCGTCCGTGACGACATTGCCGCCGCGCGAAGGCCACGAAAACCAACCAACTGTCTGGTAAACACGCACCGGCACCCCTTCCTTCAACGGCGCCGGCTCGGCAGCCACTTCAAACGTGACGAACTTGTTTTCGAGTGTGGGCACTACTTTCGGGGTTCTGGGCGACCAATACCACTGGTGCTTCTTCTCTTTGGGCAAATGAGCGGGGGTGGCGTTGAAGTAGTTAATGTGCCCCGACCCAAAGCCCGAACGAGAGAGGGTGTCCACGGTCTGCACGTACGCAGAGCCGGATCCAAGCACTTCCACCTTGGTGGTGGTGCATGCTACAGACGCCACGTAGGCATTGCCAGAGCCCAAGAGCGAGATCTTGCTGCTACCGCAATGACCAGCAGGGTAGTAGCTGATCGAACCCGAGCCCAACACTTCGCTATGGAGGTCCGACGCATCCACGGTGCCATGCACGTACGCAGAGCCTGAGCCAAGCACCGATGTCTTCAAGTCGTCTGTCGACACTGACGCAGCTTGAATTGCCACCGAGCCGCTGCCGAGGACATCCAACTTGATGCGCTTGGTGGAGGTCACGGCTGGCGCCGTCACGTACACGATGCCGTGCCCTTCCGCCGTGATGTCGAGCTTGGACACTGTCACTGCATTCGCAGACTCGACCCAGACGTTCTTGCTGCCAAGCGACGATACTCTCACATTGGCGGCTTTGTTCTGGAGAGAGAGGGTGCCGGATGACACGATGGTTTCGGTCGTGGTGGTCAACGTCGAAATCGGGTGGTTGAACTTCACCTCCACGAGAAGCGATGCAGAAATGTCAATGTTCTGTGGCGGAAACGAAAGCTTGAGTACGCGCTCGGAACCCGTCACGTAGAAGTCGGCCTTGCGCCCGGGTACAATCTCGGCTTGAACAAGCTCGGCCAGCTCTTGCGAAGATGATGTCACGACCACGGTGGCCGGTTCGTTAAGCGACGGGTCGTACGACAGTACGAGGCGACCGGGGAGGAGGGAGTCGAGCCCACTCAGGGTGCCATCGCCCGAGGTCCACGTGCGAACAAAGTTGTTGGGGGAGGAGTTGGTGTCTGACATTTTGGTCGCTAGAGGTAAAATGGATTATGACCTGGTTGTTAACGTTAGTACTACTTGAAAAGTAGGAATGTATGTACAAAGTGTTGTTCCTGAATGCATGCGATTCCCTGAGTAGCCAAAAGTGTTGGTAAGTTCACTAATCAGTCCTGTATGTAGCAGAGTAGACAAGGTCCTCGACCACGACCACTGCGATTGCTGTCATTTGAGTTCAAGTCTGACAGTCAACGCAATGGCGTTTTTTACTTACAGTTCCTCCAATTTCATCATTTTGTGCTTACGACAGCTCGAATAAACATGCTTCAACTACAGTAATGTTTCACTGTACCGGTATTGTTACAGTATGTGAATCCAATCAGCTGTTTTCTCGACACCGTATTTCGAAGTAAAATGCTCAAATCGCCAAACTTCATCAAACGTAACTTCGAAATTCGATGATATATGGTGCACTTCATCTAAAAACTTCCAACTGGCCAAATTGAAGAGTGGAGGTTTTATGGAGTATTTAACGTGCAATTAATGTAGTTAAACCCAAAATCCAGATACGTTAAATACCGATTTCATGCGTTTTATCACTGGAGTGGGAGGTTAAAGGTCCCAACTGCCTCCGGATATTAAATACGGATAAGAGTCACATACAAAAATCAAGATACATTTGAGCGGCCACCCCTATGGCCAAATATCCAAGCGCCCATGTAAAATACCGCTAGGTTAAATATCTATTTCTGGACCAATCCATCACAAAATTTGAATCTGAGACGTAGAATTTCTTCACCACATTGAGATCTGTCGATTATACGTCTCAATATGCTGCAATTTTGAGTAATGAATATGAAATAGAAGTCAGAAAATTTTGTGAAAAGTTGGTAGTTTATAGATGACGTGCATCATAGCAGTTGAATATACTTGTCCTACGGTAGCTGGAAGAGCCAATCAAGTCCACTCAAATATGGATTAGCCAATAGCGTCGATATCGTGATTCGATTCGGCGGCGAGATTCGATTCGACGAAATTCGTACAATAAGTGTGAGTCTGGATGTCAAAAAAAGGGCCAAAATCTTCGATATTTTGGCAATTAATCGGCAAAAAATGAAAAATTCCCTGGCTGGATCAAAAATTTGGAGAATTCACAGTCAATATTTTGCCAAATTCGCCAAAAAATAAGAAAGAGGTTCAAAGGGACTTTTTCTGAAAGTTGGCAAGAACTGAGAATCGTCGTTTCGAAATCTGTTTGATCCAGACAGTCAAAAATACTGTACTTCAAGTAGATGACAACCAAATTCTTCGAATTTCTTTGAACAAAATTTTTGAAATATTAATTGAGCAAAATTTGGGGTATGATCCAGACCCACCCTACAGTAAATATGTTTACTGTTATCGTAATTTTCCCCTATCAAATAATTTATTGAAGGTGCCAATGATTTATTTTGGGGAGTTCTCACACCACTTTCGGTATTTACTGTTACTACGTAGTACTACGTAGTAATTGTGAACAACAAGTACAGTACCAATACTGGTAACAGTACAGTACCAATACGAGTAACTGTAAATTTTACTACCGGTAGTAACCCTCCAGAGATGAAACTACGTAAACACCCAACTCAATTAATCATGTTATGGATATTGATTGCCTTATTCCACGCATCCTGTACCGAAACAGAAAATGTGATTGGAGCGCTGCGGGTTGTACTCCAAAACCGAATACTGATTATTAGAGGTTTATTGGTGTTGAAAAGTGCAATCACTGTAAACACTCCCGAAAGGTGTTGTCGAGACATCACCTCAGTAGTGTAACCGATTGAATGACCTGTCTTATTGTTTAGGTCACCTTTTGGGGTAGAAATTTTGAAACCCGCAATTTAGACAAGAATTGTTCCGAGTCGACAATTATACGTCGAAGTATATTTTATGCTCGACAATTATACTTCGAAGAATATTTTATGCTCATGTGTTTGCATTTGCAATTCAAAAACGCCGAAAAGAAATATATGGAAGTATTAATAAACACCCAAAATCAATTTAAATATATTCCCCCCCCCCTGACTGCGGAATGCTACTAGTATTAATAGTACACTGTACTGTAGTATTTCGAAGTTATTGCATCACTCACTGTGAATTCTCCGTAGTAAGCAACTTTTCACACGTGTAAACTATTCAACAAGAACGGTAGCTATGGCCAATACCCGGCAACTTTATTGAAGCAACTGGTATCCCCCTCGTCGAAACCGCTTGTACGCTATCAGCACAAGCCCCAGCACAAAAACCATCGCGAGCCCAACTACGTCCCCCATCGCCCCCTCGTCTAGATCCCTGTCGTACGTCATCCCGTCCGCAAACAACTTGTCCATCAACACCATGGGGGGCCACCGCAAGGTTGCAGTGGTTAGTCGCACGAGTACATACGACCCTTCGTGCCATGGCGGCTGTGGGGCCAACTGCACCGTCTCATGCTTGTTGGTGTCAGTTCGAGCGACGGTGGGCTGGCGCAAAAACGGAAACGATTGGCCGGCGGCGTTTCCTGGCAAGTGGAGCGGGGTGACGTTGAAGTAGTTGATCGAGCCAGAGCCAAAGCCGGTGCGGGCGAGAGTGTCGACCACTTGGACGTACGCGTCGCCATTGCCGACCGTGTTGACGCTGGTGGTGGCACACACGACAGACCCGACGTAAGCATTGCCGGAGCCCACGATGTCGATTTTGCTGTCGTCGCAGCGCCCCGACGGAAAGTAGTTGACCGACCCCATCCCCAACAAATCGTTGATCAAGTGGGGGGCCTCGACATGGCCTTCGACATACACTGAGCCGCGCCCTGGCACTTCGGACTTGATCGTGTTGGCTGTGATCGTGTGTGCCTGAATGGACACGGAGCCCTGCGCGAAGATCGTGAGCTTCAAGTTGCGCTGCACTTGAATCGACGGCGCGGTCAAGTGCACGTCGCCAGCCCCGCCGACTGTGATGGACAGACCTGGGACTGCTATCGGCAACGCCGACTCAATCCACACGGCGGCGTTGCTGTAGGAAGTGATGTACATTGGCGTAGCTGAGGATGACGGCAGCGCCAACGCTCCAGTTTGCACGAGGGTTTCGGCCACGGTTGAGAACACGTGCACGGGATTTCCCAACGCGACGTGGACCAGGAGCGTGCCAGCGGCATCGACGTCGCTGGTGGCCAATCGGAGCGTCATTTGATTGACGTCGTCTGCTGTCATGTTTACGTCTACGTGAACTAGCGATAGCAGGGCTCGAGTACTTGATGTGACGGTAATGAGTGTGGTCGTGGTCGTGGAAGTGGTGTTGGGGGCATACGAAACCACTACTCGACCTGGAAGGGCGATACTGAGGCCGCCCAAACGTACGCTGGAAGTCGTCCAGCTCCGAACATGTACTCCGGGCACGACAATCGTCTCGTCGTCGCCACTTGCTATGTCGGTCATGTTGTTATTCTTTGATTGGCAAGGTGACATGTGGATCGTAATTTCGCGTTTTTTTTTACTGATTTGCAACGATATTTAACGTTGACGTTTTATTGATGATTGAAAATGTAGCCATTGTTTTCGACGACCAAACAAGCCTATTTGTTGCTATGCATAGTAGAGGCGAGTTTGAAAGTGTTTCAAAGCTCTAGAAGTACAATATCACTTACACCGTCGGTACTCCTGCTTGGCATTTTCAAGCTTGATGAGCCATGGACTCGCTATTGCCTTGCTCATATAACACGAACACGTTATATGCGTTTTACTATGGTGAGAAGGTTGTATGTAGGTTAAACACGAACAAGATTCATGGCAAAGTGAATTCATGGGTAATTACAGTATGCAATCAGTACCAGGTTTTCGTATTGACTGTGAAATGTCAGCATGGAAAAATCCACCAACCATGGCATCCAACGCTTCGTCGTCGCTAGCGTTTAGACGGCCTTGTTCACTTGCTGCATTTCGTCGTGCAGTGTAATGACTTAACATTGCTCATATAACTCAAAGGAGGTCGACGCCCCCAGCTGTGGAGTAGAATTGTTGAAGACGTGCTCACAGAGTATTTTTTCTGATAACTTTACCTATTTTTATGCATCGAATGTAAAACGCGTTTATTACATGTGGATATATATATATATCAAGTCATACGGTCTCATTGCGGTATCGCTTTCGCGCGAATATCAACATCCAAGATGTCAAGTGGATTAATTGACAAAAACTCTCTATTTTCAAAAGTGCTGACCAAATGCTCTCTACTATTACTACTACCGGTAGAGAGTTTTCATATGTTACAGAAATTTGTCAAAAACGTTGGAATTTCTACTACTAATATACTACTGAAGTACTACGTAGTAATAGTACTATTTACAGTTACGCAGTTAAACAACGGGCAAACTACATGAAAAGCACAATACTCCGAGTAGTACAGTATTATTGACTCGTCAATATGCTCAAGAGGTCTAATGATTTGTTACTCGGTGTAGAATAATGTCAGTGGAATGGCTGCAGCAATTTGCTAGGATTATTATTCCAACAATACTACTGGTAGCTACATAGCACAACCATCTCTGTACCGTATACTATCACCTTTCCTACCTTTCCTACAGTACATGTACCGAATGAATGCCTTCATATGCCCTTCGTCGTTGGCTCATTTGTGAATTTCCCCCGCATCAATCAATCGACCATGTCGGCCATCGTGACAGCGCCCCACACGTTCACTACGTCGTGGAACACGTCTACTCCCATCGAAGGCGTGCTGCTCCAGTTCCCAGGACGGGTGTTCATCAACCAAAACCCATCGCTCAAAGCCGCGGCGCGCGTCGTCATTTCCTCTGACTCGCAAGCAGTTGTGGACCTGTTTGCATTCAATGCGACGAAAGCTGTCGGCGACAGCATCAACGCCGGGTGCAACCGGCGCTACGCCATCGACCGCGCCAACCAAACGTACTTGGACGTGTCAGTCGCGTCGGCTGTCAACGCGCACGCCGCGGGCTCGCTCTTGGTGCTTATCACGGTTCAAAAGCCCGTCTCGTGGGTCAAGTCCACGGCGGACACGGTCGTAGTTAGCGGCGCCTTGGTCAACGGACCTTCGAAGTTCGTTTCCATCACGTCGTTGGGCGCGGGCAACATCACAACGACTGCCAAGTACCCTGTGACGCTGTCCAACCTGACGTTGTCGACCACAGGCACCGGCAAAGTGCAGTTTGCAGCTACGACGACCTTCAACACGACAGCGGGCGTGTCACTGGTCATTGCTGGCCCTGGCTCGGTGGCCCTTCAAGCCGGCCGCACGCTCAACATTCCCAACCTCACGACCACCGTCACGGGCAGCGGGTCTGTGTTTGTCACGACGAATGGCACGCTCACAGCGCAAAACATCAAAACGTACTTGTTTGGCAGCGGCAACGTCAGCTACTACCCCGCTCGTGGCTCGACAGTCAACAACACGATCAACCTGTTCAAGTCGGGCCACGTGTACACTGGCTCGGTGCTGGCCCAAAACGCGACTGTGGCCGTGTCGGGGGCGGGCGGGGTCGTCGTGCAAGTGAACGACACGCTCACGACGTCGATCGACGGTGCGGGCTCGGTGGCGTACTACAACAAGACGGTGAACCCGGTGCACGTGTCCAAGCCCAAGGGCTGGTGGGTCTTTACCAGCTCCAGCGCCGTGGCCACCACCAACAACACGTTCAACGTGTACAAGTCAGTTGCGGAACCGGCCAAGGTCCCGTTGAATGTCACGATCGACCTCAACCAGACGCTGTTCAGCCGCTGCTTTGTGCAACGCTTTGAAACTGCTGTCGACACCACGGCGCTGTCGAGTACGATCTCGTCCCCCCAAGACGTCGCGTCCGTCGCTTGTGTAGCGCTCGCATTGTTGGCGTTGGTCGTGCTCGCTATTTTCAAGGGCAAGCTGCGCACGAAAGGCTACACTGCTTTGCCCAAGTAGGTAGTGCTAACGTTGTTGTACTCGTAAATTGAATATTCAGGCAGTATGCTCGCATACTGTACAGTGTGTGCGTATCATACTCGGTCTTACACAGCACCCACCGTGCGTACACTGTTATAAGCCACGTCTAAGCGCACATCTCCATCGGTACACTGTAAATTCTAACCTAGATACACTCATGGTACTCTGCATCCCGACGGAGGACATGAAGTCAATTCTGTACGTACAGTAAGTACTACGTGATCGGTACCTCATGAAAAACAATTGGCTGCAAGGCCATCCAACGATCCAATCAAAGCGACGCAACAGTATCTTCCCACGAAGTGATTTGCCATGGAACTGTTTAAAACAAATTCCATTTGGGGGGATATCTTCGGTAAAAGGTCCCGCCCACACCTCAATTATAGGGCGTGAATATGCTACCGCATCGTCCTTCACGTAGGTAGTATGCTCCAACTTCACTGTCAATACAGTATAAGTGACTACATACTGTATTTGCATGAATGCCGAATTCACACCTGTAGGAGGTACCTACCTACAGTACTGTACTGTACGTACTTCGAAGTACCTACCTTGGTTTTAAACGTGTTTGAAACAAAGACGTCGTCGATTTGACGAGCGATCGCCAGGCCAGTTTTGATCATTCCCCGCCCCAACCACACCATCATCATGTCCATCACGGCCCCCAACACGTTCACCAAGTCGTGGAACACCACGGCTTCGTCCATCGAAGGCATTTTGCTTCAATTCCCAGGACGCGTGTACGTCAACCAGGACCCATACCTCAAAGCCACGGCGCTCGTGGAGGTCACGTCCAACTCGCAAGCTGTGCTCGACTTGATCGCGTTCAACGCGACGCAAGCCGTCGGCAACGTCATCTCCGTGGGCTGCAATCGCCATGTCGCCCTGGCGCAGTCCAACCAGACGTACCTGAACGTGTCGGCGACCTCGGACGTCGACGCATACGCGGTGGGCTCGCTCCTGGTCCGCGTCACGGTGCAACGCGCGGTGTCGTGGATCAAGTCTACTGCCGACACGGTGCTGGTCTCTGGGAGCCTCGTCAACGGCGCCAACAGAGCCGTGTCCATCGCGGCGTTGGGCACGGGAAACATCACGACCACCGCCAAGTACCCTGTGACGCTGTCCAACCTGACGCTGTCGACCACTGGCGCGGGCAACGTGCAGTTTGCCGCCACGACCAACTTGAACGTCACGAATGGTCTGTCGCTCTTGATCGTGGGGTCGGGCTCGGTGGCGCTGCAAGCCGCTCGCGATATCACCGTGCGCAGCCTCCAGACGTCCGTGGCCGGCTCGGGCTCGGTCTTTGCATTGGCCAACGGGTCGTTGAAGGCCCAGAACGTGCGCACGTCGTTGGCCGGTAAGGGCAACGTGAGCTACTCGACTCCCCAGGGCTCGACGATCAACAACACGATCTCGGCCGCCGGGTCTGGCCACGTCTACTCGGGCTCGCTCTTCGCTCAGAATGCCACCGTGACGCTGGCTGGCAGTGGTGACGTTGTCGTGCAAGTCATCGACACCCTCACGGCGATCGCCACTGGCGAGGGCAAAGTGCTGTACTATAACAAGACGGGGAACCCTGCGCACCTGCCCGAGCGCAAGGGGTGGTGGGTGTTTAGCAGCCCCAGCGCCGAAGCCATCGGTGTCAACCCCACCGACCAGTTCACGCTGGCCCCCGAACCCCTGAAAGAACCGGTGAACGTCCGCATTGAACTGAACGCGTCGTCGCTGTCGCACTGCGTCGTACAGACCTTCAAATCCGGCGGCCAAGTGTCCCTGGCGGCGTCGGGTGCTCAATCCCCCGTCGACGTGGCCACGCTCGGGGGCGTCGCGGTGGCATTCCTGATGTTGATTGCCCTCGTCATGTTCAAAAAGCAAAAGCGCGTGGCCGGCTATGTGGCACTTCCCAAGTAAACCAACAATGGCGTCGCTCGCTTTTGCCATGTTCTTTATGAAACCACATCATTTGCGTTGGAGAAATCGACACTGTTGATTCATACCTGACGTTATTGGTAATATTAATAACGTTAACGTTACCGATTTGCAATAAAGAGTGGCTTGCGTTGCTGTCTTGCTGCATTACAACACTGTATATTCTATCCAGCCCTGTTCATTTCGCTCGGATGTCCCAATAACTGAACATTTTGGGGACATCCCCATAATTTGGGGAGGGTTTTTCCCCCACGGTTGTCATAGCTTCACGTTAAACAAAGCTGTAAGTTGAGGGAAAGATATTAAGCTCCTGAACCAGTACTAGTACATTATTTGCAGATCAAAAATGACAATATATTGCAAATTTCTATACGTATATTGGATATAAGTTTTACCAG